GTACGGAGTACTCCGTACGTCTGGGAAACAAAAAAAAAGCCGTTGCTGAAAGAATGAACCCGTCGCCCTGGGATGCAACATCGACTAGGGTATACCCGAAATTCGACCTGTCACTTTTTAAATTTAGTGCTATGCTTCTTTGGGGACCGTTTACACTCCAAGGAGACAATAGTCTCCTGGTCTGTGGGCCAATGAGAGACACGGTAAGTATTTGAGATCAATCCTGGTCGGCCTGCAGGGATCACCGCTGATCACAAGTCCCGTGCACGCCTCGAGATTTAGATTAAATGTTTGATACCGAGCCTATGTATGGACGGGAGGAACTAGCGCTTGAAAGGATGTGAACAGAGACAAAGGGCAACCTTCATTGTCTGGTCAGGATACACAATGTAGATGATATATCAAAACCAGAATCGAAGGATATAACCTTCTGAAGAGTGGAGCGAACGGTCTCGCAGCTTCCTGACTGTCGGGCCTTCCCTTCGCATGGCTCTGCAGGGGGGCCCGAGCACAAGCGTTCCTGTCACCCCCTTTTTCGCCGTTTGGGTCACGTGTTGTGGCTTAATATCTTTAATGCTCGTACTCCATACGCATACTTCGTGCATTAGTTATATGTCCGTAACTAGTTTACTGGATTAACGATGGGTATACGAGTTGCTGCAGTTAGATATTGGGCTCATGTACTCCAAACTCCGTAGTTGTCCAATTGCCCTTTTCGTGAATTGTGATAGATGATATCCACATTCTTCTTACTCCGTATACAGTGCACGAGTGCGAGGATTCTTGGTGAACCGTGCTTCGTGCGTACTCCGTACTCATAGATAGAATCGCTGTATGCAGTACTTAGGTACTCCGTACAGAGTACCTGTAGGATGATAGGAAACCGTGATTTCCGGGGTTACAGAGCAGCAGCTTTAGAGCAACAAAACCGTCAAGTGATTCGAGAATGCATACAACGTAGATGTACGGAAGGATTTGAATTTAGAATGTACTCCGTCGAAGACACCGTGATTGGTGGGTCCCGGGCTTTAGCTCTCGGGCTTTACATCTCGGGGACCACTCCCATGGTGCCCGATCTGTGGGAAACCGTTTGGGCCTATGCTGTCACACTCTCTCGTAACTTCGGGATCTAGATTGAAATTCTATTCTACGAGTATTCAAAGAGTACTTCGTCATCTGTACTTTGTTTGGCTCCTTTTGTAGTTCGATTTTACCACTACTCGTAGTACTACATATTGTCTGCATCGCTTACCCTCTCTCGCTCTCGCTTAAATCTTAGCCGAGCTAGTATGTAAGGTTAGATTGTTACCTGGAGAGCGGAGATAGCGAAGGTGTGTCCAGGGCCCGCTCCGCGAACCCACGGGCAGAATGTCGGTTCGACTAGGGCACGGAGTCTTGTTCCATGTGCAAGTACGGAGTACCGCAGAATACCATCAGCGCTCTCCATTCTCCCGTACATGGTACTCGTATACGTTGTACAATCAGATTTTGGAGCTAGAGACTATTGACCAATAATCACCCAAAAACCGACAACAAAACCCGCGCCAACCCTATCTATCCGGTCTAAACCTAATCGTTCCAACCTCAGGGAACACAAAGAGCCCATTCAATCGGTATTACTATTTGATTCTTCCCTTTATTTGTTTTTTTTTTTCTTAAAAATTATTATTTCGATATCTGCTAGATCCTGGATCCTGGATCCTGGATTCACTATTTGTTATTTTGTTTTTCCCAAGTCAATGGTACAGCACACTAGACGACAGGGAGTCGAACCCGAGGAAACATTAGCAAACCGTTGAAACGAACATCCTTCATGAAATGGAAAAAAATAAATATAATATAATATAATATTCAAAGAAAAGGGAAAAAGACCACTGCCAAAAAGAGACATCAGCGTCATCTGAATTGGTCATAGCAGCACTCTTTTTAGACACCTGCATGACTCGGGAGGCGAAGAGGGGCGATGAGTGTCAGAGTGGAACCTGAACGGAGCAGTTCCTGCCCGTCCACGGCAAATGCCATAGCAAATTTTCTGTAAAGTCCACCAGACCCTCTCGATCTGACCTTTTCCTCGGTTTGGAGTAAGCGTGAAACGAAGAGAAGGGGGCCAAAACCAACAAATTCTAGACCCATAACTACTCCATAGTTACAGAGTACGAGTACCTTATCCCCCTTTTTGTGTATTTTTTTAAGCCTCGTTTCAGGAGCTATGGTGAGACTAGTGGGTTTGCCTGTGAGAAGGCGCGTCACGTAACGGTCCGTTTCCATGTTTGAGGCTTCAATGTGCCACGAACTGACCTTGCCGCTTTGGGTACATATTTGCGAGCTCGTGAACTGTAAACGTTTCCAGTATATTCGGGTTCCAGGCGATCACACGTCTGAAGATTGGGGAGATCTCGGGTTTGTTTGGTACTATTTTTGATCTACAAGTATGTACTATGTACTATGTACGAGTATACAGAGTACGCAGTATAGGCAGAGCACGTGCTCTAGGGCTAAGAGCTTCATATACGACCCCCTTTGGCAGCCTTATACGAGCTAATCACGTTACTCCTGACGGAGTATGGTGCTCTATAATTAATTGCACAGATTATGGGTTAATCTACTTGAATGCACTGTTTGAAAACAAATTGACAGATTTACCACAGCCTTAATATCTGTACGAGGATCTCGTACAGGGTTATCTATTCTAAAGTTGCAACTTTGTATATCCCGACTTCCCGACGGATTCGATATATATGTGTGTCCACAGCCCTAGAGTGCATCTAGAACCACATACCTGCACCTAGACAGTACACCACACATCCCAAATAGAATAATCAATTCAACATAGTGATGGAATTGCCCCTATAATAATCCAATTGTCCCCAACAACTAAATATATGCGTAACAGCGGCTAATCGACGGATCCAACGCCCAAATCTTGGTGGCGCACACACACCCGCGCCACACCAGTCACATCGCCGCATAACCGACTCACATATGCCGGAAGCCACTATCCGATAGTCGCCAACGATCCTCCAGATTGGGATATGATACCGCACATGGAATCTAGACTGCATGGCTCTCGTGGGAGTTGGGAAGCGAACGGGCTTACTTGGCTGAGACCGTGACGACAACGAGGTTTGACGCAAGGGATCCGATTACGACTCAGGGGGCGCACGAGGATTCCAGGTCTGGAGTCATGAGAAGCGCTTTGTTCTGTGTTTTTCCCCCCTCCCACTGTATTTTATCTTCTTTTTTTATCTCTCTTCTGGACGGAGTAATGTCTACTCCGTACTCAACTGTAGGTTAAGGTTCATCGGTTGATCATGACAAGCATATGCATGGTACATCTTTTTAGATTCACAACGTATGTATCGAGTATTCATTTTGAATTACCGGTCTCTTTCTATTCAATCGTGCAAACAGATCTCCAGACCCTGGTCCCTGCCTTGAAATTCCAAATTAATCCCCGATGCTCGTGGCATAGACAGAACCATGTGGGAGCTCGTCTGGAAAGCCGCAGACTGGAGTGATGAAATGACGGCTATGCGCATGTCTTACATTGACGCCATGGTCGAGGAATGTGCATGTGAGATTTGCCATGCCGTATCAAGGGTACGTACATACAATGCCCAGCCCTAGAGTCATGCTAATGTACTCTGTAAATGTAGACTAGTCATGTAAGCATGGCGATGTGGCCCATGGCTGCCTTACACCCCTTGTTTGGTTTCCTGTATAGTGATAGTATTGCTGTGCTGTGCAATATACAACGCTCTAGTATGGCGTGTACACATTGGATGCAGAGATCCTAATTCAGCCTCAGTCACGCGCAGGTGATGAATGAATTGGGCAGTTTCGTTCAGGTCTGGCCCGAGAACGAGCCGTTTAACGGGTGCTTAGACCTTCTCTTTTCTTTTTTCCCTTCTTTCTTCTTGAGGCAATTGCCTGGAAAGGAATGGATCTGTTCTCCCTGCACGAGACAAGTCAGGGAAGGGATAGAAAGATCGATTCAAGCAAAGAGGGAAGTAGAAAGCGAGGTAAACTTGACGCTGTGGCCCTAAGCTCCGCATCTATGTAGACCAGGGGGTGTCTTAAATGGCTAGCTCAACGCTTCAAAGTGGGACTTTATTGCCACCGTGATTGGTGTCTTAGACCGGGGAGTATGTCGGCCATCTCTTGGCCGTTTAAGGGATTGTGTTCACCGGACACTCTTGTTCTGTTAAACGAAGCGGGGACCTGGACAGTTCCAATATAATTTTTACGGAGTACGAGGATTTGAGTGATTTGATGTAACAGATGCTTCATCGATACGTATATTTCCCATGCAGTATTTGATAGGTCGAGCTGACTGTGGCTCGTTCATACCTATTTCGAGTGACTACTCCATACGGAGTGCATGAGTAGACATTGAGAGGCAGTTAGATTGACAGTGAACGAGAGACAATCAAAGAGATACCTAGAGCAGAGGGTTGGCGAGATCAAGTTCGCTGGAAACCGCAAGTCTTGTCAGAAGAACTTGAAGAAGCTCTTGACATCGGAGCTTAATGCTTTAACGTAGTGAAATTGGCTAGGTTCGTGCATATTATTGCCTTGATTTGTCCATAAATGAGGTACACAAAGTATTTGGAAAGTATCATCAATATCAGCAATGTAATATGAAGTGTGCCCCCAACAGGAGACAAGGAATAAAAAGTGAATACCAAACACCGGTAGAAGACTCGCTCTGATATTCAGTCTATTTAGAGACTTGTGTGTATCCAGCATGCTCCGTACTCGAAATGGAAACAAAAATGAGTAACGCCTGTTCCCCAAAGAAACCATGCGCTCAGTGTACGTGTACAGCACAAATCAACCGTGAGGGGGGAAAAAATCAATTATGTAGATGACTTAGCCATTCAGGACAAGTCATGGAGATGCAAATGAAACCCAGATGAGATATCGTCAAAAATGGAACAAGGAAAAGGGTTGGAAAAAAAACAAAGGAATCGCTCAAGGGGTATATTTCGCAGTGCTCATCATAACCAGACATCGCCTTCTTCGCCTTTGACCCACTGTGCCCAAACAGCATCGTAAGCATCTTCTAAATCCCGCACCCATCGCGCCGTGTCAAAGAGTTTATTCCGGTATCTGTTGCGGAACAGCATCTGTCGGATTTCCATGAGTCGTCCACGACCATGGCCAGTGGAGGAATGTTGTAGATCGAAGCAGAGATTGATTGCTTTCGTTTCGTAGTCCTTGTCCGAGGATGCGATGAGTTCTTCACGGGCGTGTTGGCCCGCATCAGAGTTTGGTAATGCGCTGCTGAGAATGCTGCTTGCCATTCGGGAGCACATCTTGTACTTGTATCGTGGAAGGGTGAGGAGTGGTGTTCCGCTCCACAAAACATCTGTCGCTGTCGTGTGGGCATTGCATTCAGGTGTGTCGAGAAATAAGTCTAGAATCTTTGCTCGCGCGATGTGGGTATTTTTTGGTGCGACATCTGTGAAGATAATTCGTGATGCTGTCTCTTCTCCGGCCCAAGCTTTGGCAGTGTCACGGAGGCTTTGTTCACCTAGGTCCGGGAAGCGAAGGAGCCATAGTATAGCTTTGGGGGTCCGTGATAAGATCCGCAGCCATGTTCGGAACGTCGTGGGTTCAATCTGTCTATGTGTTAATATGTATGTTTCATGTGAGGGTGTGAGCAACGGACCTTGTACAGCTGATTGAAATTACCCAGAATAATGGTGTCATCAGCCAGGTTGGGAAATAGTTCTTTGCGCATTCTCCAGCGCCGAGACTGCTCCTCTTCCCATGTGACGTGCTTCTCGCCCGCATCTGGGGCACTCTGTCGGTGATCGCAACAGAAGAAAGTATCACGGGTGAAGACAATTTTCTCTCCGTAGACCCAGTCTTCAAGGTCCTCTCCATGATCTTCCTCCATGGGCCGATCCTCAATCCGTGTGGTACGCCTTCCTGGGCTGAGTGTTTCTGGGGGAATTGATAGCTGGTCGGCAAGGATGTAGTCGCACCATTCAGCGCCGAGGGTACCAGCAAATCCCATGAACGACATGTGAATGGGCGCTGGGCGAGCGGCAAAGACTTCGTTTCGAGCTCCCCTGGTGTAGCCATTCAGATTGACCAGGATATGGACTCCGTCCTCGACGATCTGCTGGACTAGCCGATCGACCGGCCATGCGCTCGCGTCGTGGAAAACTGGGGCCTCTTTCTCAATCTGTTGGCGGTGCACAGATTTGTCACTTGCTGTCGTGGCATAGCAATACGATTTAACCCGCGAAGGGTTGTGAAGTCCAAAGACTGATTGCATCAAGTGCGCAAGAGGGTGATTGTTGAAGTCCGAGGATACGTAACCCACACGAAGGTATGGAGCAGGTGGCGCCGGCGGAGGAAAGACTGTCTGTGGAAGCCAGGGCAGTCGAAGGGTCGAAGTTGATATCCGTAAGCCGTTGCGTTGAGAGATCTGGCGGATCTGCTTCGCTGACAACGGACAAGTGAAGGTATGAAAAGGCAAAACAGTGGGTGCATTGGGAGCAGAGAGAGCCCCGGGCAATTGAGGCCGGCGGTACTTTGAAGCAGGATAGTCTTTGCCGTAGACATAACGATCCTGATACCATTGCCAAGTAAGTGACCGGATTGCACGCTCGACAAGACGCACGATTCGGGATCCTTCCCACTTTTGCCCTGCCCAAGACTGGAATATCTTTGCCAGAGACATTCGAGAGTTAGACGCGAAACGAGTGGACTCCAGCGCTGGGGCCAACTGCATGGACAGCTGCTCTGCCGTACTGGCGGTCAACATGCCTCGGCCCCAATATTCGCCTTCTTTGAGCTGACGTTCGACGATATCAACGACCCGCTGAATCCATCCAGATCCGACGTCAATCCCAATGGAGTCTCGAAGCATCCCTTTCTCATCAATATGCCATCTGTCACGGAAACCACGGGCATTGGCGATGCCACCACGGCCAACCCAGTTGCAGACGGAGTTTAAGGCGTTTGCTAGTCCGCAAACTGCCTCGGCGAAATCAGGGTTGACCTTGACGGCACGCCTGTAGTACGTGATGGCATCGTTGACCTTGCCTGCATCTTTGACAGCATTGGCCAGGTTTGCTAGGGCAATGTCAAAGTTACCATCACACTGTACTGCTTGCTCATACATCTTGATTGCAGCATGGAGCTGGCCGATGTCCTTGAGCAAGCTACCCAGGTTGGTATAAAGATGGGCATGTCGTGAGTCTAGCTGTAATCCATAGTTGTAATAGGCCAGAGCCAGGGATATTCCACTTCCAGGCATTACACCTGGGATTTCTGGGTGCTGGACCTCGCCGTTCGGGCGCACAAGGCCTCGAGCTGGCGGGTTGTTTTGAATTCCAGCCAGCAGGATACCGACATTGTTTGCGGTTGATGGACTGGGTTGAAGAGAGAGAGAAAGGTAATAGAGAGCCAGAATATCTCGGACGCCACGTGAGGACCTAGGCGCTCCCGACGAAGACACACTAGACATGCCATCCTGGTAGATCTTGGCTAGGGAGAGGAGAGAGTTACTGGTCGTTGAAATCGCCGCATTGCGAGCCATGCCCTCGGCAACATATTGAATTCCTGGGGGCATGCCTCCGCAAGGGAATACGAGCTTGGCGGTCTTCAATGCTCTGTCGGGATACAGCAAGATGCTTTCCTTGGAGTCAGGCTCCGGCTGGGGAATGCCATTGTTCGGCCCGGAGAACGCAATGAAGATCTGTTTGATGATACTTTGAATGCCATGGCGCCTTCGCCCAGCTGCGATGAGAACAGCATCTTCAAACGCCACCGCTGCGGCCGCATTCTCTCCAAGAGCATACAGCATGTTCCCCTTGGCATGGACCAGAGCTAGCATCCTTCCGTTGTCTGCACCTGCGATTGCGTATCCACTGGTTGCGAAGCCAATGGGCTTTGCTTCTGGTGACCTGGGCTCCAGTTGAGGTCTACCCATATCATCATCATACTCGAAAGATGCCTTATCGTACATGTTGACATCGGAGTGATTGCTCTCAGCATCGCTTTCAGGCTCGCTGGCATGTTCGTCGGTCTTGAAACAATCGCCATCCTTGGGGTATCGGAGGGAGTTTTGAACAAACTCGATTATGTTGACGGCTTCTTTTCCTCGGTGGCTGTTGCACAGCAAACCGATCAAATGCTCGACGGCTTCAAAGAAACTTGGGCGCAGCTTTACTGCTCGTAGCCAGTTCTGTAGGGCTTCTTCTCGGCGGTCGAGTGCTAGGAGAGTGGCAGCAAGATTTGAAATAGCTTCCACGTGTCTACAAGCATGTTAGTGTCGGCGTTGGCTCAGAAATCGAAATATACTCACGTTGAGTCACGGGCGATAATCCGAGAGTACCACCGCGTGGCTTTATGGTAATCGCCCAGGCCATAGGCCAAACAGCCTCCGAGGAGCATTCCATCGATCCACTCCCAGTGACTTTCCCCGCATAGATGGGAAAGCATATCCAAGGCTGTAGCAGCATTCGACATGGGTGAGCCCTCGTTAAGCATGGATCCACGAGCCCGCGGGAATGATGATACGCCTGGAAGGCCGGTATCGCGAAGTCCGATCATATGGGTATCGGACCTGTTCTGAGCGAATTGACTCAGAGATGGGCGACGAGCATGAACGCGAAGAGGCATGGCATGTGCGGGGTCATTGGGTCTCTGGCTGCCCATGCCACTAAGCTTTTGTCGTTGCATATCATATTGACTGGATGGATAGCTATTATGACGAGTGAGGTCGGGGGGATGCGTTTGTGAGAAGTCAAGACCCGGCTGCCTTGGTGGCTTAGGGTAAATGCTAGGTTTCATCAAGCGAGAGTTACCATCCGCAGTACCATTCGAGATGCTGTTGCGGCGGGCCTGGTGGATTGTTGCAAGTAGGTCGACATAGACACCGTGGGCCCACGTTAGTACTTTCTCCTTGAATTCAGCATTGGCTGCGATTGCAGGTCCTGGTTGTTGGAATCCATGTACGGATTGCCGATTAGACCACGCAGGGTCATTATTAAGAGGTTGGGGTGGAAGGGCTGGTATCGGACGATTGGCGCGGGCGTGAAAAGGTAATTGGTCGGAGTGTCGTGGGGGGAAATGTGTTTTCATTGAGGGATCTTGAGCGGGCAAACCAGACATGGAGTGACCCCATGGAAACCCCGAGTCGGCATGGCTCCCTAGAGGAATTTGAGGTTGATTGAAAACGGGCTGGTTCAAGTCATAATGGGGCTGGCCGGGGGCGTTCAGCTGTTTGGTGAAGGGTGTCGGAGATTCAAATCGGGCATCGCGAAATGCAGCCGGGCGATATGGGATATACACACCATCTGGCCAGTATGGACCAAAGGGCCCAGTTCCAGCCGAAGCAGTGGGGCCAAGACATGACTGCAGGGTCGCAGGCAGAACTGTTGGCACATAGGCCCCATTGTGTAAGACCATACGCTGGTTTGCCTGTAGGGGCAAGCTTTGGTTCAACATCGAGTCAACACCCGGGGGGTAGTTCACAGGCCGAACCCAGCTTGTCCCATTCGCATCTTGCACCACCTCGCTGGGAATAGCATTGCCAGTAAACTCGTTTTTGAAGACCGGGGGGAAATTCGAGGCGGTCTGATCCGACATGTGCTGCCAGTTCTCCGATTGCATGGCCGGGTGAGGGATGAACTGACCCGATTCCGGCGAAACCAGAATATGTTTGGACGCTGGAAGCTGATTGGTATCGATGGGTGTTCCATCGTACCCCGCAGCGAGGGTTCCGTTGGGAGTCTTCCTTCTGAGGGTGTGTTCCACGTTCGCGCTGGAGCTGGAGCCGGACGCATCGCGAGGATTGAATCGTTGAACGGGGTGAGGTAGTTGCAGGCGGGATCGAGGCATGGGATTCAAGAAAGGTTTGAAGTCATTTCGGACGGGGTCGTTCGCATCGTACATCTGGTTAGGATCATGTGTGCGGTGGTGTGGTTGAACCGGGTGGAACGGCGCGACTGATGGGTACATCTTTTTCTAAAGAGCGCCTTGAAGCCGAAATCACGACTCAAGTCATAGGACATTCAATAAGCATGCTTGAATCGTTTCCGACACCTCATTATGTGAGCCGATTCTAGCGGGCGCAAATCAAGTAAACCAACACGGCACTTGATCAGATCGTCATGGATGCAGCGAGATAAAGCCTTTGGTGATAGAAGGGTTCGAAAGGGGAACAGTTGAGAGAGAAAGGTTCAGACGCAAGGGAGAGAATGTCCCAGTCCACGATACTGGCGTCCAATGATGTGCGATCTCGAATCTTGGCGAGAATTGGGGAGAATGAGTACCCTCACACACTAGGGAGTAAAGGGTGTCGGAAGAAAGAAAATGGGCAAAATAAAATGGAAGAAAAAGAAGCGAGAGCCCAAGGGAAGCAAAAGAGCCAAAGAAGAAAAAGAACAAAAACGAGACAAGTGAAAGAGAAGAGCCCGTAAAGGCAGAAATGGGAGTGGACACGGTGGATATGCAGGTGGGGGAGATTATGGAGGTATATTATACACACACTATATTAGATCTCTTTTTTTCCCTTCTTAATTTGTTTGGTCAACTGGTTATAAATGTATCGTTTGTGGGATGATCGTGGTAGATTCATCTCCTGTTCAAATGTTCTCTTCCAATTTACTCCGAAATCCTTAACGGTGGGCATATTAGGAAGTATAAGAGAAAACCCCCCCTTTCTCATCTACAGTACTGACCTCACCTCAACTCTCCCAACTTTCCCAACTTACCTCTCCACCATGATCCACTCGTTCCAACGGCTGAACCCTCTCTCTGGCTGAGAGGCTCCATACCAGGTCGGCTTCTGGGGCATCATTGGTCCCGTCCCGGCGACTAGTGATGGATCGGTGACGCCCCGCCGGTGATCGAGTCGAGCCCGTTCTCGGTTTCAGTGGGCTATGAGACTTGGCTGAACCTACAAAGTACTCGTACGTGATATGGTGCCTTTGGCCAGGATTTGATGGCCACTCTGCACTCTGCACCCTGCACCCTGCGCCTTGCACTCGGCCAACACTGGGACTTTTGAATCTTTGCAAAACGCCACTTGACTTACCCGGCATGGCCGAGGACTAGCCGCCCACCGTGATGACAGGCGCAGCCCCCCTTTGTTGGCCGCCTCATCTACCTCCGATCATTGCCTTTCTGGGGGTTATTCTGGGGTTGCTAGTCAAGGATGTCCACCACGATCCCTGCGGCCTTTTTCTTAGCTTGGGGGCTATTCTCTGCCTGGCCAAGGCTGTGTTGTGATTCGTATAATCTGGTCCATGATGTCCGTGATAGCCATGATATTCGGGATGCTCATGTTGATCATTTTATATCTGACTTGGGTACGGAGTAGACCTCGTACACTGGATGGACCATAGGTACCCTATCTTTCTACCTTGGTTTTCTATCCCGAGTCTGTTTTCGATGGTGCATCGTCCAATGCCCTATATGGCAGATCTGTTTATTGGTCATACGTTAACCCCCATGGCCCTACTTGTAAAACTTGTAAATCCTTGGACCTGTTGTTTCCAACGTCTATGACACAGGTCGCAGAGATCGACAAACTTACTCCACCGTGCGTCGCATTCTTAGCCTGCACAACGCAGTACGGTCGGGTGGTACAGGCTAACTAGATTCTAAATATGTAGGGCATTATACTCAGCCTTGTACGGAGTAGAGACAACTATATTAACCTTGGAATCATCTTTTCTTTTTTATCATGTGCTCAGAAATTTCTACAGGTAGACGGGCGCAAGACTGGCAGAAATAATTTAAAAATAAATAAAAATAAAAATATCAAACATATCAAACTCCACTTGATCATCCAAATATCACAGAGCCACTTGTTCCAAAGCAATTTCAAGGCCAAGCATCCTTTGTCTCCACTGTGGATGAGTAGGTGAGTTGCACTCTCCGCTGTCCCCGGGCCTTCGTATACGCCCGGAGCTGTGCAGAATTTATTTATATTATTCATATTGTACTCCATATGATGACTTTAATCCTCTCCTACACTATTGCTCCACCCGGACGTAATCCGTATCAAGCTAGGAAACTTTCCAGGGTTTCTCCCAATTTTCACACTATCCAGTCGACACGGCAACAATGTTTAACTTGTGGCCATTCATACGAAACTGCTTTAGTATGTGTGCAGCGCTCGGATACCGTGTTTGCTGGCCGTTACTTAAGTAGCATGTTTCAGACTTGAAAGAAATATCTGTCTGACGTTGTACATTTAGCCCTGGAAAACCACATCGACGTATAGCATATGCGCTTGTGTGCTCAAGTAGGCACCTTCTAAAGTTAAAGGTCCCAAGGTTATGCGTAGAATATACTTGACCTTGGAAGTACACCTGTAGACCGTCTCCAAGGCTCCAGGGCTATACTTAAGTACTTCAGTTGGTGTGGTGTTCAAGTGGAACTTCCAGGTTTAGAAATTGGGTTGCGTTACTCGGAAGATATATCTTGGAGTTTCCTTTTTATCCAGTGAGTTGGAATTCATGTCACCACCTATGATAGGAAGGTAGGCTGGCCATTCACATACCAATAGCCCATGTATCAATAGCATTGCGTCGCATATGTGCATGCATGCTGGCGGCCTACATGCAGGGGAGCCTGGTCATGCTGGGGGGTTTTGGTTGGATATACACCGCTAGTGCCATATTGGATGGATCTGAGCCCTGGAGTGTATTGTGGTCTCAAGGACACGCATACACCAGGTTATCTGGAACATACCTAACTTCAAAGTTTAGAAGGACAGAACCTCATATGGCAGAAATATTTCGACTTGGACTCTATGCGCGTTGAATATTACAACTTCATAACTGAAGTAACAATAGGTTGGAACATACTGTGTAAATTTGTATTTTCTTCTTCCAAAAACCTCTCTTTCCCCCTCTCTTTTTGCCTCTGCATTTTCATTCAATTTTTTTTAAATTTTTTTTTTCGCACTCCATACTCTGCACTGAATACAGTCCAGGAGTTGAATGGTGTCCACGCTTGAGCGCGTGCCTGTAGACAGAGCATGCCAAACTTGAAAATTAGAGATTTTTTGAAACTATGGATATACGAGAACTCAGAAGTGATCAATTAAAAAATATATTTCAAGTTTTGACTAGCTAACTACAGCTTACAAAAACAAAAACTCTTTTGTTAAGAGATGTAGACCCGAAATATGGACCACTGCACCCACGGAGCAAGCTCCAAGGATACCGCGGTGAGTAATGGGACTGGTTTTCTCTTCCCCACTTAAAATAAGCGTATACCACGTTATGATATGATCAAACCCCGTAAGGAGAGAACAGTAAGCGCCAGAGTGTTGTGGGGGTTCTGTCCAAAGGACACTGTCGGCTGCGCCGGGCATAGCCTTCCAACATCCTCATCGCACAGAGAAGAGCAAGAGAATGCTGAAAGACATCAAAAATGAAAGGAGAATGGAGGGATACAACCGAAGAAAAGCGAGTTGATCAATTTGTTTCAATCGAACACCTCGCAAATTAAGAAATGGTATCATAGTCATGACTCATGAATATTTTGGTTTGAGAAACCATTCGTATTCTGCAACTAGCAGCTCAACATTAAGAGTGCACGCCTTAGAAATCAGATGGACCTCCTCTGTTTTTTGATCATTCAAGAGAGAATAATTTATTCCTCGGGAACTGGAATAAGTTAGCAATGGGTTCACAAATACAAGGATTGTGTGGGAAACGAACTGTCAATCTCGCCAGCCTTGACATCGTCGGAGACATCCTTGGGGCTGCGGCCATCGACCTGGCAGCCGACGGAGAAGGCAGTACCGAGGATCTCGAGGACGGTACCGCGGAGCTCCTTGGCCATGGAGCGAGTGCGCATGGTGCGGGCAATCTCGATCACATCGTCCATGGGGATGGACTTGGAGTGCTTGATGTTCTTCTCCTTCTTGCGGTCACGAGGGGGCTCCTTGAGGGCCTTGATGACAAGGGAAGAGGCGGAGGGAACAACGGAGACGGCGGCCTGACGGTTCTGGATGGTCAAGCGGACGGTGACACGGAGACCCTTCCAGTCACCAGTGTTCTTGGCGATATCTTCACCAATCTTCTTGGGAGACAGACCGAGGGGACCGATCTTGGGGGCCAGAGCGGACTGGGCACCGACTTCACCACCAGTCACACGCAGGTGGCTGAGAAATGTTAGCCGCTGTTGTGCAAAGCGGAATTGACCCTGAAGTAGGGGGTTTCGAAATTTACGTACATGATCTTCACCTCATTGGGATCGAACTTGGGAGCTGATCACGAGGGAATGTTAGTCGCCATCTTGCAGGAGGCCAAGTAGATGATACTTACGCATGGCGAGTGCGAAAGGTAGTCGATCTTCCTTGGTTGTCGAAGAAGTTGGTTACAGAAGAGAAAAGAAACGGAGCGCGAAAATTGAGTTGAGGTGCCAGCGGAGACCCACTTCACCTCCACCTAAGCGAGCCACGTGATGCAACCAGCCCTGATCTGCCCCTTTAACAGTACGGCAGAATGTTTCCAGGCGGTGGGCAACGGGAAGCATGAAGCTCTCCACACCTGATTATCGTCAGGTGACCACTCAATATTTACTACTTGTACGAGTATGATTCCGTAGTTGCTAAGTGCTGAACCAAAAAAATACAATTACATCCTCCTTCAGCGAACGTGGCGAATCGCATATGAATTCGGAACTGGGGTTGTGGGCCTTTATTCTCAGGGATACAGGATAGACCAAACACAGAGACTGGAATAAATCATTAGTTCACCACTTGCATTGACCTACGGTCAGTGGGCCTGCTTCTCAAGGAGAGATAAGATTGGGCGACTAGTACAATTCTAATTTGGAACGCATTGAAATTCTGTCCGAATCTAAGATAGATCTTGATGTCATGGTATCAATCCATTCAATTTACTACTATATCGCGTCAAAGGAGTTAATTCACCGCTAAAGATACACAAGACCCGAGGGTCGACGACAGACCGCCCTTTGCTCTCATGATGGTCATTTATCATCACATCTAGCTGGTTCCAGATACAGCAAGCCTGGTATACAGTTAGTATGTTCCAAAATATAAAGGAGAGGTCAACGTACTTCATGAGATGGTCCATAAATGTTTGGAGTGAAACGTCATCCGTGAAGATGGTTTGCGACGAGACACCACCGCCGTAGCCACCTGTAGTGTGGGTGGTGGATGGGTTCAGCTTGGAGAGCAAGAAACGGGCTTGAGAGCCACCGGCATCACAAACGATGAAACGGGGCAGCGGGAATCGATCAGCGATGAGGTCCTAGGAAAGCGTTAGTCACGGAAAAGTAGAGTGGTGGAGAAAAAAGTGGAACATACTCTAGCGTCCTCTTTGGGCTGGTCAAGCAGCATCTTGAGGTTCTCATAACCTTCTTGTTCATGGTATCCAGCTTTCCTCCATTCGGCAATGGTCTCACCATTGAAGATCAGAATGTGGAAGAAGGTATCAAGGAGGAGGATGTGAGCAGGCTGGATAGAAGCGGAATCCAGCAGCACCGGTTGAGCACCCTCTTGCTCCAGTGAGTATGAGTCGAGGGTGGGCTGAATCATGACCAGGGAATCACCCGCATCCTCATGGTTGAGAACATGGCGATAGAAAGCAGTCTCGTCAGGAGAGTTGTTGAACACCTGCAAGAACTGACTGCGACGGAGATGGAACATGAACTGAGGGTACAAGGTGAAGTTCTTTTCCAGTCGGAATGAGGTAGGGTCATCCTTCCGGTAGTCCGCAAATCGAGAGCAAAGTCGGATCAGCATTCGGTCCACCCAGCGGAGAACATCGGGGCCGTCGTCAACCTCCGCCTTGAATACCGCAATACGCGCCATGAGCACAGCGGCGGCCTCTTGATCGAAGGATTGCGCCAAGGTGGGGTCACCGGCGGGCCCACTGAGGGGACGTGCAGCAGTGGTCACTCGCAGGTGGTAGTGTCCAGAGGAGTGTTGGTAGTACGTCAAGAATTGCATCATACCACGTTGAGGGCCAGGCTGCACAGCAGCCGGTCCACCCTGGTTGGCAATTTCGAAGTAGACACCGTAGCTGGAGGATGGGTCGATTCCACACATCTTCCAAGCGCACGTATTGCCGATACCGCACTCTGTCTCGCCAATAGAGCTTGACTTCTTGTTCAGTGAGATCGCGTGACCAATCAAACCAGTGACCTTCAGCTCCTTGGTTGTGAGCACCTCGAGAGAAGCGTTGAAGCCCATCAAGAGATTGTCATTGGCATCCTTGTCGAACACACGGATGAATGATTGCTTGAATTGTGACGAAGTGAAGCTATCGGTAAGAAGCATATGACCTCCAGTGTAGTTGGAGAGGTTCTTCATTTCCAACAGACCCACTTGATCGAGACACCCAGCGAAGATATCGACAATGTGACCATTGTTGGCAGCGCGCTTAGCAAGGCTGTCGTAGAACTTGACGGCTTTCTTGTAGTATTTGATGTTGTCCCGGTCAATGTCGTGGTGGGAACGGATAGGCTCCCTGAGTTCAGGCGAAACCACATGGCCGGGGCCTTCGGTGGCTGCACCACTGGTGAAAGCCATAATGCGACCTCCGGCATTCTGGAAAGAAGTTTCCAGCAGACCAACGGCCACGCTAAGTGCAACACCAGTGCAGCGCAGGGGACGCTTGTCGTTGGCCACGGGCCAGGGATCACGCTGCAATTGCTCGAGGACATTGGTGATCTGGAATTCGGCTTGTTGGACTGGCATAAGGAAGCGTGCGGCCGGGCCGAGTGGGGGGCGGGCAGGCTGCTGCTGGGGAACACCTGGACGGACACCACCGGCCAAACCTAGCATCTCCTGGACCTGCTTTGCGTTGTATTCCTTGCTACCTCTGAACACATATGACTTGGCGCATTCCGTGTAACCAAGTTCGTGAACTTGGGTCTATGTATCGATGTCAATAAAATGCCGCCGTTTGGGAGATTGTGTTTTCCTACCATTGTACCGAAGGTAATCAAACCAACAAGCGCATTAGGTGGCAGAAGCGACAAGCTCATGATGAGAGCGTCCTTCACGGCCTGCAGGCTGTCATCTTCTTGGCAAGTATCGACGACAAAGACGAAGATTGGGGGCGCGGGGGCAGGCCGTGCCAATTGGTACTCGATCGTCGTGCTCTGGGGGTGGAGCTCTGGGGGTATCGTATTCTCCGTTATATCCTTGTAATGAGGAGGAAGAGGGTTGCGAGAGAGACAGAATGGGCAGATCCAGATTCGTGCGCGGACATCGACAGTACTAGATCGAGATCAGCTCATGTTCCGCGGCATCTCAGGTCCGACGCAGTACGTACGCATATGGGTTAAGCACAGCACGGCAGGGCTGCTTGCAGCTGACGGGCTCATATTGAAGCAATGGGGAGTCAGGCTTCTCCTTCAGTGGGGTGTAGACGGCGGCAATGGGGACAACTAGTCGGGATGCTTCCTATATCGAATCTCAGTTACTGATGCGGTCAAGGTAGAGCGGTGTCACCATCACGAACCATGCGAGTGCTCGGGAAAGTGTTCCAACTGAGTCTGATGCCATCGCGGTCTTCCACGTCACTCCATTGATCCTTGAGCGCTTCGAAATCCATCTTGATTGTTCCGGTTTTGTGTTGATGGAAGGGGGGTAGATGACGAGAAGTCGCAAGGAAAGGGGAACTTCGGGGGTTGAGCTCTACTCCAAGAAACTAGTTTAAAGAGACACCCGGAGCATAATCCAGTCCTCAGACGCAAAGAGAATCCCTGTTAATAGCTAGGGAATGATTGAACAAGATGGAGTATGTTGTGTGGAGTGTCTGCTCCGCGAGTAAGGCCAGGTTGCAGCACAGTTGGCTCTTGCAGCCTCCCGTACCAAAACACCATTAAAACTCGGCAACCCGCACCCCTCCGACCTTTTCTTTCAACTTCACGCCGACTTCAACTTGTTTACGAACTCGTTATTATCGACAGCTTCCGTCATTCCATGGCGAAGTAGTCAAATTGTTGTGCGGAGATCAACTTGACCCGTTGCTGGGCACCTGGATTTGAGAGGTCATTCTGATCCTTTCGGATTCTCTGGGAATCAGCTGTGGTCACACTCCCCATCCGTGAACCTATCTGGATAGAAATATATATATGCTAGTTTTCAATTAAATTCTGTCTGAAAGATGCATCATACAGTACAAGTCCATGCCCCCGTAACGCCGGTCGAAAGAAACATGTGAAAACAACCCGGCATAACCTCATAAAAAAAAATGACATGTGAAGCACAGAAGCCAATTCATGCATCCTTCGGCCCCTTGTACATTTGCTTCAGGAGGAAACTGCGCTTGAAGTAAGTGTTCGGGTGAACGATGGTATCCAGGTCGGTTTGGCTCATGGTTCCGTCCTCCTTGACCTTTTTGATCTCGTTCTTGTGCGTTGCCTCGAAAACGCGGTTGCAAGCGATGTGATAACGCATCTTGCCAACATCCTCGCGTACACCTCGCAGAACTTCTTTGTCACTGACACCAGTAGCCTGGAGGAATCCAACCAGGTTATCCACGGAATAATGACGATAGGGACAACCGTGGGTTTGACCAATGCCAGGATTCGAATCGCCAAGGATTTTTTGGCATGAATAGGGTGTGTATCCTTTTCCGCGACGGTTCACGTCACCACCGACTTCACCGTAGGCGTGGCGAACGTTGTACTTGTACTGCGAATTGAACTCGTCATCGGTCTTGCCCTTGAAAGACTGGCGCCAGAACAGAATACACTCTTCCAGAGACAACCCGATACCCTTCAAGAAGAGCGTATACTGCAGTCGACCGAAATGCTTGAGGTGGTTGTTCTTGCGTAGGTTCACATGTAAGCTCTTCATGCACAGGGGGAAGTGCTGTTGAGCCAGCTGATCGATAGAGCTGGCCGTAACAGGTGCTCCATCTACATATCCTTCGCCTTCGGAATACACCGAATCAGCACTACCGAAGTTCTTTGAGAGATGGTTCAGAATTGGCGTTAGACGGTCATCCTCATCCAAACGAGGGAGGGCACGGCTCGTGAGCTGTTTTGTTAGCAAAAGACATTTGCAGGAGATGTCTATCGATTTGAACATACCTCGAGCGCACGCTCCAGACGAGTGGTGAATTCAGCCAGGATCATACTCATCTGCTCTCGTCCGGGTACATAGGCCTTTCCTTTCTTCAGGTACACCGAACGCCTCTCGATCAGTTCAGGAACTTTCTCCCAATCGACCTTGTACCAGGTCTCGTCGTCGACTCGACGTAATCCTGGGGTGGCACTCATCAGAGCCTCGGCAACCTCCGTCTTCTCGAAATCCCCGAGAGGTTCCCAATCCAGATTCAGACTATCAATGAATGTGCGCTTCTCCCTGGAATCATCTTGCTGGAAGCGAAACCTGAACAGCATGCTCTCGGCACGGGCGAACCGTCGCCGGAGGTCCTCTGTGGCAGAGAAGGCCAACCGAAGGATGAAATGGGAGTAGTGGTCCTTTTGGCGTTCATTTTTCAATCTTTGGTCTGCGGACCCGGACGAAGAGGAGGTGTTCGAGGAGAGAGGGAGGAATTTGTGCAGGAGAGGCGTGATATAGCTCGAGGTCTCGGCGGGGGATTTGTTGCGATAAGAACATGCTTCGATCTCAGCCAAGACTGTTTCGAGGTCAGCGTGTGGATAAATATGGTCCTTTGCATGCAGTGCATACTTTTGAGTCGATCGATGGCCCATTGTTCGAATTGCTCAAGCGTGATTTCCGCAGTTGGAGGCGTGTCATAGATGTTCAACCGATGAGGATAGTCCTGTTGCTTGAAGGTTGCGGGGGCGAATTGACGTTTCTTTGGGTCAATGATGGTCCGCCGCTTCGGATCAATTCGATTAACATCTTGTCGGATCATGATGGCGGTGGTGTGTTCTTTGCCGTGACAATTCACGAACTCCCATCAAATTGGCACCGCGACGCGTCCCACACGCGACGTCCACGTGACCCGAAACGGGATAATCCGAGTGCCGCGACTGGACAAAGCGTCTGATATGTCGACACATGTGAAACTGGGCTTGACCGGGTATATAACAAGTACGGAATAGTGTCGGATATCCCCAAGGCTAAGTACTCTCTGTACCTAGGCACTTTCCATGTTCTCAAAATACTACTCTGCTTAAACCATACCATTTCTCGCCCTTTGCGGCCATTTGTACCGCATCATAGTAGTTTCCCTCGGAGATCGTTCACCGACATCCCCAAAGAATCCTGATCCAACCAGAATCAACGTTGAGTTCGAGATATGCGACTGTCCTCTTTAGAAAATCCAAGATCTCTCCGTGCCTTCACATTGTCATAAACCGGGTGTACAAATTCCCGTGGTTCCTCCCGTGCCCCAACACCCGAACCGTTGAATCCAGGGACCTTCCAGGGACCGGAACCTAAGGTAGCTTACCTAGCTTTCCAATCCCACCTGGGCACACCACATCATGTCGCACGCGACGAAGCAGCTGAAGAAAGCTGCGCGTATCATCCTAATTGGTGCACCCGGGGTAGGAAAAGGCACACAGTCCGAGCGGCTGCTATCCCGCTTTCCGCAACTGGCCTCAATCAGCTCGGGTGACCTGCTGAGAGAGAATGTGCGCAGGCGAACACCTCTCGGTGAGTGAAGCACTAGATTCTACCTTATCTCAGAGAACTGTCGCTAACTAGACTCAGGCCTGGAGGCCGAGGCCACAATGCAATCTGGAAACCTCGTCCCCGATTCCATGATTTTGAACCTGATCTCCGATGACATGAAAACCAAGGGCTGGCTCCTCCAACCCAACTCTCCCACCCAATCTTCAGCCTCGCCATCCTCAGAACAAACACCATCCGCTCCATCAGTCGATCCCACTGCCTCGTTCATCCTGGACGGCTTTCCTCGAACCTCCTCACAGGCAACAAGCCTGGACAGCCTAGTCCCAGTCAACTTTGTCGTGCACCTCCTCACCCCGCCATCGGTAATTCTAGCCCGTATCGCTTCGCGCTGGGTCCATGAACCCTCGGGTCGTGTCTACAACACAGACTTTCACCCACCGAAGGTGCCAGGGAAAGACGATGTGACCGGGGAGCCGTTGACACAGCGCGAAGACGACTCAATTGACACTTGGAAGCAGCGTCTACGGAAGTTCGAAGAAACCAGCAAGTCTCTCTTGGAGCACTATGAACGCCGGGGCTGCCTTTTCCGCGCAGAGGGCAATAGCTCCGACGAGATCACACCCGGATTGTTCGCCGAGATCGAACGCCGATTCTGCTGAGTGCTGTCGAATCATGTATACTTATATATCCTATTCTATGATCTTAGATCGCCCGAATCTTAATACCCGTTCAGCAGTTCGGGCCTGGGAGGGAATCACCTCCCACCCATGTACAGCGAACGCATTCCGGTGTAATGTATCTGATATTCGCGTCCTATATGGATTCGGGTTCATAATCGTTGAATTTCTTAGCCAATACATGTGCAGGGGCTGTAGTCGTATCATACATATCATGATGCAAATGCCACAAAATTCATATCAAACGCTCATCACAATTCACAAGTTCTGCCGATATCTCATTTCTTCCCATTCTTCTCGACATCGCCCATCCCCATCCGAGTCTTATACTCTCGAGGACTCTCCCAATCACCACCGATCTTCTTATAATCCTTCCAAAGCCCCTTGGACTTCTTCTTAGCCCACCATTCCGCCTTCCGATACTTCTTTTCCATCTTATCCCCACCAAACTCAGACCCCATCTTCGCCTCATAGACAGTTGCCAGTCCACGCCGGAGCATCTCGTACGACACGTCACGACGTCGAAATGGTGGGAAATCGAACGCCCGCCTCACAAAAACACTCGCTACCACTCGCGAATACTGATCTTGGCGATGGACGAGCGCGCGCACCCGTCGCCCGCTCAGGTATGCCGTTAGCCATGTATGGGCATCGCGCGCGAAGGGCTGTTCTGGACGACCGAAGTGCGCGAGCTCGGGGGCATCGACACCCGCAAGTCGGATATGGATCTAAATCGGGTAAGCTATTATGTTTTGGGTGTTTTGTGGTGGTGTGTGGGACATTGAGATAAGTGTCACTCACAGTGTTGTCTTTGAGATCCTTTTTTTTTGTAGGGACCTTTTTCCACGGGAGCCAGCCCCAGCCTGCTAGACGGCCACCAGGCGTGTGGAAGATGCGAAAGTTGTCTCCATCACCGACACTGGTGACTTGGCCGAAGACACTGCGGCGTCGAAGCCATGACGACGAGATGCTGGGCGCGTCGGGGATTCTGCGCAGGTATGAGCGGTGGAACCGTAACGCGAGGAGAATACCACTCGTCAAGACAAGGGTTGGGACCAAGGTTCTCGGCTCTGTGTAGACTTTCCAGTCGAGTATGGAATTTGTGGAGCTTGAGCTCGTTTGTTTTTCGTCATTGGTCGACTCGGAGCTCCATGGCGGCCATCGCATCACGACCCATGCCACTACTATGGTAGATGTGAGGGGAGGTTAGGTGATGGCGGTTGTTGGGGTAAAGGGATCCACGCGGTGAGCCCTGTACAACTGCCGTGGATCCCTGCACCGGCATACCTAGTACTCTCGAAGTCGGCCCTACGTATGCAATTATGCAATTCGTAGACAACCTGGTATTAGCTCGGACCACTTAGTTGTTTGAATTACCACGATTTTAGAAACAGTTTGCGCCGGGATTATCCTTGCCATTGTCATAATTATGGGACATGAAGCCTCGTTGGCTTGCACTCCTAGGCCCACGGGTATATTTCACAAGAATGGAATAATCATGTACAATTCTATATTTGACTAAGAAACATGGCTCTATCACATCGAGTCCTCATAGAAAGTAAATCCGAAAAAAAAGTGTCTACTTAGGTAGTTTGTTCATAATCCAACATTGCCACGCAGTACCGGTGCGCCGAGTGACAAACAAAATCGAGTCGAAGGGGGAAGACTTTGATCAAAAAGCCAATTATTTAAGAGTAGCAGGTCGGCTGGTCTGGGCCTTTGCAGCTGCCGATTCCACAACCTTGCTCAGCTTGTCTTTCTTAATGCCCTTGAGGTAAGCGAACAAGACAATGAAGAGGATTTCCATCCTGTACAAAAGTCAGCTTTGAACGAGACGTTCTTTTGGGTCAACGTACCTCTCCTTGGTCATCATAAGAAGACCCTGGACCAAAAGTCCCTTCAAGATCTGAGGCCCAATGCCCTTGAAGAGAGCGAAGAGACCCTCGTTATCAACAATGTGCTTCATCACCTCACCAAAGCTCTTGAAGGGCTTGCCATTACGGCTAGGTGGGGGACGAGACTGCAGACCGACCTTGGCGACGATTAAAGGCTGAGTAGCGATTGTGGCCATAGCCTTGGACATGGCACCAAGAACTGAGACACAGTTAGCAAGTCATTGGCTGGCAATCGAACAAGGATCACTCACGGAATGCTTCCCAAGGCTTGAGATTGTTCTTCCCTGGGAAAAGGCCCTCCTTCAGACGCTGGTATGCGCCATAGGTAATGGCAGGGTTGACGACCAATATCAAACTGGCCTTCAGTCCGCGCCACAGGCCGGTCCAGCCGTCCTCGCTCTCGACCACCTCCCGGCCCGTCTCAATCAGGCCTTTCTTATCACCCTTGGGTTGTGTCTGCTGGCGGGTGGTGATGACAGCCACCGGGATTGTGAAGATCTGGGCGACAGCACCCGCGACGGCACCAAGGGAGAGTTCGATTGCGGTGCCAGGGGCTTTCGATGATTTGGCGGAGGCCGTATACAGGGTTCTGACGACGCTGTACCAATAAAAGTATGCGAAGTTGGTCGATGCAACACCGAGGAGCGATCCCGCCATTCCAGAGTACAGGCCGCTGATGCCTTCCTTCTCCGCGATCTTGGTGATGGCGTCTATGGTCGATTCATAGTGCTCGAGGTCTGAGGATGAGGCGCCGGTCTTCTCCTTAACTTGTACTTGCAGTTTTGTCTTGACCCTGACGATGAGAATGACGCAGTCAGTATAAATCCCTAAACAGGTAGATTGTAGATTTGCCGGGGGGTGTCTCACAGGTCAAGTGGGTATACCATCGCATTGGCAAGCACAGCACCTGTCGCACCTGCAACGGCGCTGCCCCATGGTGAGAGAGCTGGCTTTGATTGTCCAGTCATTTCGTAGATAAAAGGTACTTGAGGACAGGGGAGGTCGAGAAATTAGAAGAATAATATTTCCGCCCAAAAAAAGCTCGGATAGGAGAAATATTTAGCGGGGCTTTGCTGCTTTGAATCGGGGTCAGAGGGATGACCAGAGAGCGATATCGCAAAAAGCAAGTTGATTCACCTCTATACCGAAGTCACCCGAATGATCAAAGTATAAAAAGCGAGCGACCGAGTTCATGAGCAGATGCACCTCGGCGCTTCTTCACTTTAGAAAGAGCCGAGGTCCACTTTCGGTATTAGCTTATGTCAGGCATTACATCACGCTTTCACGTTTTATACTTCGTTTACTCCGTTGGCATGGGGAATCGAACTCGAATATACCCCCGAGAGCTTATTATATTGTAGAACTACTTACCTCTAGAAGTGCAGAGCCTCAGGTATAGCCACATAACCATGCCGAGATGCATATCGGCGAAATCAATGCGTACGGGACCCTCTCGGCTCGCGCCAAACCCGGTAATTTAAGTTAAATGATCCGAGATCTGATTACGGAGTGCTCCACGACCACCTCCAAGTATCCATGTCAAAATCCGGGTCCACATATCTGTCGCAAGCTCTGGTATATACCGCCCTGATGAGACCTATACATGGGACCAGAACTAACAATTTGATAGAGCGCCGAAGAAGCGGTAGCCGCAGCAACTTCCCAAAAAGCGGCACTGGAAGCGGCTATCAATGCCGCGGAACATTACATGAAAGCACTGCGTCTGGCACCAGCCGACGAGAAGAAACAGCTCGACTCAAAATGTAAAGAGCTGATCATCAAGGCCGAGAAGATCAAGGGCTCTGCCGACTGGAAATCTGCGGCTCATGCGGGGCCCCAGAAGGCCCTCACTTTGCGTCCGCCTGCATCTAGTCGGAAGCTCACCACCCGTGAAGAAATTATCATTCTCGAGGGCGCTAAGCTTCATGGTTTCATTTTCCCACCATGGACTCGGGCTCCGCGTCATGATGAATTTGTTCCGGAAGGGTCACCGTTTACGTAGGTTGAAGAGGCCATTAGCTCTGACCGATGCTAATAGGATCTAGGGACGCACCTGACCTGCACCTCTCTGAATGCCAGAAAGATATTTTCGCAGGATGGAAAAGTCCACGTGATCTGTTAGAGACGTCGAAAGCCACCAATTCGGCGCATGGTGGGATAATCCCATCCATGTCTGTCTCGGGAGAGACGGATCTCGTTCAAGACGTTTTGACCGACTGCTCAGTGGTCGCAAGTCTTTGCGCCACAACATCTCGATCAGAAAGAGGTCTCGGACAGGTATGCGACTCAAGACCCCTTTCGTTTCTCTTGAACTCAAGCTAATGAGCGTAGCATGCGTCACCAACGATGTACCCATGCAATGAGGAGAAGGTCCCCATGCTGTCGCAATGTGCGAAGTATGTCTTTCGCTTCTACTTTAATGGATCATTTCGAAAAGTCGTAATAGATGATCGATTGCCATCCTCGAAGACTACACGGTCACTGCATGTGGTCGACCGCAACAACCCAAGCTTTCTGTGGCCTGCTCTCGTGGAGAAAGCTTACCTCAAAGTCCGTGGGGGCTACGATTTCCCGGGCAGCAACTCAGGCACCGACCTGTGGGTTCTTACGGGCTGGATTCCTGAACAAATGTTTTTACACCACGATGATTCTACCTCAGATGAAGTCTGGGGGCGTTTGTATAACGCCTTCCACCATGGTGACGTAGTGTTGACCATCGGCACAGGGAAGCTGACCGAGACGGAAGAGCAAGGCCTGGCTCTAGTGAGTGAGCACGACTATGCTATTTTGGACATGAAGGAATATCAGGGCCGGCGCCAGTTCCTACTAAAGAATCCTTGGGCTGGCGCAGAACCCAATATCCAAAGCGATTACGCGGCTGATTCAGAATCCCCTTTGTCGCCCGGTAAATTTTGGATGGATTGCGAACATGTTCTTCTGAACTTCGAGAATCTTTACCTCAACTGGAATCCTGGATTATTCAAATACCGCGAAGATATCCATTTCACGTGGGATTTGTCACATGGTCGACTCATTGCTGGCTGTTTCGTGAAGAACCCCCAGTTCTCCATATCCAGCAAGGCAGGAGGAACGGTATGGCTGTTGCTTGGGAAGCATTTTAAAACAGACGACCAGAAGCAGTTGAGCATCGACCACCCGAAAAGTGAGCTTGGGTTCATCAGCATCTACATTTTCCAAGCCGGCGGCAAAAGGGTATCATTGAGCGACGGCGCATTACACCGCGGTCCCTATGTTGACTCACCCAATACACTCATGAGGCTAGAGATGGCCCCAAATTCAACATACACCGCAGTGGTCTCAGAGCAATCTCTTCCATCTGCTAGCCAGAACTTCACACTCTCGGCATTCTCCACTGCCCCTGTGGCCGTGGCACCTTCCCTGGACAAGTACCTCTGTTTGACCAAAGCAGCAGGGTCCTGGACATCGATGACAGCCGGTGGGAATGCCGAGTCACCTCGATACCACTCCAATCCACAGTTCAGTCTACAGATATCTGAAAGAACAGACGTCTCGATTTTGCTCGAAACTACAGAAGCTGAACTGGCAACCCACGTGAAGCTCTTTTGGTCCAATGGCCAACGCATTTCACGCGTGCGCAGTCGAGACATTATCGCAGACAGCGGTGATTACCGCCGTGGATGCGCGTTGGCCGAGACAAAGTCCTTGGAAAAGGGAACTTATACTATCGTCAGCTCTACCTTCGCGCCTGACCAGCTCGGTCGCTTCACACTATGGATCTCATCCACTATCCCATGTGTGGTTCAGCAATTGGCCTCTGAGTCTGCGGGGCGGCGCGCTGTCCTGTCCGACGTCGGCATACTCCCCCCAGGAAAAGATAGGATGCTGACCTCGCTCCGGGTATCTCGTTTAACACGAATTCGACTCATTGCGCGAAACAAACGGTCCACAATTGACTCCCGGGCTGTTGCCCCATCCCCCGTGCTAATGACCGTGGAATTAGGCCAAGGACCCTACAAGGAGGTTCTGGCTACATCCGAAGAAGGTCACCACAGTTATACTGCCTCAGGAGTTCGGGTAGAGGATTTTGATCTGTATCCTAGTGTGGAGGCCAATGTTTGGATTGTCATCGAGCGCATTGGGGGGCCAGGAGGACAAGTGGAAGATCATTTCGAAGTTGAGGCCTTGGCAGAGGAACAAGTACAGATTGGAAAGTGGGCAATTGCGGATGAATGATACCCAGATAATGGAAATATCGAAAGATGCTAAGATGCTGCCCTGTTGGTTGGGAAAAGATAGGGACAAGTAGATCTCCAAAACCATTGATAAGCCTGTCCCCGCACACGGGCGGTGTCCATTGATCTCCAAACGTCATCTCTTCTCTTCACTCTCACAACAATCTTCAAATATGGCGAGTACTATTCCAGCCGGGCTACGATCGGCTGATATTGGTCGCTTCGCGATCAGGGCTGCTCAGGTTGAAAGTGCCAAACCGGTGGTGGCCTATTGGTGTAAGTCTGCCCCTCGCGCAGCAGCTAAATATTCATGCCGATCTAACTTGCTCTAATGTAGGCAACTTCCATATTGTGAACCAGATTATTGAAAGGGGCCTCCATAACTCCGACGATGAAATAAAAGTTTATACTACAAATCTGGTGGACAAGTTGGAGCAGGTCGGTTGTTCCCCCCGCCCATGTTTCTCCCTATTCCCTGCTATTCCGCGCCACGCTTCGCACACCTCCGAAACATTGCTGATAATTTTGCTCCTGGTAGTTTAAAATTGACAACCCCGACAATGAGACGATTACAGACACCATTGCAGCCAGCGCATATGTCGAGCAATTCGGACTGGAGGTCTTCGGCCGTGCCGAGGCAGCCATGAATGCCAACAAAGTCACCAAGTGAGCACACATGTAGCATACCAGCTCACAAATAACTAATTGTGGCTCCAGGCAAACCGCAGACACTTTCCTGGCCGCGGCTACCTTTCTAGAACTCTGCTCGATTTGGGGAGCCGATCCTGAAATCGCAGGAAGAATCAAGTTCGCCAAATTCCACGCAGTCCGAATCGTCAAGGCAATTAAAGCCGGCGAGGACCCGAACGAAAGCAACCCAGCACCAAAGCAGGAAGAAGGAGAGCTCGTCGACGACCCTGATGTACAGGCATTTGACCAGTCCGTCGCAGAGGCCTCCAACCCAAGACAAGCCTCCATCGAAGAGATCCCAGATGAGTCTGACCGTCTGGGACGAGATCTCGCTCGGAAATCAACGATTGACGAGTCGCTTCATCCCTCACGTACATCATCCACTCCACGCCAACCCGCCACTCCCGAGATCCCTTCCGTGCCTCAGAATGCACCTGGCTCGCTCCCACAGGCCAACGCCCATCATGACCAAGCAGGCGGCTTGAACCTCCCCTCGACCCCTGCCACCATTGGATCCACTCCAAATCTCCCAGATACCCCCACAGCTTTCCAATCTTTCCCGCCGCCCCCAACTGACACGTCCGCATCAGACCCGGCTTCGTTCTACGATGCCCCCGCCAGTAGCCACACTCCGCCGCCAGCTGCCCCGACGTTTGTCCCGAGCCCAGCTGCCCATGCGCCGGTTGCACCCGAGCCATACGTCCCAGTTCAACCGTCACACGGCGTGGATGATAACTCGGTGCAGTTAGCCCAGAAGCATGCCCGGTGGGCTGTATCTGCTTTGACTTTCGATGATGTTGATACAGCTATTAAGGAGCTGAGGAACTCACTCAAACACCTCGGTGCTTCATGATTGTTGCGATTGTTGTGTGGAATTATCTTCGAGCACTGCACATATACCTCGAATTGACTGAGACCTTTTAAATCATGGAAATGAACTGCTTGTTCAAGCTTGCTTGCTTGCCGATCTAGATCGAGTTGAAATATTGACGGTTTCGTTGAAATAACATAAAAGCCTCTTAGAAACTTTGGTGCTATCTATCAAAGCAGATTTTACTCGTTCAGGAATACCACCAGGCGTGAACTGTTGCATTCTTTGCCCGACCTTTTAAAGTTCTTTCGGGAAGGTTTCTCTGGATGCACATGCTATTGATATTTATCCAGAGCATTACGGGTACTATGGCCGTGCCTGCGGGGGCATTGGTTATTACTCCAGCTCTAGAGGGCCCCTAAGACCCGTGGACGCCTTTTAAGTTCCCTTGATCCCAAATGAAACCAAGCATGATGAACCAATCATGCAGAACAATATGTCAAGAATTATTAAATCGACCTTTGGAATATCGCGATGATCTTTCAAAAGTGCCGCAGGAGAGATGGCCGAAGGGAACAGCTCTGAGCGGTAACATATAACACATACTCTGGTCTAGTAGGAGTTCCAAGGTTGCTTCTAAGTTGCGGAGATATCCTGTCACAGGAAAGGTGCTTAAGTATGCCCTGCTTCTAAAGTTGAAGACAGTATAGAACATATTAAATGCTGAAACCCGTAGAGGCTTTATTTCTTGCTAAATGCGCGACTATCGAATACAAGAGGACTGACTGTCACGACCTCTGGACAACTCAACCCCCCACAGATACTAAATTAATATTGCTAGTCACATTTGGTTTTAATAGAGATGATTCGGATGCATTGATTTAAGATACAACCGTAAAGGCTGACGGCTGACTCTTGTGGGGGTACTACCTTGAAGATATTCCAGGCCCGGTCCTCCGGTGTTTCTATCAATGGCGGTCAGATACAAACTTGCAACGGGTACAACCACTGATACCACATTTGGGGCAGACGAGAAGAAAAAGAGGCATCCAGGAATGGCAAGTGTCACACTGGGTGCAACCATATTTCTTGAACCATCCGCCAAGATGAGAACAGGCTTCCGGGGTGCTTCGAACAGGTGCAGGGGAAGCGCGAGGAATTGAAAGTCGGACATCCTCTAACCAGCTAGCATAACTCTCAAGTATCATCCCATTGAGATCCAAGGCCAGATCATCGACCGAATAGCGCCCCAACGGGTCGGCAAGCCTTTGCTCGAACAGTGGAGCCAAAGAGCCCAGGCTCGATTCATGCCCAACACAATTATTCTTCAATCCTTCGGCAAAATTGTGAGCATTCAATGGCTCAGGCATTGGGTCCTGGTCACAAGGGTAAAGCTCAGCCGGAGAGGAGCTGTGTGGGGGCCCGCCAACAGTAGAATTGATGGAATGACCACTCGCCTTGTGGCTTCGAGCCGAGCTGCTGCTGACCGAAGAACTTTCCGAGGAGCTATCCGAAGAGATATCCGAGTTGCTTGTTGACACATCGTCAACAAATGGGAGAATATTTGTCGCGCCCTTCGAGTTGTTGGAGCTCTCTTTGTTATTGTCGGGCTTGCTGTTGTCCAACAACTTGCTCTTTGGGTCTCTGGCATGCTCGTAGTGACCAAAGCCACCCAATGCCGTAGCGATGCCATTTTTGATGTTTTCTTCAGGATGGGGAGCCACCCCTCTGGCATAATCCCAGAACCCAGCACAGAGTTGAATTCCATTCACCGCATTTTGAATGGCCTGGTCGAAAGGATCGACGGCGGGTTTGGCAGTATTCACAGGGGGATTGACGGGGGTCTTGTCAGGCGAATTGGCAGGGCTATCAACAGGTGGTGCATCCTTTTTGATTTCCATCTCATCAATCTCCACTTGCTCCTTCTCATCGCGGGCCACTCGATCTCGCATAGCCTGTTTGCGAGACTCTGCTCGTGCCTTCTCGACCTCTGCTCGCGCCTCCTCCACTTCTGGATCGATGCCCGCCCATTCTTGTTCCCATTGGGCGTTCTCTGCTCGATACTTTGCTTTGCTGGCCTTGGATTCTTCGGATTCAGGGTCCATATGCACACTGTTCCCAAAACTGTACATGTAGCGAGTGGAGGTAGACCTGCCCCCAGAAGCGTGTACATTGTCCTGGCACCCCTTCAGTATGTCGTTAATGTCTTCCGTGGAGAAGACTTTGCCCTCCCTTCGCGGAACGTTGTATGGAGAGTCATGGGGGTCACGCTGTCTCTTTGATGGCCGTTGAGTCCCGGCATTGGGTGTATAGTACGACCCGCTCTGGGGGGCATACCAAGCTCGGGGTCGTTTGCCCTTCGAGCACAAGGATCTGTCAAGTTCTGAGCGGCGGGATGGGTCACGAAGGACTTCAACGGCATCTTGAAGCTGTTAAGTTCTCATCAGCGACAGGCATCTAATACCACCTACCCCACAATGGGAAGATGTCAATACAATGACATACAGATTGGAACCGCGAAATTGCCTTTCCATCACTCCCGGCCTTGTCAGGATGAAATTTCAATGCGAGACGTTTGTAGGCAACATTGATGTCCTTGATGCTCGCATCCTGGGTAATGCCCAGAATAGCATATGCATCGATGATCCCGTTTCTTGGTTCCATATTTGCTAGAGGCTCGTTAGTGTGGCTGTCAAACTGATGTGGATTCAACGTGAAGATGAAAGGCCGAGTATGACGGTGAGCTAAAAGCAATGTGAAAGAAGAAGCAAACACAGTTGGAGGGGGGATGCATATATTAACGCGAGGTGTTGGGATAGATAAACCCATACACTCACTCAACAGTCAACTCAAGCTTTCAAAGGCAAGACGATATGGTCGGTCCAAGTTGATCACGGCTCTGTCAGATAGCAGAGAACAAAGAGAGGTCAAGATGATTGGGATGGGAATGGGAAGAAGACCAAAAAAGAGAAGAGAAATAGAGTCAATCTTGGAAGGTCCGGTGAAAAGAGAAAGATTTCAGGAAGGTGCGAAAGTGGCAGGACTAAGGCACTTGGACGAGCTCTTTTGGAGAGAAGACCCTCTTTTGGAGAGAAGACCAAATACCAAGAGCAGATATGGTCTCTGGGTTCAGACCACAACAGCTGAGAGATGGCTAGCTTGTCCCTTCTCTTCTTCCCTGTTTCTCGCAATGCCATTGGCAATGTGTGTCTGATAACTCTTGCGCTCGATACCATGCTGCTCATGCATAAATCTGGACGCAGTCGAATCAGTGCTACACGGCATGGGGAGGGAGTACATAAGAAAGTGAAATGGATTGACTCTGATTTTACACAAGCTGAAGGTCGATCTAAATATGAACTGAAGAAGTCTACACTAGAGGCGACTTCGTCCCGTAGAAGAAGGCTTCTACATGTCCGCACTGGCGGTGGCACCAGTGATAATCTCGACAAGTTCACCGGTAATAGCGGCCTGGCGCTGACGGTTGTACAAGATCTGGAACCTAGAGGACTGTTAGGATCATGTATATACCGAAGGGATACAGAATTCCACATACTTGTTGATCATCTCACCAGCGTTCTTGGAGGCGTTCTCCATGGCGTTGCGGCGAGCGGAAATCTCACAGGCGTGGCCCTCAGCCATGGCCCAGAAGAGGTTGTTGGCAAGAGCGTACTCGCGGAGGCTGGACAGAGCCTCGTCGTCAACCTCGTAAGAGGAGATGTTGGCTGGATAACATATCAGTAAATCTGCTGCCAGTAATCATATCTGATAGGTACTCACCGGACTGGGTGATGGCCTCCTCGGAGTAAGCCTCGATGGAGACGGGCTCGTAAGACTGGGCGTTGACGAAAGAGTTGTAGATGATGCGAACGCTAGCGTAGTCCTCGGGGAGGAGAGCGATCTGATCGGCGATGGCCTGGGCGTCGGCGAAGGTGGGAATGTCCTTGCAGACGTTGGCGAAGCTCAGGACGATGTTATCGGGGGCGGCACGGGACAGCTGAGCCTTGGCCTTCTCACCAAGAATGGCGATGTCGGCGTTAGGGTTGGCAGCCAGGTAACGGCGAGCGGCCTTGCTGAGACCAGAGTGGATACCACCGCAAAGACCCTTGTCGGAGCTGGCAATGACCAGAAGAGTCTTCTTGTCCTCAAGAGGCTTGGTCTCGGCCTGCTCGAAAAGAGTGTTGGAGGTCTGACCGTAGACGCGGGAGTCGTCCATAGCCTTCTGGGCGCGGGTGAGACGAGTAGAAGCAACAATCTTCATGGTGTTGGTGATCTTCTCGATGTTCTTGATGGACTTGAGACGACCCTCGATCTCACGGAGGGTTGCGAAACCGGCGGCATTGGCGGGGGCAGGGCTTGAGTTCCATGTCAGCAATTGCGATCCTCATTACCCTTCGCATCGAGCACGATTTCCGAGTTTGGTGATGTTGATGCTGCGTCGGGGTACGTCGGGTGGAAGGGAACTGCACGAGGTATCGGATGAAGACTTACCGAGCGACAGCGGCACCACCAGCCCGCAGAGCCGGGCGGACGGCACGGGAGAACATTGTGTGAGGTGTTGGAGGGAAGAAGGTAGGTTGGCAGGTAGTGACTGCGGTGGAGAGGAGTGACGAAGGTTAGACGCAGATGCCTCGCTGGTCGGGAAGTGCGAAGTTGAGAACTCCTGGCTCTGTCCCGGCACGCCGCTAAACCGCAAGTAGACTAGACCTACGGTGACCCATTCCGACTTCCGGCGCAGTCTGGGAGCTAAGGCACTAAGCGGTCGCACCGGGCAGAATCGGAACTTCTCAGGCCAACTCAGGCCACCACAAGCCACCACGTAACCCACTGAGAGGGTCCGCGGGTGCGAAGCACTATAGCGGCCAGTGTCAGATACGATGTAGTATGTATTCACCTAGGTACGATAGTTATAAGTGTCTGAATTAGCCTAATTCTATGCTGGCAGAAAGCTTCAATACCTGAATTATCATTACATATTCTTGAATAACTAAGAAAAGTATTCAACCTTGGAAATTCTAAAGTATCTATTTAACGATGTTAAATCCCATTTTCTTTTTTCTCCTCTTTTGCCCTTTCTTTTACTCTCTTTCTCTTTTTTATATACTTATATCCATACTTATCGACATAACTATTTGTCCCCGAATAAATTTATCAAAACAGGGCTCTTATGTACAATTTAGAGCTTGCAATCCATAGTATTGGACAGTATAAATAGCGGTCGGAAATCCAGGCATTAAATCCCTATTGGGACAAAAATCGACCAAATGCTCTGCATCCGACACTGGCCGCTATGCCCCTTCGCACGCGGGCCCCCGACCGGGAAAAACATTCCTTTGCTTATCTGTGGCCTCAGGCATGGATCATTTACAGCTTTATGCCTGAGGCATCAGGCCCTCAAGGCGTCTTTTCCTCCAATCCCCATTCCTCTCCAACTTGTTCCTCTGTTTTCTCTTCGCAGTTCACCTTTCTATTCTTATCTCACTCGCAACATCCCTCTCTGTCTGCATCATTGATGCAGCAGATCTTCTCATTGTAACCTCACTGTTCATTGGTCAGGATTTCCTTCACTTCAGCCGTCTATCAGGCGGCTCGTTTTGTCCGACTAGGCGCACGAGGACCCTTGACTGGACCAAAACCTCGATTTGCTTCATTTTACCCTCGCCTTCCATCCAATAGACCTCCACATACAACCATGAGCTCTTCTGAGGACGATGTGCCTCTCGCGCGCACCAATGGACGTGGTAAATGTGAGTTCCTCGGGTCATTCGGCTGTGACCATACACCTCTACACTGCGTCGCGGAAGTGTGCTTCACACATGCTGCTTTCTATCACTTCTGTCTCTCTTATCGTGGTTCATTTCTGCCATTTCACTATCGTCAAGACACTTCTGTTTTGCTTGCGCTTTGACGTCACTTTCTTCAAATCGCGGCCTCTCAATGCAAGCATCCTACTAACCTTTGATCTCTTATTCTTCTAGCTTCGCCCAAGCTCACTGATACCGAAATGGCCAATTCAAGCCCTACTGGCGCGAATGGTCATGTTGACCCCGGTGTCTCTATCCGATTTGGTGCCGTCGAAGACAAGGATGTGAAGATGGAGGACGCGGGAGATGATGCGCTTTCCGCTGGTAAGCGCAAATCTCGGGCTAGTATCGGGGGTCAGAAGTCATATGCAGAGGCGGAGAGCAGCGAGGAAGATGAACCCTTGGTATGCCTTACACACCGGGTTTTGTGGCCCCCGCTGCAATGTCATCATTCCCTTTTGTTACAATATCTGACCATTCGATAGAGCAAGCGGCGACGTACTTCGGTTAAGCACGAAGACCCGGAAACCGATGATGATGTGCCTCTGGCACGCAATGGTCGAAAGCTTCCCAAGGCCTCCGAGACCGCCATTGGAGAAGATTCTGATTCCGACGTTCCCATTGAGCGAAAGCTCACGGCGCAGAAGTTGAAAATCGAACAGACTGCCGAAAAGGAAGCTCGCAAGCCAGCTGTCAAAAAGGAAACCAAGCCTGCACCAGCCAAGAAAGCAGCCAACGGCGTCAAGAAAGAGCCTGCTAGTAGTGCGGCTTCCAAGAAGGTGAAGGCTGAGCCTGCCTCCGCGAAGAAGGGCAAGGCTAAGCCGGTCAAGGCCGAAAGCCAAGATGCCGAAGACAAAGACGAGGAAGACGAATATCGCTGGTGGGAAGACGCCAGCAAGGGCGACGGCACCATCAAATGGACGACATTGGAGCACGCTGGTGTTGTCTTCCCTCCCGAATACGAATTGTTACCGAAGAATGTCAAGTTGAAGTACGACGGCATCCCCGTCAGCCTTGAGCCTGAAGCCGAGGAGGTCGCCAGCTTTTTCGGAACCATGCTCAACTCGGCCCACAACGTAGAAAACCCAGTTTTTCAAAAGAACTTCTTCGGTGACTTCAAGGACATCATCAAGAAAACTGGTGGAGCTAAGGACTCCAAGGGCAACAAGATCGACATCAAGGAGTTCGCGAAATGCGATTTCCAAGCCATTTTCGACTTCTATGAAGGTCAGCGCGCAGAGAAGCGAAACCTGACGCCTGCAGAAAAGAAGGCCGCCAAAGCCGAAAAAGACAAGCTCGAGGAACCCTTCCAATACTGCATCTGGGATGGCCGCAAGCAGAAGGTTGGAAACTTCCGCGTTGAACCTCCTTCTCTGTTCCGTGGACGTGGCGAGCATCCAAAGACTGGCCGTGTCAAGACACGGGTGCAGCCCGAACAGATCACCATTAACATTGGCAAGGAGGCTACGGTCCCCCCACCTCCTGAAGGCCACCGCTGGAAGGAGGTCAAACACGACCAGGAAGGCACATGGCTTGCCATGTGGCAAGAGAACATCAATGGCAACTATAAGTACGTCATGTTGGCTGCCAACTCTGATGTCAAGGGCCAGAGCGACTTCAAGAAGTTTGAAAAGGCTCGTGAACTTAAGAAGCACATTGAAAAGATCAGAAAAGACTACCAGAAGAACCTGAAGCACGACATGATGGTGGAGCGCCAGAAGGCCACGGCAGTCTACCTCATTGATCAGTTCGCACTGCGTGCTGGTAATGAGAAAGGCGAAGATGAGGCCGAAACTGTCGGTTGTTGCTCATTGAAGTACGAAAACGTCACACTGAAGCCTCCCAACACTGTCGTCTTTGATTTCCTGGGTAAGGATAGTATTCGGTTTTACGATGAGGTCAAAGTCGATATGCAGGTCTTCAAGAACTTGAAGATCTTCAAGAAGGCACCCAAGAAGAACGGCGATGAGATCTTCGATCGGCTCACGGTATGCTCCCTAAACCAAACTCGATTAACATGTACGTTACTAACAAGTATCAACCAGACTTCTGCGCTCAACAAGCATCTTGCCAACTACATGCCTGGACTGACCGCCAAGGTGTTCCGTACTTACAACGCCTCGTACACCATGGGCTCCGTGCTCAAGGAGATGAGTGGAGCTGGCGGTACCGTTGCCGAGAAGGTGAAGGCGTACAACGATGCAAACCGCAAGGTTGCAATTCTCTGTAACCACAAGCGTACTGTCACTGCTGGTCATGCCAACGCCATGGAGAAGATGGGCGAGCGGGTAAGTTTGGAGCAAATGGCCTTGATGCTAGAACAGCCGACTGACAATTTACCAACAGATCAAGGGACTTCGATATCAGAAGTGGCGCCTCAAGCAGATGATGCTCGACCTGGATCCCACCTTGAAGAAGAAGAGGGGTGCTGCCTTCTTCGAGATCGACGAAGATCTTGATCAAGAATGGATCAATGAGCACCAGGCCTTCTTGATTGAAGAGCAGCGGACCAAAATTAACAAGAAGTTTGAGAAAGATAACGAAAAGCGGGTCGCTGATGGTGAAAAGGAGATGAAGGCATCCGAGCTCGAAGAACGTCTTAACGCCGTCAAAGATATGGAGAAGAAATTCAAGAAGGAGAACAAGACCGGCAAGGTCGAAGCTGAGGCCCGAGGCGCGACTGTCGAGAAGCTTGACGCTCAAACTCAGAAGATCGACCAGCGCGTTGAGACTATGTCCGTCCAGGCCCAGGACAAGGAAGACAACAAGGAAGTTGCTCTGGGTACATCCAAGATTGTGAGTCTTCTTTGTTTTGTCATTCACTGTTCCCTAATTCATTTTCTAACACATTTCCAAATCAGAACTATATTGATCCCCGTCTTACCGTCGTCTTCAGCAAGAAGTTCGACGTCCCCATTGAGAAGTTCTTCTCCAAGGCCCTGCGCGAAAAGTTCGAGTGGGCCATCAAGTCTGTCGAAGAGGACTGGGAGTTCTAAACACCAACCCTGTCCCAACTTACTTTCTCCGTACAATATTTCCGGTTTTGATTGTTTCCAATTTTTGCTTTGCTTCAGGGGGATCTAGCTCATTGAGCCTGCATGGGTGGTGGTCGTGCGTACGATATGGTTGAAACATCGGTGATGTACCAATACTGCCAAAGCGCAGGGAATAAACATAAGGAGAACGCTAAAAAGAAGAGGGAAAAGAAAAAAAAAAACCTACGACTCATTCTTGTTCCACCTGGTTGACTATATTTGATGCATACAGTGCATGGCAATCGGGCATATTTGCACAGTTTTACCCAGCTGCCATTTTTCATTCCAGCCCTGGGTTAGAAGTTGGCACGCAGATAGCAATATACATCCATGGATTCTCATTACTGTTTGAACTTTGGAAATTCATCTATAGATCGAGTATACACATTTCCAGGGTTGATACCCAGAATCTGCCATAATTCCAAGGTTCACCCGAGTACGACGCAATCAAATCCAGCTGTAACTACTCCCGGGGCCGTAGCCAAGTCCAATATACTTAAGTACTCCGTGAGGACCTCGGAAGTACGGAGTACTTAAATATGGAGTAGTGGGTATGCCCTGGTGGGACCTGCACGACATAGTCATCCCTGCATCTGGTATGCATCATGCATATCAGGAGTGGGACTTATCATCACTGTTTGCCAACTTTAGAAGTACTGTTCTGCTCAAGTGATAGGGAACGTAAGAAATGAGGGTTAACAAGGACCCCTATAGTAGTAGTCTAGAGGAGATATAGTGATTGACATGGATTTCCAGATTTTACGGAATTAGTCGAGTAATGGGCTCGGCAAGCTTGTGCAGAACCATGCAAATAGAAAAGAAAACATATATGCATCAGAAAGCCCCACCAGGGATAGGTAGTATCAATGACAGTAAAATCGCGATCCATGTCCAGCATAGCCAGACCGGTCAGTTTTGGACAGATGAGTCTCAGGATGATGGGGGAGAACGTAGGGAGTTCATATAAGAGTCATGTCGTGGAGTCAATGCATCTAGAAAAGCGATGCAGCAACCAAATTTTCTCTGGGGCAGAAAAGACCGCTATGAGTCATGAAAAAATAAAAGGAATCAAAGAAATGGAACACGAAAAGAAAACAAGAGGGAAACCTAAAGTAGCCGACAAACGGGATATCTTCAAACAAGAAAAAGAACAATGGGAAAATCGAGAGGTCAACTCTCAAGGCCACCAGCCCATCCGCTTGTAACTGTCCACAATCTCACGGATACTATCCGTGCCAAAGTGGGGATATTTAGGCCTCCAGCCTGTTTCACGTTCGAACTTCGATCCATCAATGGACATGTCCTGATCTTTAAGTACGTCACGCTCGAGGAAGGGGCCAATTGGACCGGGGCGCGTGATACCGGCCTTCTCAACGAGCTCCGCCCAAGTTTGCAGACTGATTTCGTTCATGTCATCGACAATGTCGTCCAAATTGAGCTTGGCGAGTTGGGAGGCGAGCGAGCCGATGAACGAGACCTTGAGGCCGAAAACCTCGGTCAGCGCATTGGCAACATGCTCCTGACGCGTGTCGTTGTGATCGACGACATTGAAAGCAATAGGGCCGGTAGACATGTCGATATAGCCAGCTGCGGCGCGCCACTTGGCAGCCTCGAAAAGTGCACTAGCAGCATCCTTGACATGGAGGGTGTTCACTTTCAAGTCCTTGGTGTGCAAGAGGACGAGATCCTGTTTGAGATCGACATGGACGGCAGAGAGGCAGATACCGGTGGCGAAGTAGCCCGGGTCATAGGCGCCGTAGACGTGGGGCAAGCGAAGGGCGCAGTACTGCAGATCGGGGATTTTGCGGAGTTCTTCGGCGGCCTTGAGTTTCCAGTCTGCGAGTTTGTGCCAGGGGGAAAGCTTGTCGTCTTCCTTTCGTGGGGAGGAACCGCCCTTGTAAACGTGAGCGGTGGAGGTTTCGATGAAAGCGGGGATACGGCGACGGGCAATTTCCTTGCCGAGGGCGAGTGTTAAACGACAGCTGCGGGCCTCGTAGACGTCGTCGGGTTGGGAGTGACGAGACTCGCCACCGCAGTTGATCACGTAGTCGAATTCTTTGCCATTGGCTCGGTCGAAAATGCGCGGGAAGTGTTCTGGGGGAGGGTGAGACTTGATTTTCTTTGTGGGGGAAGAAGAGGTGGAAGGGGTTGACACTCACGTTCACGGCTGGCATCAGCCTGAACAAACTTGTCCTGTGAGCATGCCTCTGCAAACTCTGGGGCCAGCCAAGCTAGTTGGGGTAGGACTTTGTCTACCAAGCGGACTTCCGAGGCCAAATTGTTTTCATGGAGGTAAAGGGCGAGGTGACGACCGATGAAGCCTAGAATAGTCAGAATATTGCGCCAGAGGGATTCCAGAGTTTCCCAGGAATATTTACCGAGACCACCAACAATCAACACGGCGGGTTTTTCCATGATGAAATTCTCCCCGCAGGTTCAGGAGATCGAAAGGGGGGAAGTTGGGACGGGAGAAAGGAGGGGCCAACTTTTGATCGGAAGAGCACACGGGGTTATAACAGGTATAGCAGCAAAAGAGGGAAAGGAAAAAGAAGATTCCAAACAAATATCAATTATTCTATATAAGGCTATCGGGATTCTCCCCTGCCAAGCCGGTTGTGGGTTTACACTAGAATTTGAGGCAATTTTGGATTTCAATCGAATAGAAATCTATCTGTGACGTCGGCAAAGGAATAGTGTGTGTTAGCGCAATTGTAGTGAGTGCACTTGGGTTACTTAGTTTAGTTAGTTCAGTTAGTTCGATTTCAATTAGCGTAGGTAACGTAGTTAACAGTAACAGTAGTTAGCGAATGCCTAGGTTAAAAGACGTAAACATCCCTGCGCCCGAGTCCCATGGTACCGGTTCCGATCACCCGAAAGATGCTGAGGCTAAGCATTTTATAGATCGTTCTTCGTTTCTTCGTTTCTTCCATTCTTTTGATTTATTAGTTTTCAAATTCGGTCTGAATTTATATTGTACTCCGGATGTGGACACTGTTGAACATCCATAACCTCCGCTATCTATCGAATCGGTAGATGATCAGCTCCCGATTGCTGTTTTCGCCCACCAGATACCGCTCACAACCCGCAACCTTCCCTCTGCCCGCGAAGTCAACGTGATGATCATCCGTACATCGGGATCGAGGAGTCTGGATCGTCAACCGGAAGACCTCATCGGCACTCCGCAGAAAAGGATCAAACTCAAGACAAAAGCTAACATCGCCAGTGGAGACATGGGCAAGCATTTCATACAATGGAATAGGTATCATCCTATCGTGACCAATCATCTCGGGGTTTAGGCCAAAGCTTCCACGATATGGCGGTATTTCACCCTCACATTCCCGTTGCCAATGGGGCCCATGTCTAGCCAAGGGGATGCTTGTAGTGACTGACATCAAAGAAGGCGACAAAGGTAGAGCTGGTACTGATTGGTGGACGGTCACACTTTCTGAGATTTCTATCGCCCTAGAATCATCTGTTATGCTCAGTCTTTGGATCCTGGGACAGCCTCGTTGACGAACACCGAAGAACTCCAAATCCCGGAAGCTGAATCGCGAAACGATGTGCGGTGAATCATCTGGTGTATCAGGATCTCTCAACTGCCCTGTGGGGTCCAGTGATGGCCGGTAGGATGATTCTTTGGAAATATCCCAAACAAATAAGGATTCGATGGGCGCGTCTTCATCTGCTGTGTAGAGGCTTCGGTTGGGTTGCCAGATATAGATCACATAGTGGGTATTGTTATGGGAAGAGAAGAAGCGATCGCGATCGCTCAAGGGATGACCCAAGAACATGATTTTCCACTCATTACGCGGTGCGATGTTCCAGCCATGATTCGCGTTTTTCGAGACATGGAACGATGATGCGAAGTGACGATGAACGCCATCACTATCATTCAGCCAGTGGAAGGCCTTTGGTTCAGCCCATTCAATCACAAGTAGTCGTTTTGCCAGACGGACACGGCGAATGACCTTGCCGGTGATGATAAATGGCACCATAAACTGACGGTCCGTTTCCAAATCTCTCAGTACGAGACATTGGTGCACCGCGCTGGGATAAACAAGCAAGTTGTCCTCGACAGTCCAAAAAGCTTCTGGAAACTGGCGGTCAACCAATATTTTTTTTTGGCTGGAGTGAGAGTCCCATGGCTGCACCTGGTACCATTCAAGATCTCCAGTGCTGCCGAAGTTATTGCATAGTTGGATCGTTTGGACAGAGCGGGGTTTCCCTCGCTCCAGGGAATGGCATCGAGAAGCGACTCGATCGAAGAGTTCAAGGGCTGAATCTTGATTTGCAGACCCTGAGCTTGAATTCAACTTCTTGACTTCCGTTGTCCATGGAAATTCTCTTTTCAAGAATGGGATGAGAATAGCAGGGTTGGTAAGGGCGGCATGCCAGGCGCGCGAGACGCGACGACAACGCACAATATCTTCGGCTCCCAAATAAGCTAGGATCATCCAGAAGATATCGCTAGGCAAATATGCGAAATCATGGCTTTGTGACCTTGCCATCGTTGAGCGTGGGGGTACGAAAGGACATGGGGGGACGGGACCTTTATAGGGTGGGACAATCTACGGTCCCATACTTGCCCATGTCCCACACAATGGGCATCCCACGCACTTTCTTTTACTTCATTTTGCTACAAAGGAAAAATTGGGGGTAAACGAGATCCACTGCTTGGTCTATCTGAATTATGTAAACAACTTGATTTGAATGGTTCGAAGGAATTTCCAAGATTTCAATAACTTTCATTTACCTCCATGGATGCTCGATAGGATATATTTTCATCCATGCTACAGACCCCGAGGCTTTTTTTTTTTCTTAAAAAAAAACTCCGAATTTCAGGAGCCTCATTCACCTCTAGCTAAGCACGAATCAATCCTCCTGTCGCAAAGATTCAGTTGTTGGTGGCCACTTGACTCTCTTCTCTGCCTTGACATAGAGATTATTGGGCCGAATCAGTTGGAACATAGGGTCATATTCAATTGGCCCATCACCCTCCCGGGTGAACTTATACCGATAGATCAGCTTTGGAAGGAACACTTTGATCTCCTGGAGAGCAAAGTTGAAACCAATGCACATGCGCGGGCCCATGGCGAATGGGACATATGCTGCTTTGTGTCGGTTTTTGACTTCATCTGTATCCCATCGGTCAGGTGTGAACTTGTGAGGATTGTCCCACAAATCAGGGTTGTTATGAATGTGATGCAATGCTGGGAGAACAACAGCGTCCTTGGGAATCTTGTAGCCCCCTGGGAGTACAAGGTCGACCCTGGCGGTTCGTGCTGGTTGGAAACTTGGGTTGTGGCGACGTTGCATCTCCTTGATATACTTGTCAAGGAAATCGAGACGCTCGGTGACATCTGCCGTGATCTCAGTATTCTCATCGATGCCATTGTCAATCAATTCCTGAAGAAGCCTTTCTTGCATCCCGGGATATGTGACGAGACCGTAGATCAGCCAGGACAGCAGAGAACTTGTTGTTGTGAATCCAGCTCCTGTTGCCACAAGCAAGGCCCACACCAGGCTTTCCTTTGGCAGCTTGTCCCCCTTGTTGTCAGTTGCGCGAATCGCATAATCTGTCCCTATATTAGTTGTCTGGTCTTGGGAAACATGACATAGAGCGTCCACTCACCGACCATGTTAGACGCTTTCAACGCCGCATCTTGAAGTGGAAGATCCTCAACTCCACCACTTTCGGCTTTCTTGATAGAATCCCCTACAAGCTCCTCAATTCGAGATTTTACTGTTCGGAGCCGTTGGGGATCACCAAATGGCAACCGACCGTACCAATCTCCCTTTGATGAGACTTTCTTGTTCAGAGAAAGAAGTTCAGCAATCAGATGCACCATTTCGTGTAGCGGAGCATCAGCAGATTCAAAGTGCTGGAAATCCAAGCCAAGTGTAAGCTTGCCCACAGCTTGAGACCCAAGCTTCAACATATACTGATAAACGTTCCAAGCTTCGCCTTGTTCGTCGAGAGCATCAAAAACCTCGAAGGAATCTTCAACGGTTTTCTGCATCATAGGTGCATAGTGTCGGACTGCCTTGGGACCGAGGGCTGGTGGCAGGAATTTATGGGCAACTCTCCACTCGGGAGTGTCTGTGTCGCCGAGGAAAACACCAGCAGCCTGTTGCTTCAGTGGATAGAGCGGATGAGCCTCATTGATTTCTTTAGTGAAGAAATCAGACTCGGAAAAGCAGATTGCTGCCAGGGTTGGGTCATTTGTGAGGTATGTTGTGCGCCCGAGAGTTGTGGTTTTGATAATCGGTCCGTATTGTTCGAAGAGGCGTTGGTGGTTCCCAAGGTGATCGGGGTATACTTCAAGGAAATTGCCGACAAAAGGCAGTCCCTTAGGGCCTGGAGGATCACGAACCGCGTGACCGTCGACAGTGATCGCAACTTCAGTAGCAGCCGACGTGATTTCGGAAACGTCATTAAGCTCACAGTCTAGGGCTTGGAACCCGATTCCTAATAAAATATCAGTCAGTGTGGACGACGAGCTGAGATATCCTTCCAACCAACCATTTGGCTCAACAATGGCAAAGTGAGCCGCAATCAGGTGTTTCAAGTCCTCCAGACCACTTGCTGGGTCGATATCAATGTTCCTCGCAGAGGATACTGCCTCGCCAAGGAGGTAGAACTGTTTTGCAGGCATTTTTGATTTGATCTCGAGGAACACAGCTACCAAGATGAATCAAAAGGCAACAATTAGAACTTTTATATCAATTCACTAGTTTCACGTAAACAAAAAGCCACGCTCGGTGATTGCACGCTTGTAGTTCGGGATGCCGCTTCCTCGGAGGGCGGGTCTGACCCAGTTTCCGATTGGCGACCGGCACGTCTGACATTACCTCGGAAAGCCGCACGCGGGATGCTCTCAGCAAATCGGCAGCGAGGAAGTCCCGAGGTACAGGGCTCCACTTCGGGATAACAGCTCGTACGAGTTCCCAGGTTCTTTGGTGTCCACAGGCACTCAATATCTATCGCAGAGTCTAGACAAACTAAAAAGAGAAAATGATAATCAACGAGTTTTTTATTGGCCCAATGAGCTTTGTGTGACTGGACCATACGGGAAAATATGATTTGTCTTTCCTATCGTTTGTTCTGCTCATAGTTCTAGGTACAATCTTAGTCCATAGAGCAAACTGGCATCAAAAAGTTTGTTCAGCACCCGTAATCGGCAACTCAGATAGTGAGACGTCTATTGTAGTCGACAATGGATTTGATTTGGTGGATCGCGAAGAAGGCAGTAAGTAGTATAGACATTATAAGAAATTTTGGATTGACAATAAATCTGACTCAATGGAATACAAAATGAAATGATAGGACAAGGATTCTCTCAAAAACAGAAAATCTGATCTGACATCTTCGCAACAGCACCTGGAGCTTCAAATCCTGCTGCCACCAAGCTCTTTTTCGAAGCATTCACCATACCCGGTGGCCCGCAGAGCATTATTTTTGTATCGGGCGCAGATGCAGGGAGTCTTGCAGACATGACTTCGGGCGTAACATATCCCTTGCCATAGGTCCAACCCTCCGAGGGATGATCAAGCATGTACCAAAGCCTGAAGTTCTGAGGGTAAGCCCGAGCAAAAGTTTCCAATTCACGACGCAGAAGAATATCCTCCTCGGCTCTGTTTGCGTAAATGAGACTGATCTCAGTTGTATCATGATAATCTTCGCAAATTGCCCGAATGAGTTGATACATTGGTGTGATTCCAGTTCCACCGGCGATCATGCCGATCTTTTTGCAAAGACCGTTATGATACTTCATTCCACCTTTCGGACCCCGGAACTCCACCAAGTCACCGACCTCTAGAGACGCAAGGTATTGCCCTGTGAGGAGACCGTCCGGGTAGCATTTGACAACGAGCTCTAGTATCCCAGTATCCAAGTTGTTGGATGTGGGGGTGTAGGATCTCGAGACAGCGGTACCGTTGATCATCGCTTTGATAGCAACATGCTGGCCGATAGGAAGTCCAACCACGTCCCGTGAATTGGGTAGTTGGAAGACGAAGCGAAAGACATTGGAGGACAACTGGTCCTTTTTGACTAACGGCAATTTTTTATAGGTCTTGGGCTCGAGGAAGCCTTTCACGAGATGTGGGCTTTGCTTCTTCACGGTAGACGCTTTGATGTGTGGACGATATTTGGTGAATCCAGAATCGATCTTCGTGAAGGCCGAGAGCTTGCTTGCTAGCGATCCGCCAACAACTGCGCATGCCAGAGTAGCAGCAGCAAACCCGCTCGAGAATCCACCACGGAGAAAGTCTGGATATGGCACATGGATGCTAGTGATCCCCCATGAAGATGGAAAATAGTTCGTAGCCAAATCGCTCAGTATCCGATGGTTCTTGGTGGAAATGTAGATCAAAGTTGTTGCAGTAAGTGTAGTAGCGGCAGTCGCTAGAGCCTTGCCAGCCGACAATGAGCTCTTGGCTCGCTCTGTACTAGAAGAGCTTTGCTGTATCACACGAACGGTCTTGGGTTGAACGAACTGCTGCGCGTCTCTGACAGTGCCAACCAAGTATGTCTCAAGGATCTCATTCGCATCCTCCGAATGACCGACATCTTCATAAGCAGCCGTGGCATCTCCACCGGCGACGTCTATCAGCACATCTGCGCCTCCCGGGTGGTCCCGTACGTAGTTGGTGATATCGTACACTAGGATTATCAGCATTGTGCTATCATCTTCTCGCATCGGAGCTGGGAGATACCTTTCCCATGAATAATGACAAACAAATCTGTTTTCGAGTTATGGGCTGCGACTTCGCTTGCGTTGAACTCTTTCAAAGATGCCATGTTTGTCTGGAGTCTGGAGGAATCACAACGGCGAATTTTCGGCGCGGCACTGATTACAGGTAGGTTGCTTTATATACACGCACAGGAAAACATCTCTCCTTTTCACTGTTTCAGTGAGATTGCCCGACCGCGTCCGACAAAACACCGTTGACCAGATGAGGGTCTCTCATGTCAGTGCTTTCCGAGGTAAGCTTCCTCGGCTTCAGGCTCCACAACACCCACCGACAGGAAACAAGGACAAGCCCAAGGAACACTGATCCATCAGCAGTCTCGTCAGATAGGAAATCTCCTCCCGAGTCTTTCTCCCGGCTCCGTACGGGATTGATAGTTTCCTCCCACGGCCCGAAAATGGAAAATTCCGAGGTACGATGACGACGCCCGATTTCACCAACGGCAAAGTCGGCTGCATCTGCGTTGAGCTTGCTTTCGGTTTGAGTGCAGCCTGATCCCCGAGGATCAACGGCATATCAATGTTAGTTATGGCACATAAAAGGGAGTGATTCTGCAGCTATCTGAATCCAAAACATTGAACGGTTCAGACAGAATATCCTGCTTGCATCATCTTCTCCCGATATTACTATATTACTATTCATCAGAAATGAAACCCACTTGGCAGCCTCCGCGGGACTACCGCAATCGTCCGGTTGCCATTCTCGGCGCGGGTGTACTCGGTCGTCGAGTAGGTATGTATCTCGTCATAATATATCATCTATACATCCCGGTTCTGACCAATATCGCTTCACTAGGTTGTATTTGGGCATCAGCAGGCTACAGTGTTCGACTTCGAGACCCCAGTGAGCAACAACGAGCGGACGCAATCACATACATCGAAGAGAATGTGCAGTCATACAGTGTCAAGACTGGGAAGACTCCCGGATCGTTTGAGGCATTCAAAGACATGAAGGAGGCTGTTGCAGATGCCTGGCTTGTGATAGAGGCCGTTCCTGAGAAGATTGAACTCAAGACTTCTACATTCGCAGAATTGGAGACTACTGCTCCGGAAGACTGCATCTTGGCGTCCAACTCATCCTCATACAAGTCCTCTGAGATGATTAGCAAAGTGTCCGATCAAACAAAGAGCCGCATCCTGAACATGCACTATTATATGCCGCCTCAGTGTATGATCGTGGAGCTCATGACTGATGGATACACTGCTTCGGAGATCTTCCCCTTCATGGTTGAACGTTCCCAAGAGGCTGCTACCCTCCCCTATGTTGCCAGGAAGGAGTCTACTGGATTCATTTTTAATCGACTTTGGGCTGCTGTGAAGCGAGAAGTTTTGACAATTATCGCCGACGGCGTGTCTGTCCCCGAAGAGATCGATGACATGTGGCTTGAGATGTTCATCAAAGGGGAAACCCTTCCATGCCGCATGATGGACAGTGAGTCATTGAATATAAGAACACCAAAGTGAAACCGACTGACACTATATTACTCAGAAATTGGATTAGACACCGTTGCCTTCATCGAGAATCATTACGTGCATGAGCGTGGACTATCCTCGGAGAAGACGGTCGACTTTTTGAGAACCAACTATCTGGACCAAGGCAAATTGGGAAACAAGTGCTCCCAAGGTGGACTTTATGCTCCGGACGACAAATCGAGTACCCCGACGAACGGACCAAGAGAACCTGAAATTTTGGTTTTGGACGTAGGGCTCTCAGCTTCTACGCCTAGCACGACCTCGGGACAAATCCTGAAGCTGACCGCGGACGGGAGACACTACGAAGCAATTCTGAAGGAACAAGCCCTGCCTGATGGACTCGCTGTTGACCAAGCTTGCGGCCGCATGTTCTGGACTTGTATGGGAGTCCCCGGAAAGCCTGATGGAGCAGTTTATTCTGCCAAGCTTGATGGGTCTGATATCATAACCCTGGTCGCACCAGGCACTGTGAACACACCTAAGCAGCTATCCCTGGATCACTCGGCGCAGAAAATCTACTTCTGTGACCGCGAAGGATGTCGGGTTTATCGTTGCTCTTTCGACGGCTCCGATCTGGAAACTTTGGTAGACAACATTGGGCACGATCTTACTTCCCAAGAGAGTGTCAGTGACTGGTGTGTGGGAGTCACCGTGAGCCCAGCTCTGGGAAAATTCTATTGGACCCAGAAGGGACCACCCAAGGGTGGTAAGGGCCGCATCTTCTGTGCTAATATCATGACTCCCGAGCGTCAGTCGATGGGCTCGCGCAATGACGTACAGTGTGTCTTGAGTGGACTTCCTGAGCCGATTGACCTCGAGATAGACGAAGAAACTCGCACTCTTTATTGGACTGATCGGGGCGAAATCCCATGGGGTAACTCGCTCAACAAAACCACCTTGGATGAAGCTGGGCTTGTTGTGCCGCCGGTCGATACTCCTCGGACTTATGAGACCATCACCAGGGGTCTGAATGAAGCCATCGGACTGAAGTTGGATGTGCCGAACTCTCATATTTACCTGACTGATCTGGGCGGATCAGTCTACCGGTGTAACTTGGATGGTACTCATAAGCAGAAAATTTTCTCCGAAGATTTGCGGGCCTTTACAGGTGTTGCTCTCCTGAGATCTTGAGTTATATGTTATGTTAGTTGTTCTAGAATATGATTTTATTGCTGCACAATGCGATGTAAAGAATTTGATCCTTTGTTTTTGGTGTGTCGGAAGCCTCGGCAAACAATGACGTAACTACCTCGGTTTCTTCCTCAGCGCTGTTTGATTCTCGGCATCCCGACCATCGACAACAGGTGTGAACTTAATAGAGCTGGTATGTCTACGCGCCGCTATCGATCAGCTGCTGCCTGTCAGAATTGCAGGCAGCGCAAAGTTCGGTGTAGCGTGACGGTGACTGGCATCCCGTGTATAGGATGTACACAAGATGGCAGAGAATGCCATCTCCCGCCAGGAAAAGTTCAAACGTGAGAAAATCTTATTGACTGATGAATAGCTGATGATGACATTGACAGGATTCGTGAGAGACATGCTCGTCGAGCTATTTCAGCAGTCAGCAGCCCAGTCAATACAGATCCCGCTGGGATGGCCGCTCCCTCAAGCTCGGTAGATGCATTTCCTGGAGCCTTTTCAACACAACAAACAAATGGAACCGGATTAAGCAATACCGGCACGAGAAGTGTCTCTCATCCTCCGGAGTACCCCCAACGCCGGGCCGAAGAGCGGACAGGCGTTGAGATTGCCACCAAAGTCCTTGGTAGAAGCAATAAGAATGGCCAAGCGCCATTTTACACTGGTGTGTAGCACCAATGTTCTTTGGTCCAAGGAAAGCTGACCTGTTTGAACAGGTGATTCACCTGGATTTGGCAGTGTTTTCGATATATGTTCATCGCCTCGGCAGCCTATTCAAAGGCACATCTTACTAACATCTAAGACCTCAAACTTCTTATCCCCCGAGGATAAAGAATATTTACAGTATAAAGGGGTTTTCAGTCTGCCTCAAAACTCTACTTGCAATGAGCTTTTACGAGCATATTTCCACCATGTGCATCCTCTCACGCCAGTGGTCGATGCTACCACACTACCACATCTCTATCCAACTGGAGAAAACCAACAGCATAATCTCTTGCTAATATGGAGTGTATTTTTTGTCGCAGCGAATGTGAATTGAAAGTCCAATTTTGCCCAGAATCGGATTTTTGGCTAACGAAAACACAGTATGTCTCGGCTGATACCTGGAAAATGGAAGGCTTTTCGTCCAGGAAAGATATGAAAGATTCCATGTATTCTCGTGCAAAGGTATCAGTGGTTCAAGTCAACTCCAATATCTTTACTGATGACAATATTGCAGTGTTTACACTATATCGGGGGTGAAACAAACCACACCGTGCTACTGCAATCAGCACTCCTTTTGGGTTTCTACCATTCCGAAGCCGATACTCACACACAGCCATGGTATTGGCTAGGAGTGGCAATTAGCCTCTGCCAATCCATAGGTCTGCATAGATGTTCGAGTGCGGTATGCGCTACCTCGCCCATTCCCGAGCAGCAACAGCGTCTCTGGCGCCGCCTTTGGTGGACCTGTGTCTTCAGAGATCGTTGGCTTAGTCTTACGATGGGACGACCATTGAGAATCAATATGAACGATTGCAACACCATGATGCCATCTGCGGCGGATATGTTAAGTGATTTTGCTGAGCTCCCTGAATCCATGTCCGAAGAATATATCCCAAAAGATCTACCACAGCTGGCGCAGTATTGGGTCACGATGATTCAATTAACCCAGCTCTTGGGAGATACATTGACCTTGTGTTATCAGCCCTTTGGGCCTAGTCCGTCTTTTCAGCAAGTTGAAAGCCTCGAGAGGGAGATCTCGACGTTCCAACTACCAGAGAGCAAAGACACGGTTTCAAGCCCTGTGGTAACGTTCTATCTATACCACCTTCAGCTTCACTATCAGTAAGTAGGGATGAGCTCTTTGAAGTTTCTCCGGGATCTAACTGCGAAAAGAGCATTCCTCGTCACCTTTTACCGGCCGTTTATTACAAAGACACCCGAGGGGCTTCCGGTTACCCAGAAAAGCTCATGGCAAACCCACATCAGAAACTCCATCGACACAGCAGCCTTACAAACAAATTCTGTACTGGACAGTCTAGTTCGTGAGAAACTTCTTGATTTCTCCGGTCCCATGACGTGAGCGTGAATGAAATTCAAGGAGAAAAGGTCTAACACTTGCTCCAGGCCGCCACTGTTAGTGCCAGCAATGCACGTCCACCTTTTGAATTGCAAATCACCAGATCCTCTTTCTCGGCGTCTAGGTCTCAACAAACTGGAATTGTGTATGATGGTTTTGGAGCAGTTGCAACACACCCACCCATCATCTTCGCTATTCCGGGGCATCTTTCTAGAGGCTATCCATCATATCTTCCCAAGCTACGTAGCTCAGTCTACCATACCAGAGCTTGCTACATCAGAAGATTCATTGCAGCCTAATGTCATGACCGATGGCCTCATGGCCGGATTCAATATCGGCGAAGACGCTATCGATGCACTGATGGACGAGGTGTCGATATTTAATTTTTGGGAGTCGCTTAACAACATGCAGTCATAGTGATACTTACCTATGTTAAGTACATACTAATGGTTTTTATTCTGAATACATCGCGTTCTACTTCCATGTATATTTCCACTTCACTGCCAACTTTGAAGTTTCACAGCTATCAAAAACTAGCCCTGGAGATCATGGTAGAGGCTTGGGATTCGAGCATTGACAGCCCGGGAGCCCAGTTGGTGTACACGCGAATATCCACATGCGACACTGGTCTGAGAAGGGAAATAATATTTTCCTCCATATGAGCACCGGTGGGGGCAGGGCCGGGGGCAGGAAGGGAATGAAGTCACAAATTGTATGATTTCTTGTTGTTGAAAACGATTCTCATTATGCGTAACTCGCAGATTATGTGGTCAGCCTGGCACATCCCGCACCTTCTCAAGTTGTCACACTTGAGCACCACTCCACTGCATAATTGATCCGAAAGATCTCTCATCCCTTCACAAAGGAGGGGTATCTTGATGAAGAGCAGCCATGACCCTACTAGTAGGTAGAAATAATCAGCACTTGTGTAACATCTTGGAAGACTTTGTGGAACACCCACGAAGGATGGTACCGAGGGCCTTCAAATTCAGCTTGCTCTGCTAGAGTGCGAAGTTCCCGGACTTCATCTTGATCCAGTTGAAGGAATGCAGCAGCTGCATTGTCATTTATTTTGGATATTGACTTTGTGCCAGGGATAGGGATGATTTCCGGGCCTTGTGCCAACAGCCATGCAAGGGCAACCTGTGCCGCAGTGGCTTCATGGGCATCAGCAATTCTTTTGATGCCCAACACTAGTCCTGAAATTGCAGAAAAGTTCTTTTCGGCATACTTGGGGTAGTACTGCCGCAGATATTCCGGAATGTCCTCGTAAGATCGAAGCTCTTGGGCGAAAATACCGCGGCCGATGGGAGAATAGGCAACAAGACTAACGCCCAACTCGCGACAAGTGTCGAGGATCTCCGAGTTTGGTGATTCGATGTCTAAAGTGAACAGACTGTACTCCCATTGTAGGGCAGCAATGGGGTGAACGGCATGCGCCCGGCGTAGTGTTGCTGCCGAGATATTGGATAGACCGATATGACGGATCTTTCCTTCTCTACCATAAATAGTGATGAGTATTTGCCTCGGAAATCCTCCTTCATACGAGCTTACCGCTTTAGATCCACCATTGCTTCCACGGTCTTTTCAATGGGCGTGACTCCATCAACTGCATGGCAATAGTAAAGATCAATGAAATCCACCCCTAGCCTTTGAAGGCTCTTTTGGCACGCCTCTTTGGCATAGATGGGATCGGAATAGAATTTATAGTGGCCATCGACCTGACGCTCAAGCGAGAACTTAGTGCCTATAAAAATGTCCTCACGTTTGCCTGATCTCTTGATCCATTCGCCAACAACGTCTTCGCTGTCACCGTAGACATCAGAAAGGTCCCAAAAGTGTAGACCAGCTGCATGGGCGTAGTCTAGAAGGGCCACCTTCTCGTCAAGAGTGCCTGCTGGTCCATAAAAGCCACCGATGCTGCCAAATCCAAGCCCGACAGGTGAGATTTGGGGGCCATTTCGTCCCAGATTTCGTAGAGGAAGCGCCATTTCGAAAATCGGTAAGTTTGTAGCCGTTGATTAAGATAAGCCATATTTTCTGAACTTGACAGGATCTTATATATGGAGTTAGTGCAAGGATTGTTTATGCTGACGACGACCATTGTCGGCATCAACCTTGGAAGTTCGAGTCATACAGAGTCATCACCACGCTATTCCATTTTGGTTTGCCGATTCCTATCTAAACTTTACTTAAGTGAGATTTCATGAAAAATTGCAGGGAGATCAAATCCAGGGGGCCTTAAAGCAAATAAGTATGTCATCACATCAAAAGTAACCAAGCGTAGCCCCCCCCCCCCCCGGAGTGACATTGATTTGGGTACACATTCACCCAATGCCATGAGAACTTGAATTTAAACCCCGGAGCTCTAGCATCTCAGATATAAGACCAATTCAGTCGCTTTCCATTTTTCTTTTCGATCCTAATAATCATTACCCGTTGATCCATAGAGATGAGTCCCCCGTTCCAGAATCTCAATTTCGTCGCCAACTTCAACGTATAATCCTAACTCCTGCTCCTCGGCTCTCTTCAAGGTCGAATCCTCGGGTACACAATGCATGCCAAGATAGCCGAGTGCAGATTTGTTTCCAGTCTCAATTGTACGATGCTCCACTAGTGTAGTGCTTGGTTGTGGTTTCCCTCGTTTCTTCTCAGGGCGTGGGATGTCGGTGTCAAATGTCCCTTTATCCGGGTTGACATTGGGCATAGTACATCTGGATGTACGACACACAACAGACAGTGTCGGTGCTATGTCCGCTCGTGGTCTTGTGCTATTGCTCTTTGGTAGAATGCGATAGCGCTTCCACGTCTCTTCTTCAAAGGCAGGTGCATTGGTGATCCAGATATTTGCGCGAAAACGAAGCGCATTCATTGGCTGATTTTCGGGAGGAAGAAGGGCAGATACAGCATGGACTGAAGACAGACTGTTGATGTTGATAGGCTGTTGATCTGTGTAGCCATGCACGGCTGGGGTGCCAATGTGTTCCAGCGGCGCAAGGTTCTTATCGGTGCGCGTCAATGTATCTGGGGTACATTTGAAAAGAGTGAGGCTTTGGCTTGCTGGAATACCCAGGAATCTCTTTAGCTTTGGTAAGGCTGCTGCAACAGAAGGAATGCCGCCATAATCAAGACCCATTGCATCACGACTATGGATACCAAAAGTCTTCAATTTCGTTTGATTTTCCTCGAGCCGGGAGGCCTCCAGGTTGAGCGGCACAATGATGGTTATTTCTGGAATCGAAAAAGGGTTCCATGTCTGGAAGAAAGCATCGATTTGGTTGATCCAACTGGGTATGTCTGGATCATCGAACTTCATGACCAGACATCCACCCGACTGAACCAAAAAATCCCTTGTATCACTTTCCCCATGGGGAAGCCATATCTCTGTCCTAACTAGTGACATGAGGGGCTTCGTGCGCTGGCTGATGAAACGCCATGTCGAGGCCGCAACAGTATCTTGGTCATGATTCTCCGTTGCTAAAGCAAAGCATCTGTCGTACATGAACCCGGTCTTAGTGAGCAAGGCTCGGTCAACCTCGATAGGGCCGCAAGATTTGACAGGGTGAAGATATAATGATTTGATTCGCACTGGGCCGCCCATCCCGGCGCTTGGTGTCAGGCCGAATTTAGGGTTATACTGGTCTGCCATCTTGCTGGTGACCGAGCCCACATTTTGCAAATTTCTTAACCTTCTGTGTGTTTGATAGGAACTCCCAAATTGTACAGCAATAGCAAAGCCAATGCCTAGAAGGAAGATTATGAATATGACGACATTGAGAACATCTCCCAGTGATATCTGGAAGGACTGCAAGAGCTGGATGAGCATGGTGAGAAGGTCCAATATCTAATATTTGACTCTTCAGATATGTGTAGAAGAACAAAGTTGAACAATAAGAGTCACGTCGGCTATGGCGCGACTTTTACTTTACCCCTTTCGGAAGTTAATGGGAGCGGATCCACTGCGATTTCAAATCTTACAGCATTGCATTGGAATGTTTTGGTCTAGAATATTGCAGACTAATGTCATGGAGAACTCACAGGTCAATTGCTCTAATGGCTCTCCCCTGGCCTACTTGAGGCTCTGGAGGTCTTCTATAATACAATGTCCAGTGCTAATAATGGCCATACCACTGGGAGATCATGTACATTGTAAAAGTAGAACCCTGGAGTTTCGGTCTCAGAATATGAGCTACAGGAAACCCTCTGAAGAACGTCAGAATCCACAATTAGTATCCAGCTTCCGACCAAATGAATACTCCGGCATCTGTTTCTCTCTCCCCCGATGTGTGCTGCGTGCTTCGGGCAATAAACACAACCTCAAATTCCAGAAAAAGGGCCCGACCTTGCGTTAGACTCAAGTAAATAACAATATAGGTTTCTAATTGAGTAGAAAACATTTATTAGACGGGACTTCCCGGCCAAGAAGCTGTCATAGTCATATTTGGAGATCTAAATGCTGCTTCGGATGGTATAAGTACACTCCGCATGCCAAGAGCTTCAGGACACCTTGCCTGATGGTGATTCGGACCTTTTGGCTCCGTTGAATTCGCCCATTTCTTCCACTTGCCAACTTTGTTGCTACCTCTAGAGCTGTATTTGACCATTGTTTTGGAACCATGCTGCCCAGCGCAAGCCTTCTCTTTGTCGCGTCGCTCCTTGCGGCGTTGCCTGTCAACGCCGATGGAATTTACCCTAAGAATTCGCCGGTGCTCCAGCTGAACTCCAAGACCTACAACTCGCTCATCGCGAAATCAAATCATACTTCAGTAAGTCGCTTTGTTATCAAGCTTGCCTAAAGTTGACTAACGTGTGGCTACGTAGATCGTCGAGTAAGCTATCCCGCGCATAGCTCCATGCCGAGGTCTCTCCGCAACCTACTCACATTTTTTTTCGCTAGATTCTACGCCCCCTGGTGCGGTCACTGCCAGAGCCTGAAACCTGCCTACGAGAAAGCCGCCAAGAACCTCGATGGACTCGCGAAAGTCGCCGCGATCAATTGCGATGAAGACGAAAACAAACCCTTCTGCGGGCAAATGGGCGTGCAGGGCTTCCCGACCCTGAAGATCGTGACGCCCTCAAAAAAGCCCGGTAAACCTCGTGTCGAAGATTACAAGGGTGCTCGCACCGCCAAGGGAATCGTCGACGCAGTTGTCGACCACATCCCCAACCACGTCAAACGCGCATCCGATAAGGATTTGGACAAATGGCTCGGGCAAGATGAGGACAGGCCCAAGGCCATCCTCTTCACCGAGAAGGGCACAACAAGCACACTCATTCGCGCCCTGGCTATCGACTTCCTGGGCGCGATTGACATCGCGCAAATCCGGAACAAGGAAACAGCCTCCCTGAAGAAATTCGGCGTGACTGATGTCCCTGCCCTGGTTCTCATTCCCGGCCCCAACGCCGAACCCAAGATTTACGAAGGCGACCTGAAGAAGAAGCCCATCACCGAGTTCCTCAGCCAAGCAGCCAAGCCCAACCCAGACGCCTCTGGCCGCGCCGCGGCAGACTCAAAGCCCAAGCCCAAGCCCAAGCAAAAGTCTAAGCCCGCTTCCAAACCTACCTCCGTCGCCGATGAGCCGGACATCAACCCCACTGCTTCTCAAGATCAGGACTCAACAGAGCCCTCTCTCAAGCCCGCACACGTCCCTATTCCTGCTCCCCCAATCCCTACCCTTTCCACCCCAGAATCTATGGAAGCTTCTTGCCTCGCCCCGAAATCCGGTACATGTGTCCTTGCTCTTCTCCCCGGAGCCAGCGAGCCTGATGCCGCGCTCCCCCAATCCGCCACCGATGCTCTCGCCAGCCTTGCCGACATTGGACACAAGCACGCTCAGCGTGGGGCCCACCTCTTCCCTCTGTATGCAGTTCCTGCTATCAACACTGGCTCTGGCATCCTGCGTGAGGCATTGGGCTTGCAGGCCGACGATGCCCAGACTGTTCAGCTCATTGCGCTGAATGCTCGTCGTGGATGGTGGCGCCGCTACAGTGCCGAAGACTTTGGCGGCGTGGCCGTTGAGGCTTGGATTGATAGCATTCGGCTTGGAGAGGGCGCAAAGGAGAAGTTGCCCGAGGGAATTATCATTGGTGCCGAACCTGAGACCAAGCAACCTGTGGCGGAACCCGAGGCTGAAGCTGATGAGGCAGATGTCGAGAGTGTTGAGCCAGAGGCCGAGGAAGCTGAGCAGACTGTTGAACATGATGAGCTGTAAAAAGCTCATTGTAGGCTTTTGAAAAGTATCGACTCCTGGTCAAGTATTTCCGTTTTGCGCAGCGTTGCATCTTTTAATTAGTGAATGCATTACGTTGTTACTATGCTGCTACGTTCCCATCGTCTTTAAACTCATAAGAAAAGAACGATAATCGTGATAAACACATGATTCATATATACAAGGACGGATATCCCGATGAGAACATGAACCTCGAATAGTACAGACAAATACTAGAAACAAGACGGAAAAGTCTCTGAGACCCAAACCGAACACCGAACACAAATGCAGAAAGAAACAGCTGTCAAGAAAATTACGACATTCAACGCTTTTTGCGGCCCTCGGTGCCCTTCTTGATGATCTTCTGCCTCTTCGAGTCAATCTCCTTATCGTAGATATCGCGTGCAGTCTCGACCTTCTTGCGCTTGGAAGGCTTCGAGCTATCTTGTGCGTCACTGGCTGGGGATCAGTTATTGTTGTTTCATACCAGCCTTCGCTCTTGGAGTAACTTACGGGTTCGACTCGGCCATAGCACGCTGCTTGGCGCGCATCTCGTCGTCAATCTTCTTGCTTCCCTCGCGGAGTTCGTCTTCCAGGCTGACGGACAATGGCTGGAGCTTGGCCTCGGGCTCATCGTCGTGCGCGGCGGAAGTCACAAGGGCCTGCTTCTTGGCGGGCAGGGTATCCTCGATGCTCTTCTCAACCAATGCGCGGAAGTGAGTGGAGATCTTGCGAATGATCTTGAGGAACATGGCCAAAAGTTGGGATGGGGGAAGGTTCAGTTCCTTCTCCAGATCATCCAGACTCTTGTGCTGCAGACCAATGGCAAGCAGAATGGACTGTTGAACGCCAGAGAGACTGATCTTGCCTTCCAGACGGTTGCTGAAGTAGAACTGAGCAAGGACGGGGACCATGTCGAGAATGACGTGGTAATCCAAAAGGTTGTTGGCATAGCTGTCAAGACGCTTCAGATCGAATGGCGAGAATTGGTCGTCCAGATCGCCCTTCTTCAACAAGCGAGCCTTGAACTTCGGGTCCTTCTTAGAACCAGCGTTGGCAGACTCACAGATGCTCAATGAGAGCACAGATGGGAACTGGCCAAATTGGTAGGACAGAAGTGAGAGGAAACGCTTGTGGAAATCGCGGGCGTAAGCGCTGAGCCAGGCGTCATCGGTTTCGGCGCTGGTCAGGGTGCGGACCATGACGCATGAGTGTTCGCCGGTGAGCTCGTTGGGAGTCTGGCGCAAGTAAACGGGGTGGAAGGATCCACGCTTCCAGAACTTGTGGAGGGATGGAGTCAGACCATAGCTGACACCGATGTAGTCAAGCGCATCGGGGCGACGCTCGGTCAGCTTGCCGAACAGGGGAGGCATCGAGCGGATGTCTCGAACTTGGACATTGTCGTCCAAGAGGCTAGAGCTGGCAAGCTCTTCGTCCGTAACACGGACCATTTCCTCTTCGGTGGCAGCACTGTTCTCCTCCAAATTTGTGAATTTGCCCTCGAAGAAGTCAACGAGAAGCTCCATAGCTCGGGATCCGTAGCCCATGCCCATGTATTCGGGGTTGGTGGCAATGCGGACCACACGAGCACCGGAAAGACTGGCAAAGTTCTCGTCCTGGAACTGTTGGCTGACCAGCCAGGGAATCAGATCACCTCCAGCACGCTGGCCGCGGCTCAAGCTGTTGAGCACGCTCTGACGACTGATGCGACCTTCAAGGGCGACCTGGATGACGCACAGAGGCTCGGGCAGCTTGGTGGCTTCTTCATCAATGGGAGGAACAAGCACATAGAGCTGGTGCGCGGGGGCGTCACTCATGAGCTGCAGATCGTTGGGGGTGTTCTTGTAATGACTGGCAACGTAAAGCGCCATCATTTGTTGCAGGAACTTCTCCGATACAGGGTGGAAGGAGAAAAGGGTGTCACGGTTGACCTGGAGCAACTGGCATTGGGATGGGTGAGGGCAGCCTTGTGTGTTCATGCGCGACTTGGGGAGGGTTGCATCAAGACAAAGGACCTTGTTCAACCACTTCTCGACCGAATCACCGGGGGCGTAACGAATGGGCTCTGCAAGAGTGATCTCACGCAAGCTTCGGCCAGTCAGGTTCTTGTCAGTAGACTTGGCAGACTTGCCAGTACTGCGGTCTGCAACGTCGGTGTCATCTGTCTTGACTCCACTGCGGGACTGTTCGCGCAGCTGCTGAATCAGCTTCAAAGACAGGGACCGGCCCGTGCCTTCGTATCCGTTAATGGTGGATGACATGAAGACCAGGTAAGGTCCCATGAGTTTCCGCACCAGAGGCAATGGAATAGCTGCGGCCTCATCAATGACAAGGAGCTCAGCCTGGCCCAGGACATGCGCATCCTGGGGCTGGATGTACTGGATGGTTTGGCGGTGGTTGCGGTGAATGTTGACACGCACAACAGCCTTGTTGAAGTCGGGGTTGGTGGATTGCAGGATAGTGTAATCGACGTGGTCAAGGTAACCAAGAGCATCAAAGCCCTTGAAGATGAACTCGAAGAGAGTTTTCAAGTTCTCGGGACTGGGGGATGTGATGAAGATGTTGCTGTAACCGTGCGCAATGGCGGCAGCGATAGCAACACCGAGAGCAGCCGACTTTCCTCGTCCACGACCAGCAGTCAAGGCGACAGTGCTCTTCAAGGTCTTCTCGGCGATTGCATCAACAAACGTGAGAAGGGCCTTGGCTTGGTCAGTGGTGCGTGCCAAATTCAGCAGAGGTCCCACGGGTTGTGCGTCGGCCAAGCTCTCCTTGATTTCCTTCAACTCCTTCTTAGGGCCTGTGAGAGCGTCATCGGTAGATTCGGGGGCGGGAAGAGGCTTCACGGTCTTGCCGCCAGAGATGGGCAGCACGTTCAACTCGTCGTCGACTACCAGACAAGAATCACAGCTTCCCAGAGACAGGATGAAACGTTCGTTGAAACGAGCAACAACATCATCGTGGGCCTCCGTGCGATACCGCGAATGAATATCCATGGACATGGTGTAAAGTTGCTTCAGACTGGTCATGCTCTTGAGCAACAGAATGACCATACCTCCACCCTCGACAGTCTCGACGGTTCGAGCAAGCAGGTTGGGGGTCATAGCCTCGAAGTCCTGTAGCACACACATTCCGTAGGTGTTACCCAAAATCTTCTCGGTTTCCTTGTAGTAGACATAGCGGATTTGGTTGAGGGTGATGAAAAGCTCGAACGGGTCTTCCTGGTTGGGTTCGCGAATGCCTCGTTTGACTTCCTTCTTGATTTTGGCTTCGCGCTTCTTGCGGTGGCTCGAAAAGTTAAGCAAGTCCTTCTTATAAGCCCACAAGACCGACTTGTTCTGCTTCACATCCACGCTGGACATGATGTAGTGAAGGTGAACGATCACGTCCTTGGCATGGTCGCCAACGACCACGAAGAAGCTGCGCTTCTTCTCCTGGACACCATTTCGGATAAGTGCGGGAATCCGCGAATCAATTGCCTTGCGAGGCATGGCGAAATGTGGTCTGGTGTTGATTGGCAAAACACTCTCTTGCTTGCGACCAAAAATGGCGGTTAGAAAAAAAATGATACTGCCCGAACACTCCGCCTCAAGTGTGTCCACCGCCTTTGGTTGGTTCTGACCATTTGGTCTGTGCTCACTGCTACTTACATACAACAGCTCCATTGAAAATATCACTCCAGGAAATCCATAGTCAGAAAGACCATCATATCCGAAGAAGCTCCCCCTCCAATGTTTAATATGATCTCGTTGCCTCAGTTTCTGGCTGGTGGGTCGCCAGAATAACAAAGATCTGAAGCCGTTGTGTTCCACGATTAGCGAAGGCGTTTCGTTGACTAGCCCATTGCCCATTACCCAGGTCCACGGCCGTTTGTAGTACTCGAATTCTACAGAGTGATCGTGAATATTGGGGGGCTATGAAGGGAGCCATCAGTCCTGGCCTTGGCGCATTGGACTTAGTGCAGATGATATGTTAGGACCCAGTTTCCTGAGGTCTGGATTGTAACAACAATTATTTTGATATGTGGCACTGGATTCCAGGAGATATTTCTGGCTGGATTCTAAAGTTCATGCCAAGGTACATAAATATTCGGTTCGAGGCAATGAGATATACCTCACAATACTTTGTATTATGGGATACTGGCATCAACTTTAAAACACTTTATTTATTGATGGACGTACCTTTAGGATCGGGCTTCAAGACTTCATGGGTAGACGGAGAACAGTTCTAGAGATCACACGATGGCTTTGATATACTTAAGTAGGCACATAGTACAACTGCTCAAAGTGAGTGATGACTTGGCCCCGGGTGACGGCGACCTTGATCCATGGATTACTGTTGCTTGTTATCTTCTACTCCCATCACTAGGAATTTTTATATGGAGTAGCTAACCTGTATGTGCCTCTCTCTTCCGCATCTCCCGATTTTCCATTTCGCATTGCTTCCCGGCTCTGTGCTTTGCACTTCTCTTACTCTCCTACACATTTGCCCCTTTCAGTTCACATCAACTACCAGTGTATTCCCTTTGGATTTTTATTTCACCATTTCTCTACAACCCCGAAACCTTAATACATTCACACTCCATGTATCATTAAGATATGCTTCTGTCACTGAGTGAGCTAGGTTGAGATAGATTCAGCTTTCTATAAGTGGCACAGTCATCCAAGGCGTTAGAGCTCGTATAATTCTCCGCGTCTATGGACGCTTGTATACGAGTTTGATCTTGTGGCGTGAACTCTACTTGTTTTGAATTTTGTATGAACGTTGGAACCCTCCACGTGACTAAAGTCCTTTCCGTTTCCGGAAATTACATTGGCCCGCTAGTCCATATCCGGTTTAGCGTGCGACCCTTCTTCTTTGCCCGACTTTTAATTGGCTGTTGCCAATGGATCCCCGGCTATCTTTATTTCGATGCATTGCAGAGCCTTCCAAGCCTCCAAGCCCTCTTGGCTCTATGACGCGTGTACAAGCTCTTGGCTGTCTTCCAAAGTACACATAACGTGTGCCTTGTATATGTGCGGGACTCTATCTCGCAGGGCCACATCTTCATGTGGCCAGGTAGGCTACAGGAAAGCTCCTGCCACATGACGTTTCTGGTATACTATGTGGGTCGGGAGGCCGACCAAGCCTTGATTCTGGACGCTGATCGGCCCGGCATTTCTCGCTGACCAGCCCTGTTATTCCCCAGAACCAGAGCGGCTAATGAGCTAATACAGACTAAGGGATCGGACAACGGTGGCTGGAGCTATTCCAACATCTATCATTGGTTCAAGATACTCACCCTGCGCTGATACCCATCAAAGGCCCGTGGTTGCGTGCGCAAATGTCCAGACAGCCCGCGTTGACGCAACCCTAATGGATCAGCACTCCGGATGCCTCTGATTAGCCGCCAGCGGATCTCAGGGCCCTCCTAGCCTACCCTGCTTTTTGCCATGTCTCGAGCAATGTCAATCCCCTGATCCACACGAGGCTGTTTCTATTCATGTCATCGATTTTCTCCCTTCAGCATTCAGTCCAAGTGAGCGATGGACTGGGACACTTTTGAGGCATAACTTTGGGCGCAAAATGGTCCAATTATCTCCCGACCTCGGGCTGAAGGTCTCTGTCGGGTGAGTCTCCGAACCTAATCCCTGCATATGGGAAGCTCAAGCTCACCGTCATGATTTACGGATAGAACATTCATTCTTAGCTCGTTGTTCCTTGCGACCTCATACAACACTACATTCGCTTTTGGTGAGTCGCTCAATTATAGCTCGATATAATTGTTCTGACCATGGCGCTCATCCAGACCGACCGATCAGTACATCTGTACTCGCATGTTTCCTGACCGGCGTCACATTATTGACATGGAGTCGCTTTATATCCTTGTCCTCGATACCGTCGTCGCCAACAAGCAAACGACCCGGTCTCCCTCTTGCAGAGCAATTTGAGCTCCCTTCCCGCGCATCGAGCTCATCTTTCCCCGTCGGCGATGTCGAAACCCGTCCTCGACTTCGGTTTCAATCCTGGTGGATTAAAGCCGGTCTATTATTGGGGCTATGCGGTGCGCGCATCGAATCTTTTCGTCAAATCACCCGCAATACCGAATGCGCGCCCGCCGGATACGCCGTGAGTAGCCAGCCCGCCAAACCAAGTCATGTCCGATGTGACTAACACATTGCCCTGCACAGTACGCAGTTCCGTTCATGGTGTCCCTTTATGACTTTTGGTGTAATCAGCGATCTCGACAAACGGAAAATTATGTACCGATCCAGCGGTTTCAAAAGTTGCCGCTGCAGGTAACATACTCGATGTCTCGCCGGAGTTTCTACTACCTGACCCAGAGCCGCTTCCGAGGTATCATTGCAGCAGCTTTCCTGTCGATCGGTGGACTTTTGGCTTCTTCGCTCCTCGCCGGAACACGGTCATCATACATCTGCCCTGTCGTGTTGAACGGCGCATCACGATTGCAATCCCTCAAGATATTCAATCTCTTTGTAGATTCAGGATTGCTCATTGGGATTGCCGAGCTGTGTCGGATTGGTGGTCAGTTCGATGATGCGCGGAGAAAACGAGCTTTGACGTTCCTTGGAGCTGGTCTCCTGGTGAGTGACTTGACTTGTTATTTTCGTGGTGCCCGCATTAACACTTCCAGGGTGTCTCTTTCATTTGGAGTGTTCTCTCATTTTGGGTGCCAAATAGCTCTCCTGAGCTTGCAGGCCAACCCATGCTAGATTTGGAGTACTCTCGTGGTGCATTCAGCCAGTCCATCCTAGTACTGCTACTTGTCGTGTCTGCGTGGAACATGGTTGGTCCCTCTGTTTCTCTTTGATTGGGGTCAATACTAATCTTCCCAGCTACCACACTTCGATGTTTTGGGGGTTTCGATAATAGGCGGCTTCACAATTATGTACTTCTCATCTTTGTCGGCATTGACGAGTGGACAAGCTCCTTTCCCTTTCATATCTTTGACCCACGCCATTCTTCCATTTGCAGCATCTTTGACTGGTGCTGTTCTATTCCTGCTTGCACGAATCGTTCACGACGAAGAGTCGAAGCCGCTATACCGCACCAATATCGCAATCCAAGTGCTGTTCGTATTGCTTAGTGCTGTTGGATTGTTCTTCGCAGTGAACAAGCACCGCTTTACTCATATGCATCCCATTGAGTTCCTCATCCACGAAGGCAGAATCCAGCATGATAATTTCATGAGTCAAGCATCCAGCAGCAAAAGCCTAGGGGAAGCTACTTGGGAGTATCGAAGAAGATACAATCAGCACCCTCCGCCGTAAGTTTGGGTCTTCTGCAACGAGTCTATTGCTTACCTAGCTAAATGAACCAGGGGCTTTGATAAATGGTATCAATATGCCACTAGCCGATCGTCAGCTGTGATCGACGATTTCGATCAGATCTACCACGATCTGCTTCCATTCCGAGCCGTGGCCCCGGAGCATATCCGGGCAATGACCCACGAGCTAGCCACCAATCCATTCAATGATCTTGGTGGTATCAGGATCCGCAATGGTACGGCCATGGTGCAGGAAGGGATTAAACCTACTCATGCATGGATGGTAAAGGGTGCTGCAGACATGATGGAAAACTTCGTCAAACACCTCCCCGACATGGATTTAGTGTTCAATCTGAACGATGAGCCACGAGTCGCAGTCCCTTGGGAGAAGGTTTCGGGGTTGACACGGCAGGCTCAGATGCAAAACATGGTACCTGAAGAGCATGCAGTAAACAGTTGGTCGACCAATCGAGAAGAGGGCTGGGCCCCCATCGAACCTGCCGACCAAACCAATATCACAGTCTTCACCGATGGTGCCTGGAGGGGAGTCTTCGATCCTTACGTCGGTGCCGTTTGCCCTCCTTCGTCCAAGGCCCGCTCCCAGCGAATCTGGAACCGCCGCGACATTTGCCTGTCATGCACGGCGCCTCACTCCATGGGTCAGTTCCCACTGGACTTCAACATCGCCTCCGACATCTGTCACCAGCCAGATCTTGCTTTCATGCATGGCTTGCTGATCTCACCGGCTTCGTTCAAAGTCTCCCAGGAACTTATCCCCGTTTTCAGTCAGAGTGCTCTATCCGGGTTCAATGACATTCTCTTCCCCAGCCCCTGGAATTACATCGACAAGGTTAAATATGAACCTACAAATGAACACCCCGATCCGGAATACGGACACAAAGAGAATTCTCTCTACTGGGTCGGTAGCACCTCAGAAGGTGTCAGTCGTTTCGGAGAGTGGAAAGGCATGCCCCGCCAGCGCTTCGCTCATCTCATCAACAACAATACCAACAACCAAGTCTCCGTTCTGCTCCCCACTGGCGATGGCTCCTTCCGCTACGAAATCATGGACGGCTCTGCCCCGGCCGAGGATCTCCAACTCCAAACCGCTGTCCACCTCGCCAACCCCATTATCCGCTGTGAAGATTGCGAGGAACAAGCTGCCGAAATGGGCACCGTGGGCTGGGCCGACTTCCAGGCCCACTGGTCCCACCGCTACCTCTTCGATCTCGACGGCGCCGGCTTCAGCGGTCGCTTCCTCCCATTCTTACACAGTCACAGCCTGCCTTTCAAGACAGGCCTTTTCCGACAATGGTTTGACCCTCGTGTCTCCTCCTGGCTCCATTTCGTGCCTATTGATATTCGCCTTCATGGGATGTGGAGTACCCTGGCGTATTTCGCGGGTGTGCCCGCCCCCGCGACAGATCGCTCGGGACCGGACGCACCGAAAGCTCGGATGAAGAGCCACGATCAACAGGGCAAATGGATCGCGGAGGAAGGCCGCAAGTGGGCGCAGACTGCTCTCCGCAAGGAAGACATGGAGATCTACTTTTTCCGTCTTCTTTTGGAGTGGGGACGTTTGACGGATGATCAGCGGGATGTGCTTGGGTTCAAACCTTAAGAATCATGCATTGGGAGGAGTTCTTTTCACACTAAATGTTAATGTCAAATACATAGCTCATATTCCAGTACATATTCACATCGCGGGGTTCTGAGTAGGAATACCCGAGGTTCACTACCTTAGTTTCACGTGCCTATCAAGTTGTTTACGACCGATATCCAAATCAATATCTATAGATGCAGGCGCAGTTCAGGACTGAACAATAGCTGCATATATCTGCACATATATGCAAATGCAAATATCCGCAGGCAAAAGTCGTGAGGTCATCGAGTCAGATTACCTCAACATGCAACGTTGTACGAGGGAATTAGAACGATCCAGCACCACTTGCGTCGGTCGCCAAGAACCCCCCGCTCCTTCATGTCCGCTCTTGTCGATGATTAGTGAAGATCATCGCCCCCCGAAGATGGCAAGCGGATGACGCTATGCTAATGTGGTCTGGCTCAAACTCGTTTTTCAGCACCGTGGGAGGTACTCAGCTGCCTGGAACTCAAAGAAAAAACTAAATGTGAACCAAAACACTCCTGTCAAAGTTTGACATCCTCTTCAACTTCTTTCAACCTCGAATCTCCTTACCTGCACGCCAAGATGGAGATTGACTATGCCGAGCAACGCACGCTGCCTGAAGATAATCCGAGCCCCAATTCACCCAGATCCTCATTCGTCGACTTTTTGAAAAGAGGCAGTTATCATCTACGAAGATCTAGCAAGCAGGAGAACTCCCCTGCGTCAAATTCAACAATTCCACCCGTCGAACCAAACCCACCTACCGATCCCGAGAAGCTTGACCACTCACAACCCTTTACAGACATCACTGGGGATCTTAAAGAAAAGGGCCAAGAGAATGAGGCCGTGGCAGCCCTAGAAACTTCCAAACCAGAAAGATCAGCCTCAGAGACCGCAGTCGCAAATGAATCCATCCTGCGCAAACAGAACCCGTTTAACCTCGATTCGATCATCTGGGACGATTCCTCAAGAGATGGCTTAAACCGACGCGCATCAGTTGATTTGGACGATATGATCGCGCGTCTCTTACAGGCCGGACAATCAAAAGCGACAAAGAAATTCTGTCTCGAACCAACCGAAATCCTAGCTATCTGCTCAATCGCACGAAACCTATTCCTCTCTCAGCCCGTCCTTCTAGAGCTTAATGCCCCCGTCCATATCGTGGGTGATATCCACGGCCAATACACGGATCTACTTCGTATCTTCGAACTATCCGGATACCCTTCTACCACCAATTATCTTTTCTTGGGCGATTACGTCGACAGAGGGAAACAAAGCCTCGAAACCATACTTTTGCTGCTATGCTACAAGCTCAAATACCCCGAAACCTTCTTCCTCCTCCGAGGAAACCATGAATGCGCGAATATCTCCCGTATCTACGGATTTCACGACGAGTGCAAGCGCAGATCCAGTATTAAAGTCTGGAAGACATTTACTGACGTTTTTAACTGTCTCCCCATCGCAGCCGTCGTAGCAGAGAAAATCTTCTGCGTCCACGGCGGCCTCTCTCCTAACCTTGCTGATATGAATGATATTCGAAATATTGTTCGCCCGACCGAGATACCCAGCCAAGGCCTCCTGACTGATCTGCTTTGGAGCGATCCCGCAAACATTAAAGACTGGGGACCGAACGACGATCGTGGTGTTAGCTGGACTTTTGGGCGTAAGCCCGTTGCGAATTTCCTGAAGCGACATGGCTTGGATTTGGTGTGCCGGTCACACATGGTGGTGGAAACAGGTTATGAATTCTTTGGAGAGAGGAATCTTGTGACTATCTTCTCTGCGCCAAATGTAAGTCTCCTTGATTTTGTCGTGAGGCACCGACTGACGTGTGCCAAGTATTGTGGCGAGTTCGATAATTGGGGGGCTATCATGACAGTCTCGGATGACTTACTTTGTAACTTCAATGTTATCAAATCACCAGTTCTCCCTTCAACCAACGGCCGAGTGAGGAGAAAGAGCGAAACCAAGGCGTGGGAGAAAGCTCTGTGAGTCTCAATTTGCTTCGCAATGATCGAAGCACTCACTTGATTCGCAATAACTGACCTTTGAATGACTTGAAAGCCTGGGGCAGTGGTATGGGAAGAGCCATGGGAAGGGATACTGATTCGAAGACTGCTCTCTCTGGTTAGCATAGGGCTTCATCGCTCACTGATTCGGTTGTCGTGAATACGTGGCAGCCTGCATGCCCTGACAGGACGTTTTAGTATTCTAGCCAGAAGATGTAAAACAAGTGAAACAATTATGACCATGAACCTATTGAACAAATGACAATACATTGAATAGACATTGTTGACATGCAGACATTACTGCTCAATAGCCAGAAGCTGTCAATCAATACACTCAATGCAAACAATACAAACACATCAGGTCGTAACTTCCCAGTGCCCCACCTGCCAAGTCTCATCTCTCTCGGATTGGCTGATCATCTCTATATCACTACCTAGGTATCCTTCTTCTCTTCTCTTCTTCTCTTCTTCTCTTCTTCTCTTCTTCTCTTCTTCTCTTCTTCTCTTCATACCACCTAGTATCTTTCACTTCAAGCCGCACTGATTATGTTTCCTCCAATTATGGAGCCTCCGCCTCAGAAAGAACTGTCCTCTCCTGATGAGCCATCATCTCAAGCCGGGGATGAGCCGTCTCAGCAAAAGGCATCTCTCCAGGAAGAGTTCTCACTGAACAAAGGATCATGTCTTCAAGGAGAACCGTCTCACCAGGATCAGCCTTCAACTCAGGATGAGCCATCTCAGGAAAAGGCATCTCTCCAGGAAGAGCCACTGCTGAACAAAGAACCATCTCCTCGAGAGGAACCATCTGATCAGGAGCAGCCGTCATCCCTCAAAGAGCCATCAACTCTGGAGGAGCCATCTCGCGATCAACCAACTTCTCACGATGAGATCTCTCCCCAGGAACAATCATCTCCTCAGAATGCAACATCAGCCCAGGAAAAGTCACCACCTCGAAAAGTGCCATCGCCTCACAAGTATCCACTCGGAGGAGTACAGATCCATATCGGGCTTGTGAGAGTCGCCGCGAAAGCTCTTTCCAGTCACAATATCCCGATGGTAGAATACGGCCAGCAGATTCAATGGCGCTCGAAGGATCCTGTCGTCCTGATGGTAAGTAGCAAGTGTTTTCCTGGGGACTGTCTGATCACTGGACAATACTAACAGTGTCTCAGTGTGTTGAATGGGGAATCCCAGATACCCTACTCCCACTCGCAGCACAGCTTCTATCGGACTGCGGATTTGAGGAACATGTTCCGGGAACAGACCCCTTTGACAGGAACGTAAAGTGGGAGCAAGCCGGCGTCTCCTACCTAGTGGGTAATCGCGGTCAACTAAATCTCTATCCACTGTCGCTTTTCGGCTTTGAGCTCAAAGACACCGTCGAAGTCATTTCTACCTTCGATCCTATGCGAACTATCTTGACACCCAAGCCACACATCTACATGAAGTCAATGATTCATCTGCTTCTCAACCATCCACCCGAAGATGCTCTCAGGTTGCGTATTGAAGATGACATGCTGTCTTTCATTTCATTCTACCTCTTCAACGACGAGCCGCTGAATACAAAGGAGGAAGGATGGGAGGAAAGAATGGAGAGCGAGGAGGATTTTCAGAAAAGAGTTGAGATTGTAGCGGCAGAGGTCAATTCATGGGAATGGGACTGTTTGAAGGATATGCAGATTGCTGAATCCCTCGTTCGCCATTGCGAGACAGTTGAGACCCTAACTAGTTTTTAATTGCATCAAGGTCCTCTTTTTCCAGTGTCTGTTCCAAGTACAAGCGGAGCTCGTCGGACTTTGCATACAGGCGACGAAACATGGGTACCAGCTGATCTTTCGGCTTGGATGTGTAACCCCCCAAGTCGATTTTCATCTCGTTCATTGATAGCCACTTTAGGAGAACCATGATGTCGACGACATCTCGTTTAGCCTTGCGATTGCTCTTAGGTCGGCTGGACTCTTCGACGAAAAACCATCTCTTGATCTTAGTGATAAGCAGGATCGAGGGCGTGACGACCGGCACTGAAATCGTTTGATTAGCAAAAGGCTCACTCTTTAACAAGAAATACTCAAGTAGAAGATAACTGACTGAAAGTTGACTCAACGCGTCCTGGGCGGCTTCTTGGGGCAAGTTCAACTAGCTCCACCGTCTTTGGGTCGGGCAGCTTCAGCTGACGGTCTCCACCTCCTCGAAGCATCTCAATGGTGACAGTGTCGATACCACTCTGAAAGTGGAGTTTGTTTTGAGAACTTATTGTGAAGTCCTGGCAATTTTCGACGAGCTGGGTCTGAATGGTCTTGGGATCGGCATCGATAATGATATCAATGTCCTAAGTGAGGTTAGCTACAAGTTCAGTCAGAGTCGTGAAGCTTGAACCGTACATAGGTAATACGGCGTCCGCCGATCAAAGAGGTTGCATAGCCGCCGATAAATCCATGTCTGATATTGAGGCCGGTCAAGAAGCGCGTGGTCTGGCCTGCTGCCTTATCGAGAGCTTCGTATGCCTGCGCGTAGTCTTGGGAAGACATCTTGCTTGCAGAGAGGAAATGTGAAGTAGAAAATAAAAAGCGAAAGTGGGGGAAGAAGAGTAGTGGGGGAAGAAGAGTAGTGTGGGAAGAAGAGTAGTGTGAGAAGTAGAGGAGTGGAAGAAGAGGAGTGTGAAGAGCAAACTGAAGTGAGAAGGCTTCATACGAAAAAGGAAGGCACAGAGGTAGGAGCCTAGTCTGTCAATGGCCTTTGGAATGGTATCTTCAATGGCATCTTCAATAACATCTTCAATAGCATCTTCAATAGCATCTCCATGGCTCTCTCTTCATTGGTCTTTCTAGATGATATTGATATTGGATGCTGTGCCACATCCACCGCCACAAGTATAGCCATTTACTCGCTATGTGTGCTGACCAGACCCAGACCTGAGAGCATAAAATGTCTTCGATGAGACAGCGGTCTATGAAAGCAAGCCATGTCCAACTTGAGAAGAGCCATATCATACCAGCAGCTTGACATTGGGGACTTGAGAAGAGCCATATCATACCAGCAGCTTGACATTGGGGACGTGACAATGCATGGATACTTAAGTATGATATCGATAAACAGATTCTGTGGCGAACTGAGCTCAATTTCACTTTTATATAAGCCACATCGGAATGATATTCTACTGGCACTTTGTGAAAGGTTTGATTAGCTGCGAGTGTAGGTCCAGACCTAATACACCAATACATGAACGGGCTGATATCCATGACAGGAGCAACCTTGGAAGGGTATCCATGGATGACATTCTCTTTGTTCTGCTCAGTTCGATGTTTTCCTTGAAGCCCAGGGGCTTTTACGACTCACGTTGAACTCCCGACGTGGCAGCCAAGTCTCCGGGAAATTCTCTTGCTTTGAATGAAACTTAATTTATTATCCTATTGGCTTCGCTTCGGGCACTATTATAAAGGGGCAGAGGGTTCATTTGTTTAGTATGTCTTAGAGGTGCTGTCTGGTCACCTTTAGAGGAAATGGCGTTTACTAAATTGTGGCGGAATCGGAGGAGTGCCAAATCAGCATTCCCACCATAGGTCGCTGCTACTCGAATCCCATGCTACAGAGTTGTTCACAGAAAGGCAAAGGTTGTTGCCCAATGCACTTCTTAAGTTGTTCCCCAAGGCTTCCGAGGTTTACAATCTACAATTATAAGATCTCAAGTATGCATCATGCAATTCATTGAACGAAAGTGCAGGGGTATTTCACAAACATAAAAAGGTCTCAGACCCCACATAACGCATAAAGCATAGCATATCAAATGCGTTCCAGCCGTCGACTAGCACAGGCGCGGAGATGTACAGTATCGCAGTAAATGCCAAAGAAAAAACGCTCCCCAAATCACAATTCCTCCTCAGATATCTAGCATTTAGGCATGGCCGTGTCCGTGGCGACGGGTACGACGGTGCTTGGGACGAGGTCCAGGGCGCAGGTAAGGCGCGGTGCGCTTACTGCTACCGAGATTGAGGTCCAGATCAAGGTCAACGTCGATGCCGAGGTCGAGACCGGAGCTGGAGCTGGACTCCTGGTAGACCTTGAGTGAGTTGAGGCGCCAGTAGGAATCTTCGAAAGCAGAGGGGTTGTTCTGCACGTAGTCGTTGCAGGTGCTTGCTTTGCTGGAACAGGAGGAGGAAGACCAGACGCTATCTTCGCCGGCCCAGTCTCCGCAGAAGGTGATGTCGAAGACGATCTGGAGGTCCTTGAAGTGCTTGTCGATGTCGCAGGAGCCGGCGAATTTGGCAGCGGGTGTACCCCAGGTGCTTGGGTCGGGGCTTCCAGAGGTAATATCCTTGGGCACAGAGCTGGAAGGGAAGAACCAGGCCGAGATGGCAGAGCCAGTCCATTCAGTTGCGTAGACACCGCCGCCAGCGTCGTTGAATCCGCTTCCGAAGGACTGGGTGTCGGAGCTCATGATTGCGCAGCCTGCGTTGGCGGACTGGCCATCTGCGTCGACGTAGCAGTTATCTGTGTCGAGTTTGCCGCTGAAACCGGTGTTCTTAACAGTGCATCCATCGCTGGTGTGCAAGGCCATTTGGTTTCCGGATTGGTCGTTGACGCCTTCGATGATATCAATTTCACCATTGGAGGGCCAGTCGGAGCCAAGCATCCAGAATGCAGGCCAGGTGCCGCACACGCTACCAGGCATGTGGGCAAGATCGAGGATGACAAGGCCGTGCTGGTATGTTTTGGAGCTTTCGAGGCGGACACTCTTCCGGCCAGGCTTGCTGGCGGTGTTGGAGTGGTCCACGCCGATGTAAACTCCATTGCTGGCGGAGGCGTTGATCAAACCGTGGCTTTGGGCGACATTGCGATTGACATAGTCCACGTAGCCGTTGGTGGGATCGGAGTCCTGGATCCAATTAGCATATCATTCCAGCGCGACTTAAAGTTAAACCTACCGTGAAGAAGTTGAACTTGTCAAAGAAGGACCCATTGGTGCCATAATCTTCGTGCAGGCTGTATTTGGCCGAAGCCAGAGAAGCAAAGCCCAGTGCGGGCAGAATAGTCGAGAGAACGTGCATTGTGGAAAGGATTGGAAAAGAGTCTGTCAAAGACTACGCCTGAATAGTATCGCAGATACTCCAGCAGGACTAAAAGGAAAGAATGGGCCCAAAGGGAGTCCCAAAAAAGGAAAGTGAATGCAAGTTAGGGAGCAAAAAAAAGAAAGGCTTGACACTCAAAAAGTGGGAGGCGGGAGTACTTTATACAGACTGTACATATTGTCCCACTTTAAACACTTTGGACTCAGAGAAAACGGGAGAAAACAGAGAAAAAAGAAAAAAGAAAAAAAGAATGCGACGAATGAAAATTCCCATACAGCATCTAGGCCACGCGGATGGATACACCAGACCCGATCGCCAGGGACCTTAATGTGAGCAGATGAAACGGTAAAAGGGGAGAACGGTGGAGTACCTGAAAGTCTGGAAATCTGAAACATCCATTCACATTCATATCAGGATGAGATATTATCCACTGCCGGGCTACAGAGTACACTGGGCACATCTGGACTTTGAGCTACCGCTGAAGGTTGTGGGCCTCGGAACCACTCATTCTTCGGACTGAGATAGTTGATCTTGCCGATCGAACCGGTCACTCGCGTGGTCTATGGTCACAGTCATATTGGAAATGATGAACTCGAGCTTTGGAATGTGCTGTAATATCAGATGGCCTTGTGTATACTGTACTGCATCAGATGCTGCAATGTATCGAGTGGAAAAGTTATGCGCCGAATCTAAGTTTGAAGGTTGTTTCGGAACCGACGAGTGATCGGTACCATATGGGGTGAAAGGGCAGGCGAAAAGCAGGCAAAAACGGGCAGAAAACGGGCAGAAAGGAAATGGACGCCTGTCACTGGTCGTGCCCAGTGAGACTGTCGCCAATCACGATGGCTGCCGCGCACCTTGCAGCAAGGATTTTGGTGGCAAAGGCACGATCGACAAATGATAGGTCGCGGCTAAGGATGCCGCAAGAAGGTTTGAAGCTTTTTTTTTCTTTCTTCTTTCTTTTTTTTTTTTTTCTTTTCATCTCGGGAGTGAACCGCTGAATGTCCCGTCTAGACCTGCAGACGTGGAAGAGAGACGTCAAAAGAGAGGTGGCGACTAGACGCGGAGAAAAGATGCGTTTCCGATTGAGCAGGGGGTACTTTAAGCATAAGTACCTTTTGGCTGCAAGTCACCCGTACTAGTACATGGTTGGCTGGTATTGGAAAATTGATCCTCCGACCTTCTCTGCTGATGCATGGCTTAAATGTTACGTGTACCTTATTATTTTTCATTGTACGAGTACCAGTACAGAGACTGGGCACAATACATTTTACACATGTCCCCTCTTTGCTGCATATCAAGTGTCCACAATCCACACAGTCCACCTGGGCACACTCCGGTGACCCGGTGAGGCGGGCCTGAAAATCCGATCAGACTCGCAAAGCTACGAGTATTACAAAGGGCCAATGCCAGGAACACTCTGTCAAAGGTGCCAGGTACGGGCACCCGTGTCTTGGACGATCAAAGGTGGAGAGCGGAGAAGCTGAAGGCGGAGTTGGGTGAGACATCGCCGAGATAGTCATGATCAACATCTAACCCTCCACTCTGAAACGATGAGACCCTGTTTAAGCAATATTTACACATCGCCTGGGCAAAACACAAGTACAACGTTGTACAAAAGTACTCCGGACGCTGTAGGCTATGCTAGACAAAAAAGTGAACAATTAAAAAAAAAGAAGAAAAATAATAAAAACATTCGCTGCAATGACTATGTACAAGCTGGACAAAACAATTCGGGCGGCTCACTCCGAGTCCCAGTTTCAGGACGGGCGGCCGCACCGATGGCAGCCGACACGCACCGACGATGGAACAGATGTCGACACGAGAAAACCACCACCGGTTCTGGAATTGGTCCGACCGGTCCAGATGCAACCTGGTCATGGTCTTCGTCAGGGTCATGCTGGTGCGCGTGCGCATCCAAGCGTGATGGATGGTGCCCCACATCGGCGGCTTTGCCTTTGCCCCGCTCGGAGGGATTGTACCCATCTTCTATGCGACGCGTGAGGCGGCGCGAGTGAGATTCCGCCTGTCGGTCTTGCCAGGCTGTCCAGTGCGCATCACCCACACTGGGTCCCCAGATTCGGCCCTGGCAGATTTCGCAGACGTGTCCGCGGGGCCGCCAGCCTTGTTGGCGGAGGCGCGTGACTTCATCGACGTGAACGAAGAGGTCACGGTCTAGCATGCCGTTGGCAAGGGTGAGGAGGGACTTCTCGTAGGAGTAGGCGGAGAAGATGGATGCTAGGACCGCTCGAAGCTCCAGAAGAGAAGTGGACCATGTGGCTGCTCGAGTCAGGAATGCACGCAGGATGCGGAGGAATGACATGTCGGTTCGTTCGGCAGTGTTGGCTTTGACCGTGCTCGCGAGAAGGGCCGTGAAGACTTGCTGGACGAGCGCCCGGAAGGAGGTTGTCAAACGGTCATTCTCGGTAAGAGTGGTAGATTGCACAGTTGTTTGATTACTGCCTTGTATGAAGGCGAAAACATTGCTTGCAATTCGCACCACAGCCTCGATATGGTCGAGCCAGAGGCTTTCATCAAATGCCAGTGGCTGTTCCAGGGCTGGTGAGCTGCGGATTCCGTTGGAGCTACCGAGTCGTGATTGTTTGACAGTCTTGCTCTGACCCTGACAGAGCCAGGTACCGACACCGGCATACTTGTTCAGGGACTCTACCAGATCGTCGATTGCTTCTGCGGTAGTGGCTGAGTCTGGACTCTCGCGGACACTCTGAAGAATGCCGACCAGGCCGGACTCTAGAGTTTTCAAATGTGCGACCAGGCGGTCGAGAGCCTCGCGGACCTGACCCTGTCGGGCAAGGAGGATGACGGCAGCATCAATGGCCCCGCTCTCCTCGATGAAAGGAAGCAGTTCCTCAAGGTGAATATTGCCTACACGCAAGCCGTCTACGAATTCGGCCACATGCGAGGGGTTGTACTTGCACAGAAGCTGGACGTACCGCTCAACCATCCAGTTCTCTGCGGTGGTCGGCGCTCGGCTATCCGCCGATTGAGAATTTGGCTCGACCAAGACAAGCAGGTACTGATACTGCTTTTGGGGGTCCTCTTCTAAAACCCGCAAGAACGTCGAATGGGTTTCGGGGGCGAGGTCTTGCATGGTCTGGGCCGTGTGGGTCACATCAATTGCGGCGATTTCGCGAGCCCGCTTCTCCACAACTTCCAGAACGTCTCTTCTTTGCTTTTTGCCAAGCCCTGATCCCACACGAAGACAATCACGTAGACAGGTAAAGATAGTTTCACGATCATTCGGATCTTCCAAATGAGTCAGAACTAGCTCAGCGTATTGCTTTTCTGATCGATAAGTTGATTTCAATACTCGGAAAAAGCGCGCCTCCTTGAAGAGAGGGATCATGCTCTGGATATCAGGCGGGTGATAGAAAGAGAGGAGATACTCCGCACTCAACTCGCAGTCATCTGCCATGTCTTCCTCGGAGTATTGGCAGACGCGAACCAAGACTTGATGCAGAGTCGTGCCGGAAAGCAGAATGTACTGGGGGTATTTGGGAAGATTACGCGCAACAAACATGTCCAGGTAAATAGTCTCGAAAGGCGTGAAGAAGGGGCCCGTCATGACTTGAAGCAAAATGCTGATCAGATATTGCCGGTTGATCGACATGCCCGAGGTTGGGACATCGTCGTCCTCGGGCTCGTTCAGAAAACTGTCTTCGAAAGCCTCGTTGAGCATACTCATGAAGCTAGAAGGATCAAACTTCAGCATGGCTCGAAGCGATGAGAACGAATCTGCCTGTTCGAGATCGCCAGGCGAAGTGCTGGAACCTTGCCCGGAGAACAGGTATTTATACACGTCTGCCTTGACACGCGAAGCGACAAACTGGTCCATGTCGTCACCTGTAGGGTAAACGCGACCAGTCAAAATGAAGGACAAGTACGGGAACATTTTCATCGCATTGTTCTGTCGTCGCATCTCATTCACATGATCACCATTTACCAGGGTCTCTGGCTGGGGGGAAATCAGGCCCACTAGCTCTTCCAATGGACCAATGTAATCCATCAGGCAGCGATTCCACACATAGATAAAAGCATCATACAGATTATGCTGCTTGCACAAGGTGGTTACCTGGTCAATATCCATCGTAGTGGTATCCAGCTGGCAAATGATTTCTTCCAAGCGACCAGGGGAATGGGTTTCGATGAAGTGGCTAATCAAAGACTTGATTGCAGTTGGAGGGAGCGAACGCAAGGTTCCATCGACTATACGTGGCTCGAGGGAAGACAGGAAAATACCTGGAGATTCCTGCTCCTCATACCAATTGAAGACCTCTTCCCAGAGGAACTCGTCGTCGGCCATATGCACACAAGCCGCGATGGACACGTCCGCTAGCTCCCTCAGTTGCTGATTCTCTAATCGAACATTACTCGCTTCTGAGTTCCGACCAAAGGAGTACTTCAGGGACGCGGAAATCATTTCAAGGAGTTTTTCTTGAACGATGGGCTGTCTCATGCTGTCTTCCTCGGGAAGTCCAACTGTCAGCTTCTCCGCATCCCCTGTGTAGTAAGACGTCGCTAGCCGGATGGCTGAGATGAAATCACCCGCCTCCATGAGAGCAAGCAAACGATCCGCCCAGTTCGAAAGAGTCCCCACCAAAGCTTCATTGTAGCCGAGTAGGAACAAACGACCTTTATAGGAACGAAAACTCATGTGAAATGCATCGGCTACTACTCCGTGCATCGAATCATCTTCCTCATCAAGCTGCTCAACCAATGAATGTAGCTGCGAAGAGAAGAGATCGGTGTGGTATATATGCCTGTTAGCGAGATCTATTGAGTCGGTAACGTGCATAGAATAATCCTCGATGATCAGGAGCCGCTGCGTAATTGTAAACACAGCAAGCACCGAGCGACTCAGCCATTGAACAGCTACAATGGCTTCATCTGCTCTCCACCTGCTCCGTGCCCTAAAGGCAAGGCTAGGGGGTTTATCCTTGTCCACTGGCTCATCTGTCTCGGCTTCTGTGACCTCAAGCACGGTCAACACATTGGACCAGCAGTAGACTAATTTTGTATTTGATGTCTGGGTGTCTTTGCCCTTGAGTCGGATAGCCGGAAACCATGCAAGGGCACCAGTCATAGCACCATGAGCCTGGACTTCCTTTGGTCGGGGGGCTTTGTGCTGGGTTTGTGCCACTGGCGTGGTGGATACGATAACCAAAAGATATGGCGTCAGCATAGCAACTAGACCCAGTGAATCAGTGGATTGCTCCACATTCCCGAGTGGCAGAGGGGAAAAGGCAAGCACCGAGCTAGGTTTTCGGCGTTTGATCTCCGTTATTGCCTGCGGGTATCGACCAAGAATTCGTATGGTTTTAACAGTGCGGCCTACCGCGCCCATTCCTCTTGTCGCGAGATGGGAGAATGCCATTCCACGCGTATCAGCGGACACGAGCGCTGTGCGCCTAGTGCCAAGGAAGCCTATGTGAATGACCGCAGAACCTGAAAGGTGCCCATCGGATGTTCGAGTTTCTATCTGATTGGCCGGAATTGGTGGAATATGAAGGAAAGGCTTCGCGGAGCGGGATATCTCCCAGGTGAAAATGTCACCCGAGTCATGACCACCTGCGATTGTGGAGTGGTCTGCGGACAGCGCTAGAGAGGTAACAGCTCCGCATTCAACAGCTGTGTCGTTATCAGTACATAGGTCTGTCAGTTATGGACATCATTTCACAAACCTTGGGTTCCTGTTCCAATGATAGTCTTGAGGCTTTGCTGATAGTCGAAGACGAGAATGATTCCTTTCGATGTGCCAACCACAATTGAGGTGGAAACAGCAAGACAAGTCGGGCGCCCGAAATTACGCTTCCCGATCTCCGAGAACGCCTGTCCGGTGATCTTCCGCAATTTGGTCCATCGCACCACATCCCAAGGCCCCTGAACTGGGTCAGTCTCTACATCTGGAATATGTGAGACTTGGCTGGTAATTGACGATTGTCGGGAGTGGAGATGCGCAAGGAACGGTGAGCCAGCTCGAGACACGCTTTGCGGAGATGAGGATAGGCGGGATTGGAAGCGGAGATCAAAGGGCCGTCGCGCCGGGCTTGGGCTGATGCGAGGAGACGATCGGAGCGCAAACGCACTGCTGCTTAGTGAAGATGGGACGGAGCCCTACGAAAGTCAGATCACGGCTTTGATGGCGCGCCATTTGTACCACTCACATGTAAAGACGGTGAATCGTCCGGGTTCGACCCTGTTCCGTCCAAGCTCCCAGTCGCAGCCCAGTCTTCATGACGCGGCGGGGGTGTTTCTGGAAGAACGTGATCTTTCTGTGCCACTGTTCGTTCGGAATCGCGGTCTTCCACATGCCCTAATGGGTCCAAACCATCGTCGACTGGTTCGTGTGGGGAAGGTACCGCTTGTTCGCGAACGGCTTGGTCGGGTTGCTGTTCATCTTCCTGGCCTAGGTCAAGCTCATCCTCGCGCGCCCAGCCCTCATTGCCCTCAGCCATCGAGCTCATGAGCGTGATCTCCGAATGACCATTGCTTCCGTCGTTTGACTTGTGAGAATCGCAGCCTGATGAGTGGTGTGAAGAATCCGCAGTCCGAAATCAATACTAGGCTTCAACGTGACAATGCAAGACAGATATTTGCTCATTGAAGTTGAGCTCGAGGGGCATGGACAGTGGAGAATGGGAGTTCCGAGCTCCGTTGCCTGGATTGGGGCCGCCTTAGGGGGACGCTAGCCACAAATGGCTGCCAAGCACATCACACACATTGATTGTATGCACACACACTACTTTCACCATGTATTGACCACACTATTAGCTCTTATTCTGCATACTCCCAGATGTGAAAAGGATACTTCATGTTTGAACAGATCTATCTTGAAGCTGACCGAGACGAAATCTTTTAAAAAAAGGAAGAACATATATGTGCAGTCTTCATCAATGTGGGAACAGCTGTACACAGACGCTCTGATCTCCGCGCCTCACCATTTGTCCAGGCAGTATTCTTCTAATGGTAAAGTAAATGAGCGATCCTCAAATCCTGAAATCCCACCTCGGTATTCTAAGTTTCATAGTTTCGAACCCCCCTTCTAAAGTTTACCTGCTGCGCTGAAGTCCACTGGAATAGAGGGTGGTTGTCTTGCAGCTGTTTCATTGCTGCTTCTTCCAAAACCATGCACAGTTTCTACTCTTTTTTCTTACCAGGAGGATTAGGTAGTATCCAGCACAGCCCGGTATTTTTACCAAGTGGCAGGTCAAGATCTTGAAGACTTCCAAGTGGGCCAAAGTTCACATAGGCATAAGAATGTAAAGCCGAATAGGCTTGCTCTATTCGCTGGAGAGCCCGAGCTTGGCTCTCTCCTTGTATTCCGAAGGTGAACACTGGATTGAGATGTATTTCTGGTACCAAGGTAGTCCAAAGGGGTGAGACTGTATGCTTGGAACAAAACCTCGGGGTTGGAAGTAAGTGAGGCCATCCTGGGTGTCAACCCCGGAGTTAGATGACTGGAATGACTTGAGTCATATGATATAAAAACAAGAAAGGGGGCTTCCTTTTTTGATGGAAATTTGTTGGTGCTCAGAACCCATTTGGCGAGCTTCTCAGGTGCCGGCCTATTTCCTTATATCGAAGAGAAATTTTTTTTGGCGATTTGACTCCTGATCTTCTTATTTGTCGTATCCCCGAGCCACTCGGGAAGGCACATGTCAGTCCCATTGGATTGTGAGATGGTGTTGCAGCTACATAGTAGCACAACCTTAGAGTGTTATCACACCGCACATTCAAGATGACTACTATTCTTCACTTCTATCAACCTAGACCTCATTTAAAAGTTCTCGCTTGGCTAAAATCTGATGATTGAAATGATATGACAAGAAGAAACCATTTTATTGGGGTTCAAAAATTTTGAACCTTGTAAGCCTGCCTTCAGGGCTGCCCAGGTGCTATGTGGGTGAAAATTCAGCATTTCTTAGCTGAAAGGGCCGTGAAGGTGGTGTGATAAAGGAATTCCCTCTGAAGGCTGTGTCATAATCTCAGACTACCCATTGCGTGACACTAGTAGAATGTCTCTTGCATCTTACTTTGAAAGCATGCCTATGTGTACTCAAGAAAGCTTTCCAAGCTTAGTTGGTATTTGAGTACTATGTCTGTAATCCTTGAGAATATTTAAGCTACTTGAGTTAGGCACAGATCTTTGGAGATGTGACATTACGAAACTAGTATACAGACCACATGTTGGAGAGATATACGGGTTCATTCAGATATTCTGAAGTTGTAGCTATCTAAACACCATAGCGAGAGGGTATTTACATAGATGATGGGGTTTTTAGTAAATACCCCGACACCTGGGCAGTCCCTGGTCATTTCAAAGGCTGTCGTAATTATGTTCTTGTAACGAACTTGTTGGGAAATGACCACGTTTAGAAGATTATGCCTGTATCTTATACTTGATGAGGTTATAACTTTGACTATTCTAGCAGCAATCTATGTATCTAGCCAGATCCGAGTTAAATGATCCGTGCCGAGGGGCGACTTATTAGCGCCAGAATTAAGCGCTGAAGTAATTCCTTCCTTTGCAAAACGAGCATTGTTGAATCCCCAAAGTTCGATCTCGTTCATACTAGTATTTTGTACACGGTGACGTTCGCCAACCAGTGAAGTGTGGTCAGTGCCTCGCTTGTGTCCAAAAGCACCAGGCGACCGACAGATGATAAACCAAGACATTGTCATGAGATCGATGGCCTTGGGTTTGACAGCCCAAGGAGTACAGAATACAGCCAGAATAATATGTGGGAATTATTATCTCATTTCGCACCTTGGTCACTCGTACTCCGTACTCCTTGTACAGATATACAATTTTTTGGTCAATATTCGAGCAACTTGAGAAATTCTTGTGAGACACAAGAGGCAAAAAAAAAAAAAAAAGATGTAGTTTTGAGTATGTAACCTTGATCCTCAAATACATACTCCATACCCCATGCGGAGTACGGAGTACAAGTAGTATTTAGCTATTTCGTGGTCTCAAATATGATCCGAGCTATTCTCCGATAGCAGAAGTACGGAGTAGCGTGAGAAAATCTGCACCAAGTAGGGAAACTCGAGGGAAAGTCCCTTCAAAGTTCCAAACTGAATGGGTGATCCGAGTGATCTAAAAAGCAAAAATAGATTGATCCCTTGCGTAGGGTAGACACTATTGTCTGGGGTCAATCAATATTCCCCTATCTGACAGGTCCTCCCCGCAGGGTCTGACTTGGCGGGAATATTGCAAGCCCCTTCGTCTCAAGGGGGCGATCTGCTGGTCAAATTTCTCTGGGGAAGCAAGGCGATCCCCGTGCGTCGGCTATATACCCTTACCCAGTGGCTAGATTTCCTTGGTCAATTGGGAATGACTTTAATATTCTCGATGCAAATCTGAGACATCACGAATGGGAGCCCGCATTAGGACTGTTTTTGTCTTTATTCGGTTTGAGGCAAATCTCAAGATGCCAGGGTGCGTTTTGTTTGCTTTCTGGGGGCTGTATTTAATACTTCACCTGTCTCCGGTTCGACTTAGACCAGTTCCTGCTACAGTCACTACCTTTTAGTAAATTCCTCTTTTGCATTTTGAAAGTTCATTTGCATCAATATTCATCATGAAGCTCACATTCGTTGCTCTGTCGGCTCTGCTGGCCATTGCCGTTGCGGACACTACCACTGCGGAAGCGTCTGTCATTACCAGCACTCCAGAGACAGAATGTGCAAAGCAATGTAAGAAATATCCCCACACTTATCGACTATGTACTTGAGAAAGCTAATCAACGATCTCTTAACTAGGCGACCCCAAGGACATCTGCTGTACTGCAAAGTGCTACAAGGTTCCCTGCCCGAGCGATAACCAGGCCGACGACACCAACAACTGTGTTTCTGCCTGCCCTCAGGGCAATGGCACCCCTGCCGACATCCAGAAGTACTCCGACTGTGAGCAGTCTTGCTACAGCTCCCACTTCTGGGGTGGCCATGGTGCCACAGCTACCCACCCTTCAACCTCGACTTCCTCCGGCAGCACTGCGACGCAGACTGGCTCTAGCTCATCAAGCACAAGCTCTTCTGATTCTAAATGTATGTTTCCCATCAAGAAATCGCTTTGAACCCCTCTAACGTGATACTTCAGCCTCGAACAATGACACCAACGACTCCGACTCTTCTGATGGAACATCAACCAGCTCCTCCACATTCGCACAGCAGACCACCAACGCTGGTGCTCACGTCAAGCTAAGCGCTTCTGCTGCTGGCCTGTTTGGCCTGGTTGCGGTTGCATTTGCTCTTTGAGCGCGATTCTGTTGTCGAGCAAGTACAAAAGTAACTCCGACGTCCAAATTAATGGGTTAACATGTGCAGCTTGCAACATTTATTTCTTGTTATAGTGTCTTGAATATCAATTTGAAGCTAATGTTAATGGAACTTACACCTGTTTGAGATCTCCGTTTCTTGTCATCTGTCCGATGTTGTTGTAAAGGCATAAGTAGAAGCATTGTATGAGACATACAGTCGCCTGAGGTATGAACGGCATAATGCACGAGGCAGCAGGTGAATCATTCCAGCGAATGATATTTTTCTGTGGCCCATCTAGGGTCATATCCAAAAATCCGATTTGAGCATGTTTGAAGTGGCGAGTGTGCCCAACTGTCCACATTTTGGGACCTGGCAGTCCCAGGTGCCAGAACTTCATTACCCCCCAGGGCCGTAGACAGCTGTCAGGCTGACGAAACCCAAATCCTTCCAATGAGGAAGACCCGAGGCTTCTGGTAGATTGTTGTAAGAAGGGTAGGGTATACAATCTTGGAAATTCAGGATATTTCCACAGCTCACCGCCAAAGTTTGTTGACTGCCCAGGTGGGCAGATCAAATGTTTTCCCCGAAAAATATACCGCTGACCGTATCCAATCAGCAGCCTGATATATCAATCGATTCCTAGATTCAGAATTCGGACACCCAAGCCCTACACAACAAGCACTTGAACACAAACCTCGGGGAGCAAAGCTCTGAGCGCCAGCAACATGGATGATACAAGCCAAGAATTCCAAGTGCTCTTCAGCGCCATGTCCGCCTTCGTGACAGACTGCATGTCGGGCCATGACCCGTCGCACAACCCAGCACATGTTCACAGAGTGGTGGCACTCGCGAATAAAATCCTGAAAGCAGAGCGCGTCTTGAACCCGACAACACAATACGATGGAGCAGTCGTCAAGCTGGCTGCACTCCTGCACGACATTGGAGACAGGAAGTACTTGTCAAAATTGGACGCAACACCTGGTAGTGAAGCTCCAGATCCAGCAACTATGGTCCAGTATGCTCTGCTTGCACGTGGTGCATCGTCAGAGTTGGCGTCCCGCGTTCAAACGATCGTGTCGCATGTGTCCTATACCACCGAGTGCAAGGATCCGTCTGCGATCCGCCGGTTGATCGACGAAGAAGGCTTCGTGGAGCTTGGAGTTGTGCAGGATGCAGACAGGTTAGATGCTATCGGAGCCATCGGTATTGGGAGGTGTTTCACTTTCCTTGGTGCTGTCGGGAAGAAATATTGTGTTGATGGCAAATGGGAGATGGATAATTCCATCGAACATTTCGAGGATAAGCTGATCAAGCTTGAGGGGATGATGAAGACTTCCACGGGACGAGAGATGGCCAAAGTGCGGACGGAGAGATTGAAGGTCTTTGCGGGATGGTGGGAAGAAGAGATGAGTTTGACCTCTGCTTGATATCCCAAGGGCCTTGGTTCATCTATCCTCTTGAGCATACTAGTTCTTATATGTGCGCAAGTGGCAGAAGAGGGTTCTCCCAATCTCTTGATATGCCGATGTTCATACCGAAACCAACAAAAAAGCACATTTATTTATTAACACTACCATCCTCTGGTGCCTACCTAAATGAGCCAGCAGGCATGGTAGACAGTCATATCGTAACTAGTAGTTTGGCTGAAAGTGGTGGCAGTTTGTTGTTGCCACGATATCTCATCGACTGTTATGGAAGGCTGTCTAGATTCTCGTGACGATGTCCTGAGACCCAGCGTGAAGAAAATCGACTGGAAAAGAGTTGATTTTGTGGCCTCTTTCCTACCATTCTTCTCCCAAGCTCATTGGGTTTCGGTGATATAGATCTACTGCCACGCCGGCCCGCAAATATGCACGCACCTCCTCCGCCTAAGATCAACACTGCCATCCGTCGGGGAAGAGTGTATATACAACCTTCACCCTTCGCAACAATGGCTGATGCACAATTTGACAGCGCGCTGTGAGTGACTTCTAACGAGCCCCCCAAGGACTTCATGAATCACCATACCCCCAACCGTGCCATCTGCCTTTACACTTCCAGACTCCGACATAACCCCGCGATGCAGACGGAGACCACCAAGCTGACCACTGCATCCCAGCGACCTCCTTCGGCGTCTGAACCCCCGTGATACCAAGGCCAACCTCCAAGCCATTACCTCGATCGTCCCCGAGCTCACCGAAGACCTCCTTGCCTCTGTTGATCAGCCCCTGGAGATTCGCCGCTGCCCCCAGACAAACCGCGACTACCTGCTCTGTGATTACAACCGCGACGGCGATAGTTACCGGTCACCATGGAGCAACGAGTTTGATCCCCCACTTGATGACGGTACCGTACCCAGCGAACGGGTGCGTAAGCTTGAGGTCGCCGCCAACGAATCATTCGATGTGTATCGCGAACTGTACTATGAGGGAGGCGTGGGAAGTGTGTATTTCTGGGATTTGGATGATGGATTCGCGGGCGTCATTCTATTGAAAAAGGGTGAGCTCAGCCCCACAGAACCATCCTTCATGGGGTTGGCGGCTAATTTGCTTTGAAACAGGTGTCACTCCAGGCTCGCAGAGCTCCGGCGAATGGGATAGCATTCACGTCTTCGAGGCCACCGACCGTGCTCGCATGTGCCACTACAAGCTCACAAGTACCGTTATCCTCCACTTAGCCAACAAAACCGAGGCTCTAGGCGATATGGACTTGAGCGGAAATATGACTCGCCAGGTGGAGGTTGATTTGCCGGTCGAGTCGGAAGCTAGCCATGTTGCCAATGTCGGCAGGTTGGTTGAGGATATGGAATTGAAGATGCGCAATCTGCTCCGTACGTCCCCAGAGCTCCGCTCACTGGATCTATCGGAATGTATGCTAACTCGGGATTTCACATGACAGAGGAAGTGTACTTTGGCAAGGCGAAGGACGTTGTTGGTGAGCTCCGAAGTGAGTTAATTTCCGATTTTATACCGCTGGCATCATTTATTGACAAACATGCAGGCCTGGGACCGTTGTCCGATGCGAACAGGGACCGCGAAACTCAGCGGGAGATGATCGCGTCCATGCAGAAGTAGAACTTCACTCCCAGCAATTATTCTGTCCGGCTAGGCCTGGGAACTACTTAGATAGATCCGTCGTTGCGTTTTCCCTTTGCATAGTGATGTCTGTGAACATACCTTATTATCGCTCCATACATATTTTTTCAGATTTAAGTGGCACAAGTCGATGTTCAAGTGGCTCTTATTGAAATGAGTCTCAATTCCAGAGGTGATAAAGCCCGGGGTATCATAAATGCATAGTAACTACCACCAATTGCGCCTGAAGTATCGATATTGTCCACTCAATCTACCTGCATGTTGTCGGGGTCATTGTCGACCTCGGGTTGACCTGATCCGGGCTTGTCCAGCTGCTCAACAAATGTCCGGGCAGCAGCCCACAATTCAGCCTCCTTGTCTTTTCCAACTGAATCTTTCCGGCTGTTGAGTCTGCTAATCTCCAGGGGATTGTAGGCAGCCATTGAAGCACCCGAGCTTTTGTCGCTTCGGCCTTTGGTGTCGCCTGTGCGGGATATTTCCGGTGCCAGGAGGGATGATTCTTCCATGGCGTAGACTTGACGACGGAGTCGGACGTCGATCGACGACAGTAGCGCGAAGTATTGAGATGTTGCTTCTGTGAATCGTGCTTTGTGTGAGTCCAATGATCCGCCCGTTGCGGGGGAGGAAGCATCTGGTTTGGCGTTGGTCAGAGCTTGAATAGCGAGGCCAGCAGAATGGATTAATCGAGTGACATCCTGGTGATCCTTTGTCAACTAATTTTTCTGTGTCAATCGGTCTGGTCGGCGTACCTTGTCTACTTCATTAAGCTGTTGAATGCGATCGGCGGAGGTAAAGCTCTGAGGCTCTTGCTGGGGCGCATCTTGGCTCATTTTGATCGTGGATAGAGCCTTGGACAGCTATGCAGATTTTAATTGATGTTTTTCACAGGTAAAAGCCCTACCGAATAGGTCTTCAAGAGGAGAGGGCGTGTACGAGCCCGCGACGCAGAGCCCTTGTAAGACATCACGTGCAGAACCCGGGGAGCTTCTTAATAAGCGGTGAGGTCGCCCGGGATATCAAATTCAAGATATTCGACGACATATCAGAGTCATCCATCCCGTTTTCAACATAATAAAACGCCCATATCGGCTCGATCAATTGCCGGCTAGATAGACTCGGCCTTAGACTCGTCGGTGACTTCCTTGGAGGCGGTCCTTGCGCGCAACTTCCCGAACGGGAATCTCACGATAGTTCGATTATGTCGGCGCCAGGCGGGGCTCCAAGCCCTGGGCCCCGCGGTGGGAGCATGGGACCAAATGCAAATGGAACTGGAATGGGAATGCCATCCCAAGGCTCTCTTCCTGGAACGCCTGTCCACTCTGCACCCACACCCGGACCAAGCGCACCACCAAGTGGTGCTATGTCACAGCAGAACCTCAATCAGATCGTAAGTAGTGCCAGGAGACCGTCATTCCCCCTTTGCGATGTTTTGTTTTACCCATGCCCCCTTTGTCCGATATTTGCGTTGCGTTTTTTTTCATTTCACACGGTGGGGATCTGCCCAAGTTGCGCGGGTTTGATATGCGCACTGTCTCCCATGAAGACCACGATGGATCTCAAAGTCACCAGCTTCAACCGGCTTGCGGTTACGTGCAACCTACGACAACGTGGGGGTTTCGATCAAGGACGACAACGTGACTGATGCCCTAGCCCCGAGGCCACCCTCGGCGCTGTCGCGAGCCCTGGATCCCATGGACATCTGGATGACCACAGAGCATCTCTGCAGAGAAAAGCTAGGGGATACCCAAACGGAAACCATTATTTTCATGACCGACGGCCTTGTTGGTGATCTTCAGTGTCTTTTTTGCTTCGCCATGGAGGCGTTGCGCTATGAGACGCAGGACCCGTATTCCCTGTGCCCCGATGACATGAACCAAGCCCAAAAATGATCGACGCTTGATGTTATGCACATCGTCGACCCATCATGTATCGCGGCATGCGAAAGATGATGTTATATGTGCCTCTCGACCTCAGTATCACCAATCCCAGCCGTAATGGATGTTGAGCTCGAAGCAAGACACATGGTTCAAATATCGGAGCTCCTTGTTCTCCCGCTGTGGTGAGATCTGGTCCGCGGGTAAGGATCAAAACGGAGGGACAGAGGATTGCCAACCCGGCTCCCATAGGGGTGGGGATCCTCTAAGTGAAGCGGAATGAAATCAACAGATATTTCATGGACCTCGGGAGAGAGGGCTGCTTGGATTTCCTGCCGACGGATTTTGAAACAGGTTCTCATTGGGCCTCTCACCTGACTGCACGTCGACTAGTTCCTAGTTGGTAGGCTTGTTTGGGGTAGCTGGTGCTTTCCCGTTTGGGCAGGGCATCTCATCGTTGCTTGTGCCTTAGGACACGTCCACATTACGACTCACATGCATTGCACGCTCTGCGCCCCTCCTACCAACTTCTACCATTCCACCTTCTGTTTTTCTCTGCATGATCACCATTCCTCACACCGACTACGTTGATCCGTCGTGCCACCAAAATGGACGAAGACGATCGGAGCTCTTCTGGCCATAGCCGCCTTGGAGATGAACACGTCCGTGATTCTAGAAGCCCGGGTCCACGACAACCACGACCTCATCCAGTGGAACAAACCCCTTTGCATGGCGTACTAGTGATATCCTACTATGTGGAACACTACAGTATGGCAATTGGCTCGGCCTGGGAGCACCCTGTACGACACAACCGTTCCTCTTCTGTAGACTCAATGTTGGTACATGTCTCAGACCCTCCATACGAGGATCCTTCCGAATCCTCTGAGTCTTCGAGCTCAGAAGAAGAGCTAGATTCTGAGCTGTCCGACCTCGATGAGGCCTCTTCTGACTCGGGCTCAACGCATTCTGCGCACGAAGAACCGGATTCCTCTCCAGGCTCTCACGCAAGAGAAGCCCCACCAAACCAGCCTCCTGAAGAATTTGATTCCGCCTCTCAAGACCGTACTACAGAGTCATTTCCGGATCCAGATGAGAACGATCTTTCTGACAACGATCTTTCTGACATCGATCTTTCTGACATCGGTCTTTCTGACATCGATCTTTCTGACATCGATCTTTCTGACATCGGTCTTTCTGACAACGATCTTTCTGACAACGATCTTATCTTTTTCACCACCTCTGAATTTTCCACGCCCCCAATCACCATCGGCCCTGAGGCCTCAGAACCTGAATTGATTCTACCTTCAATTCAATTCGATCAGGACGATATGGCGCCGCGACGTTCTCAACGATCTGGTCTCCCCAGTGACGGTCGTCACATACTTCTACCCCAGTCACAAGCCAATCGGGAGAAAAGAGCCCGAGAAAGGCAGACGCAACAGAGACTGGCTCAGGTCCAGGAGAAGGAGGCCCAGGAGAAAGAAGCTCAGGAGATGCAAGCCCGGCAGAAGGAAGCCACCGAGCGACTCAAGACCCTGGAGCTATCTGAAACCCAGGATGACAAATGCAGCGAGGTCAATTTTCCACTGACGAAGTCTTCATTGCCATCCCCTCAAGAGAGAGTGCTTGGCCCTGGGACGAATGAAGTTGTTTGTTAACCCCATGGATTCACCTTACTTTAGTCCCTTTTTGCTTTTCATCTGATTATGGCGCAAAGATTTGTGTGAATATGCTGACGTTTGATCTTATCTAGGTCATTGATTATCTTGCGAAGAAAGGCTACAGCCGCACCGAGGCCATGCTCCGTATGGAATCCGCGAACCAGGAGATCGATGGGCGCCCTCTCCCCCAGTTGGGAGAGGACTCTCGCCCCAAGACCCGTCAAGGATTCGGTATGTCCATAATCATGTCCGCCTCCGAGTCCAGCTGACATTTTTTTAGATCTGATCAAGAACTGGGTTGAGGAGAACCTTGATCTGTACAAGGTGAGTGAATAGCAAATATTTGCTAGCAACAAAAACTTCAATGAACTTCGCTAATTGTTTGACAGCCTGAACTTCGTCGCGTCCTTTGGCCACTATTTGTGTATTCGTTCTTTAACATGGTGACCTCCTTCTACCCACAGGATGCGAAGGCTTTCTTTGAGGCAAACAAAAATATGTTCCTTCCGGAGCACACTGATGATATTCGCCACTTTGAGCCTATCAGTCTACCTGAGCATTTGCAGGACAACTCCATTGCCAAGCTGTACCGCAACAACAAATTCCGTGTGGTCTTGAGCAACCCTGCCTACACCAACCTCTTGCAGTTCTTAGAAAGCAAGGATAAAGAAGGTGGATCTGTTATGAATGCAATTCTCAGCAGCTACTGCTCCGTGAAGACCCTGGACCGAGCAACAGACGACAGGTTTAGCTTTGCTGCTATGTTGAGCCAAATCGGGGCCGGTCAGACCTTCCCTGCTGAGGATGAAGGCATCCCAGGCCATCATCCTGGTTCGGCTTACACCGGCGACAATCCCGCCATGGCTGGAACACTGCCTCGCCTGAGGCTCGGCAAAATGCCAATGGAGCCGACTTTGGAGGAGGATGTGCGGGCTGAGCTTGCCGAGGAGGACCAGAAGCAAGGACCTCCCGCCGGTCGCAACACACTCACCCAAGAGTTCGAAGAGATGATCAAGAAGGAGGAAGATGATGAAGCCCCTTCTCGTGCTGATATACCATTCCCTGAGTCCACAGCCCGTGACGTGGAGATCGAGGTGAAGAGGGTCATGGAACACCGCGACCGATTTGAGATCAAGGGTCGCACTGGTGGTGTTGGCCCTGGAGTTAGTGTGTGCATGTTCACGTTCCATAACACCTTTGACAAGTAAGTCCTACTTGGTGCCGTCGTTTCACTAACATTGAATACTAATATTTTCACAGCATCAACTGCATGGATGTGTCCGATGACAATGCACTCATCGCCGCCGGATTCCAACAATCTTACATTCGTGTCTGGTCAGTCGACGGCAAGCATATTCCCAAGTCAGGCCCAGAGTTTGCCGACATGCCTGACGCAAACTCCCACCGCCTGATCGGTCACTCGGGTGCCGTCTACGCAGTTGCATTCCCACCATGTGCCTCCGCCCGCGAGGGAGTGCCAGAAGATGAACGTGTTTGCACTGGTCCTCGCTGGCTACTCTCTTCATCGGCTGATAAGACCATTCGCCTGTGGTCTCTTGATGCTTGGCAGTGCATGGTGATTTACAAGGGTCACCATGGTCCTGTTTGGGATCTCCGATGGGGACCTTTCGGCCACTACTTTGTTTCTGGTAGCAACGACCGGACTGCCCGACTTTGGGTCTCTGACCACATTCGCCAACAGCGTATCTACGTTGGTCATGATCAGGATGCCGACTGCGTCTGTTTCCATCCCAACTCGGCTTATGTGTTCACTGCCAGCTCCGATCACACAGTTCGGATGTGGGCTATCACCACTGGTAACGCTGTTCGTATGTTCACTGGTCATACTGGAAACATTACAGCTATGGAGTGTAGCCGTGATGGCAAACTTCTGGCCTCCGCCGATGATCAAGGCGCAATTATCCTGTGGGATCTTGCTCCTGGCCGTCTTCTGAAGCGCATGCGTGGCCACGGCAAGGGAGGTATTTGGTCTCTGAGCTGGAGTGTGGAGTCCACCGTGATTGTTTCTGGTGGAGCAGATGGAACTGTTCGTGTCTGGGACGTCGCTGGTCCCCAGGAAGGTCAGGGTCGCATCATCGGGGAAGGGGGCGCCGGCACCAAGATCGATGCCGGGCCCGCTCCTGCAGGCCAGAACAAGAAGAAAAAGGCCAAGGAGACCGTTGTCACCTCTGACCAGATCAGTGCTTTCCCCACCAAAAAGACTCCTGTCTACAAGGTGAAGTTCACGAACATGAACTTGGTTATTGCGTGCGGTGCCTACTTGCCTTAAATGGCGCGCCAATCTGCGCTGACATTCTGGTTGCCGTTCTAATCTTCTTCTCTGGTTACTCAATACCCTTGCAATTTTTTCCTTTAATACCTCCACTCTCAGACACCGCGCGTGATCATTCTGTGTCCCTGGACCCTGGTGGCGTTTTAAAACTTGAAAATTCATATCTGGAGTTCATCGGTGGAGTGGCATGAATCTTATGATATGCCTTGCTTTTCTGTTTGTGCTTTTCAAGCATGTGCTCTTCGGAATATCTGGACTGCTCTGCAGCTCCTGGTTTGTACGAGAGCTGGTTTCTATCGCGTTTGCGATATTATCAAGGAAGTGATGGGGTGGTGCATATCTTGTCCCCGGGTTATCGACCTGCGGCTGTCACAAGACTGCCCTCCTCGAATCACAAATGAAGAAAATTCAATTTAATCCCCTGTGCATTGTAGACGATTAACTGGGAAGGTATTCTAGCCCCTTGTCTGCTTAGGTGGGTAGATTGTATAGTCCCGAGGTCCCCATAAGGTGGACACTTAGCATGGCGGCTTGATAATAAGCTGTACTCAGCCCTCATATTCTATTTGAGTGCAGCGGAGCTACCTGCAGTATTTCCCTTTTTCATAGCAGCAGATGCTTGCATATCGGCAACCTTCGGCGGAAGCACTAATGCACTACGGTCATTTCGCCGGTAGAAATCAGCCAGAATCTGTGCGGTCTTTACAGGCTGGTCCTCATGAACAAAGTGACCCGCTTCAGGAAATACCTGAAGTTGATACTTGCCTGTAGAAAAGGTCAGGTTGGCATGTCTGTGAGAAAATATCAGGACAACATACCTTGCATCTGACCAATCATTAATTCTTTATCCAACCGATCCGTGCCGGCAAGTAAGAGGAGCTTGCCGCCTCGGGCATCCAGAAATTTTCGACTCAAGCCAACAAACCAATTCTCCCAGAAGGGTTTGGTAGCGGAGAGATTGGTCCGCCACACCCAAGGGCGGGAGGCGTCAGTGGCGTCTTGTTCTTCATATAATAGGGATGGCACAGAGGCACGAGCGGATGTTGTGTTGCGGATTGTGCGGGAGCGAGTGCTTGTATTTTGTCAGCGGGGGACGAACAGACCGTTTCATTGAGACTTACTGCCATTCAATTCCAGATTGGAGAGATGGGAACCTCGTTGGTCTTGTTGATAGATACATGTCCATGCTTTGCAGGGCGTCTATGGCGGAGCCTATCCCGATCCTGGTCAGTATATTTGTGCAATTGGGATGAGATCAACATGCCTTCAACGACATCCAAGACAGCGTATGCCAACAACTTCGGACCAAGTTCTCCTTTCTTCGCGACGTCTGTAATGACTGCACCGCCAAGACTGTGTCCGACTAAGATCATATCCGGAAGACTCTGCCATCCCATTCGGGTCTGCGTCTGATGAATGACGTAGACCAGATCTCGGCTCAAAGTCTCAAGGCTGAGATCCAGCTCGACCGTGGCCTCGGACTGAGCAGCGTCAGCAGTAGATGGGCTCTTGTCAGTGCTATTTGTGTCCAAGGGACTCGTGACCGTGCGGCCATGGCTTCGTGCATCTAGGGACAAGATACCTGCCTTTGGGAGGATCTTGCGTATTTCATCCGCGCATGTCGCGAAAGAAAGTCCCGATGAACCGGCTCCATGATGCATCACAAAGAGCGGACCTTTCTCCGCTGGTGGTGTCAGATAAGCGTGGTGGATGATGCGGAGGTTCCCCACTTCATCCGGGATGAAAAGCTCCTGTTCAAAGAAGTCTGTCCATGCCAGAGAGGTTTGCGATGATTGCCTGCAGTTATGAGTAAGTGAATTGGGTGAAATAGGATTTTATCCATGATAAACAAGAGAGTTGAGAAGTGACTGACCGGCTAGCTCGTGCAAATAGCTGACGAGTGGGTGATGGGACCGCGGTGCCGGACGAGGACACCGATGAAGTCGCGGAACTTGACTCCCAAGCATCCTCGGGAATGTTTGGTTCTTCCATAGGGACTTCGGGGGGAACTTTTGCCAGTTTCGACTTGGCGAAAGATTTCTGGAGGTCGCTCATCTCAACATTGAAGTGGATACTTTGTCGATCAACGAGAAGTTCGGTTTTCTCCCGCTTCGACCGCTGAATGTCTGTATCAACCAGCTCAGGTATCACGTCTGAAGCTTCCGATGTTATTCCCCGTGTGTCGTCAGAGCTCATCGCCCCGCCTCTGAGTCGCTGACTAAGAAATGTGTGCAAAATGACTTTCAAAAGATATTCTCGTCGTCTCGCACATTCAGGGGGCGAGTTGGTGGATCACGGACCCTTTGCTACATTGGAGACGATTTGCGCTGGATGGATGCTCTGGTTGTTAAGCAATGCAGTCACTTTCTAACGCAGGTCGATGATACGATGTCAGGACCAACATCACTTGAATTATTGTCAACTGCCTAATTTCCACTTTCCTCTATCAAAGCCCGGAGTCCATTGAGCAAATCCTCTTGCAAATTTTCCAACTACTCAATACCAATGCTTATTCTCATCACATCATCACCAGCATTGGGGTCAGTCATCTTCCGCCATTCAATGAGGCTCTCTACTCCGCCCAGGCTGGTCGCATGTTGGAAGATGCGCAACTTGCTAGGCAGTCGTCGAGCTTGCTCTGAACTTTTCATGACAACCAGGAAAACAGGACCGAATCCATTCGGCATCTGATGGATGGAATTGGTGGCGAGAGAAAATTGAGCTTCTAGCTCAGCAAGTGGAATTGCCATTGTGGTGGTTTGGGATCAATTGATATGTTCTGTGACCGCTGTGTACTCCGAAGACCCCGGGGTGAAGGGTGGCCGCTTTATAGTCGGGCCTCTCCTTAACCAAAAAATCATAAACTCCATAGCTATCTTCTCCACGCCCTGCGGAGCAACTACAAGCACGGGCAATGTGAGAGTCAGCTGAGCGGATAGTCCCCGCCTCTCCCCGCGCCTGCGACAACTCGGACTTTCGCCGTGAATTTACAAGAATGTCAATGTTCAATCAATCGATAATATCAATGCTTTTTGAGATGGTATATAACATTTTGATTCAATTAGGTGACTTTTGATATGGACTATATACAGGTTAACGTGAGGCCCAAAAACTTCATGTTCAATTCTTGCATTTCAGGTCGTCAAGCATATTCTTTTGATGGCTGTCGATGCTTTCAAGTTTGAGGGGCATACTGCGAATCTTTCCCCGCAGGGAGACTGCGATCAGAAGCAATTTGCTGAATGTATGCCACTCACCAGAGAAGGCATAGCTTTTTCCGGGAAAGCCCATGGTTTCACCGACGCAGCTATAGGCAGATATCACCTCGAAGATGATGTTGAAGGTGGAGAAGGACAAGGGATGGGCCTTGTAATTGTTAGATTCGGTGACAGTGATGAGGAGGATGGCGAGGCAAAGCCACCACATGTCGTTATCGAATTGGGAGCGAAGTTGCTGGTACACAAATCGCGCGCGGGCAAATTGCGAGAGGTGTGGATTGCTCTTATCGGCCGCGTAGTTGAAATCATCTCCATTGGGAGATGCTGAAAAAGACTTTCGAAAGGATTCGAGGTTGCTGATAGTAGTTGACACTGGAAATGCAGAGAGATACTGGGTCCAACTGGTTAGTTACTGACCATTTTGCTATGATTCGAGATTCTTACCATCATCAGACCTGTTCGAAGATTCGGTTAGCAATCTTTTTTAGAAAACAAAGTGGAATGACTCAATCCGCAAAGCAAGACTTACCATAAAGAATCAGTAACCCTTGGCCCAGTTGATCAAAGGGGACGACTGAGAATCCACCCCCGCGTACAGCTGAAGTATCCATGTTAGTTCAATCTGAAGCATTTCAGCCGATATTATGACGTACACAGTGCCTGGAAAAGTCCGTCCAAAATGCGGTATCCGGGAGGAAGCGAGCCGATTTCTTCGTTGTGGATAGCAGAAAGCTCAAATGCGATCCACATGATACAATTCAGAACTATCACAGTTCCTAAAAGAAACCAAGTATGCCAGGAGGGATACAAATAATCGCATACCTTCAGACGGTGTTAGAATCAACCTCAGTCACCGATTGGGAGCAACTCACACTTTGTGATTGGTCGAGGGTATGATCAAGGACTTGTCTCCAAAGGTTCCATTCAGGGTGTCTTGGGATAAATTTTCTGATGACCCAGACCAATAGTCGCAGCAGGCATGGAAAAAGCGTGTTACCAGCGAGAACCAGGAATCCGGCAGTAAGAAGTGGAAAGGCCCTGTTCAGTTAGTATCGGACATGAACTGCTGGCAGTGACTGAAATAGAGAAGAGTACTCACTCTCGTTGAAATGGGCCCATGTTGGTTGTGATGAGCGACATTCCGTTATTGCACAATGCAGACACGGCCAGGAAAGAGCCTCCCCAGAATGCAGAAACACCGCCAGCATGAGCAATATCAGGACGAAAAACATGCGACCAGACTCCAATTCCCACGATACCCAAACAGAGGAAGCCAAGAAAGTATACGATGACAAGGATTGATATCAGGGTAACAGAGAGACACTCGACCCCACCAGTCTGGTTATAGTCGATTGATCTCTGTTGTTTCACATGTTCCCCCACCGATTGTGTCATTGCCCTCAGGCTTGCGGGGACTCGAAGTATGTAGCTTTGAGCGCTAGATGAAGGGTTCTTCTGGCCAGCGACGGTTTTTGGGCTCACTTCCTTGGCAGATTCGTCATGTGTTGTTTCAACGATGGTGATGAACCCGTAGTCTTCTTGTGCCGTTTCGGATTCGGTTGGAGATGGTAAACAAGGTGGTAATTCCTTGACTGCTGTGGTCACCTTCTCTTTATCCGCATCAATAATGCAGCGCATGTCGTTGTTGCAGGTGTCATCCCTCAACGCAGCACGAAGCGACCAGGCCCGTCTCAGGGACAGCACACCACAAATTGGGATGGCATGGCCCATGATGATGAGTGCAAAAAGCAGGCCTTGTTGGATCGAATTTTGACTTGACACATCTACCTTCGAAGCATGTTAGTGAGGACCAGTACGATGGAATCTTTCATGTGGACCTACAACATCTATTCCAGTGCCTGTCACAGCACTGAAACACATGAACAACGCGTCCACGTAGCGAAGATCATCTTTGTGGGTCGCATAGTATATGACACTGACGATCATAGGCGTTAGAACGAAATAGGCATAATGTAGAGTGAGGGAGTTGAGCTTAAAGAGATCTGCCATGATCGGCATGCTCACTTGAAAGTCGTCGTAAGCTGCAGAGCTCAAATCCAGGGCCGGGTTATTCAATTTCATATAAAGACTATGAAACTGCTCAAGCTCTCAGTAATTATTGCCCCTTCCGATTCAATAGTGTGTCTAGCCGCATCGATTCCTACCCGACCCCCCTTGTGCGAGGAATGTTGCTGCTCCTTCCTCCCAACCTACTGATTCTCTGCTCTTCCACAGCCCGTGGGCTTTCATTACCTTATCACTCGTTTGAATGGAGCATTATCGCGCAACAGAAATGATAAAATGGATGCCAAGATGTAGTACATTCTCAGGAACGGCACGCAGAATTCTCCGGATGCAAGGCCCGAGTATTTGAGGCCGGCGTGCTCCGTAAGGGAAAAGAAACCTCCGAATTGGAGGATCTGGACTCGTTGGAATTGTATTAACAGAAATGAAGCAATTTCCTTGTTGAACGGTGTGTTACTCTATGTCATATTGCCATGGGTATTTATAGAAGCCAAGACACCTTCCAAGTAACCGTGGAAATATTCGTCATAGAAAACGCCCAAATATTCTGTTTACATCAATGAATTCCAGCTTGCAGAAGATATCGTAATTCGATGTGCTCTCACTATGATGTGGAGACTCTTGTGTACATACTTAAGTATTTACAGAGTACATAACGCCAACTTGAATAATCATCAAATGTACTACCTGCAGACACCCTTTCCACAGTTCAAAATCAGGATTTTAGAACTAAGCAGTACTCAATTCTCACGTACTTCAGGAATATACCGCACGGAGTACGCTGGAAACACTGGTAACCTCACCAACCATCTCAAATGGTAGAAAGTAGGGTTGAAAGCACAACATTCAAATCAGTTGAGATATGCCTTGCACTTATCGCTCTCTCTCTCGCTCTCTCTCTCCCCTTCTTTCCTTTCACTCCTTCTCTTATTATGTTTCGTGTGTTTAAGATAACCTGTTATCGATTCGCATCTTTTGTTCCAGATGCTCTATATTTAGCATGGCTAATCCTTATCGCTGAAATTTGGCCCTGGATGCAAGGAGACCTTGATTTACGTGTTTTGCTAGGGAAATGGCTTGATGAGGCTGCCTCCATCGCTGTGTTCAGCCCTTCTCTCTCGCCAGATGTGATCCCTATCATTAGATTGGAGTCTGCAGTGGACCCCGGACTCCGTACTCCATAAAAGGCAGTCCTTTTCTCCTATCTATCTCCCTATCTTTATTTCTCCCTGTCTCTCTCCATAGCAATAAAAATTCATTTACTCTGCACTACTTTCTTTTTGTGATTCTAATACATCTGTAAAAGCAAGCAGTACTCGTCGGCGTATAATTCCTTGGTATCATATACCCACTAATACCAGGTACTGTCATCTATCGGGGAATTCCCCGCCACAAGTCGGCCAAGTGGGGTAACGGGGTTGAAATCTCGGATTCGAAACCGCGCAATCAGCTGATCGGCTTTAACTCGTGTTATAACCCAGTGCTCTGTGTGCCGATACAGGCCCAGAGAGGTGTTAAAATGCCGCCAAAGATGAAGAGCGAAGGCGTGAGCAAAGATACAGAAACGAAGTGAGTGCTCTTGGCTGGAATTACGTCCGTTCAACGCTGAGAAGACATAGAAAATTGCGTAATCGGGTCTCTCAGCAGGCATTTCGTCGCCGACAGTCCGAGTATATCAAACAGCTGGAGCGGAAGGCTAAAGATCAGAAGCCGGACAATGAACGGATCATTGAACTAGAGAGGGAGAATCAATCTCTTCGCGAGAGTTTGATTCACTGCCATACCAAATTGAAGAGTTTATCCACGACGATGCACTCTCTCGAAGCTGGTATCACGCGTGCATTAGATGATTCGGTAAGAATTATCTTCATAATATAAATTTTTGATCTTGATCATGTCCCAGTATTGACGTTTTTTCAGGGGGAGGCAAGAGGCAAGCCGTCAATAAGCCCCGAAGCCGACATTTCAATAGAAGAGTTTTCTCCAGAAGTTCTCGTACCGGGTTTGGACCGAATATCAAACAGCAACATGTCGGAACTAGCGCTCGAATCGCCATCTGACGCCAGTCTGCCTAATAATTTATCACAGAGTGCGAAGCCCGATACTTTGGGGGCTCCAAAGACCCAAGACTCTGCTTGCTCGGAATTAATACACCAACCCAGTCCGAGGATTCCATCAACGTTACCCAATATTTGGACTCATCAGTATCAAATGGGCCCTACGCCATATATTGATGCCCTTGGAGCCAATGAAGCGATAGCCGAGCACCTGAAAATAGATTGGACGCCGTCAAATTCGCCATTCTCCGAGCATGTGAGTGCTTTGAAGAATATTCTGCGAGAAAAATGGGATGGAATGGGTCGAATTCCAGAGTCCTACCCTGACCTGTAAGTGCCACGAAGTTTCTGCGAGAAAGAGGAAATATTTCTCACGCTTTTAGGTTTTATCAATCGGTTTCAACGGTTCTATCCATGTTTAATAGCATATCCAGACCGGATGCTATGACATGGTACGCACGAACTCGCTTCTATCATATCGTCGATTTAACAGTCTCGCTCTTGAATCCAACGGAGCAGGCAGCGCAAAAAGTCCATCCACTATATCGTCTGACACATATTCAGTCGACCAAAAGATACCCTTCGATCGTGGATTGGATTCCATTTCCCTCCATCCGAGATAAATTGATTTTGCTGCATGCCGGAAATCCAAACGTCGATGACATTTTCTGCGACGCTGTCAGTGGATATGTGGTTCAAACAAACATGTCCGAACTTGTTGAAGGCGCATCTGCGCTTCCAGTCCATGTGCGCGTACTTGATCTCATCAAGGCAATGGATGAAAAATCCCAAGGAAGCGATGTTGGAAAACTGCCCGCATCGAACGCTCGCGCTATTTTCGAATTGCCAGCCACTGCACGTTTGGTCTTCCAAAAATTGCGCATGGACCACGGTGTATCGCAATATATGATGGATCCGGCGTTTTTCCAAAGATATCCTGAGCTTTATGATCCCGCGGCTAACATTATGGCGCATGGGGTAGCTCTTCGGCCTCAAAAACAAGCAGTCTTGTCACGGCCAAAGTCGCTAGACTCGGTCACATTGAAGGCCTACCGAGATTTCACGGACTTTTCCTCCGATCTGATCTGGAAGTCCTACCAGGACACATTATTGAATGGTTGGGTTCCAGATATGTCGGGACTGGGGGCTTTGGATGATTGTCAGGTTGTGTTATAACTTTTAGAGCCTCGAAAAACAAATGTATTAATTGGGGAAATTTCCGAATTACAGGGATGGTGCATAATCATTAAAGAAACTAAACAAAAACACACCAGATACTTTAGTATCTTATAAATGGAAATGGTATCACAAAAGTCAGGCAATAAATGCAGTGATACTATCTCGACTAGACGGGAGCATTATGTCACTAAAACATTGGTCATAGAACGCCCCCTCCAGTTGTCAGGTCAAATGACCACCTCTCAACCGGATATAGCCGAGTCTTATAATTAATTCGTCCCTCTTTCATCTCGCATGCAACGGAACTTTACAATCCCTAAACTCTTTCAAAATGGGCTCATTCTCCCCGTTATCCGCATTCGCGAATCTGGGCCCGCCACCACAAGACGAGCACATCGCCCTAACTCAAGCACACGATGCCGATCCAAATGAACAGAAAGTGAATCTTACTTCGGAAGAGTTTTTTAACAGAAATGGGCAGCCCTTTGTTCTCTCCGTTGTGCGACAAGTGTGTATTACCACGCATATCCGAATAGTTGACGGAGTACTCCGTTCTAACGAGCGCATAGACCGAACTTGAATTGATCATGGACACCTCTTTAACACACAGCAAACCAAGCGCATGGAGCCATGAAAGATTCATTCAAGCTGCTCAAGATATGATTTTCGGATCGACATCGCCAGCACTAAAGAGTAAAATCGCCTCTATTCAAACAGTCTCCGGAACAGGGGCTTGTCACATGGGCGCGAAGCTGTTATGCGATACCATCACCCGGAATACAGTCTGGAGTGCAGATTTCAGTTGCACAAGTCATGGCACGATCTGGGATTGGATGGGCGTTCAGAAGCGCACATACCCTTACAGTCTCCCAGATCGATCGGGAATTGACTTCGAGCGAATGTTGGATGTTTTGAATACTCAGGCACAGAGAAACGACATAATTTTTCTGGATGCTTGTGCACATAGCTCAAGTGGGCTAGATTTGGAACCAGAGCAGTGGATTGAGCTTGGTGCGGTTTGCCAGCAGAAGGGTATTTTCCCATTCTTTGATTCTGCATATCAAGGGTTCGCGTCGGGAGATCCGGACACAGATGTTGGGGCTATCCGATGTTTTGTGCAGCTGGGATTGGAGATTGGTATAGCTCAGTCTTTTTCGAAAAATTTCGGATTATCCGGCGAGAGGGTAGGATGTTTACATGTGGTTCTCGCGTCCTCGGAGCATCGAGAAGCAGTGTTTGACAAACTTTTTTATTACCAGCGAGGTCTTACTTCAACACCGCCGACATATGGGGCGAATATTGTATCCACAATACTGACCTCCGAGAGCCTTTATACAGCCTGGCGGGCAGATCTCAAGAGTATGACTGACCGTGTCAAGAAATTGAGATTGGGGCTATACTCTGAGCTGATAAGACGGAGGGTCCCGGGAAGCTGGGAATATCTTTTGATTCAGGCAAGTTCCAAAAGGATTTCCAAATCAAACACCTTCTAATGAAGCGACTTGATACAGAGAGGTATATTTGCATACACCAGCCTATCAAAGCAACATCTCGAAATTCTGCGCAAAGATTATCACATCTACATTATGAGCACAGGTCGAATCTCGCTCCCTGCATGTATGTTGTGTTTCCCAGGTTCAAATCACATTGCTAACGATCTGCAGTAAACGCTCAAAACATTGAATGGGTTGCTGATGCTATCAGCGATGTAGTCACACGGCTCCCTCTCGATTGACAAGTGAAATAACACCAGCTTTGTATAAGGATATGGCGCTTGCGCTTTTTTGCTCTGGGTGTACTTGTTCTCAGCGTCTCGGTGGA